AGTAATATCACGCTATTTTTGTATAATTATACAGACTCTCCAAGGGCCTGATGTTTCGAAACAAAACTGCTCACACACTCTCACAAAGCAATGCTCAGATTGGCTGGTAGCCACTTTGCTACTAAAAGCGGATTGCAGATATGTGTGTTTCCTGAATCCTGATCTGATACATTTTTGGCTGTAGCCGCAGCTCCTGTGGGACCATCTGTCCTCCACACTCGGGCTTTCCTCCCTCCTTTTAGTCTGCCTCTCAGTAGAATAGAGTAAAGAAATTATTTAAGGTTGTTGCTTTGGAAAATTTGCATTTGAGCCCAAAATGATCAGAGCCAAAGTTCTTTACCTTGTCAGCATTTTGCTGAAATTATGCAAGAAGAAGCACTCCAAAGATAAATGTCCTTCTGTGCAGAGGGAGTGGGAGGAGTTCATCAAAAACAAGAACTGGAAGAGGACGCTGCACTCAACATACAGAAAGAAAATATTCTACTGATTGTGATGTATGTGCTTTTATAAGACAGCTCTTCCTCCTTATTTCCACGAGATTCTGAAATGAGCCGTTGATTTGTAGAAAGCATGTCATGGTCTGTATTTCCACACACGCTTTCTCCTGCTTGCTCAGCCACTCATGACAATAAAGCATTGCATTAGGTTCAATCTATTAGCTTCTCTCCTGACAGCATTTTGTGTAAAACCTCATCAGCTCAGCGTTGCATGTATAATCCCAGCATCCTTGTCGTGCCCTCGCACAGACGCATTATTTCTTTGCCTGCAGCCAAACAGCAGACTAAACAAGTGTGATATCAAATCTGACAGACTGGCCTTACAAACCTACTGCCTCTCCTCAGAGCTGTTTATACAGAGGACAATATGTGTCACATCGCTGCTGGAAAATAAATTATCTTTATCTTCACATCAGGATACAAACACTGGCGTCATAATGGTTGTGTTATAATGATCATTAGGATGACTTTGCTTTGTAATTAACCTTGTTGATAGCTTCAGCAAGTTGTAAATACAACTTGCCTCCTTGTGGTCTGGTTAGTTTTGTTCCTATATGGTAAAATAGGAACATACTTAATAAATTTATAAAATATAATGACACGTGAAACCTACTGACTTTAGCACAGACACATGAATCTCACTCAGTAAGTGTTTTTTCCCCCATAGTTTGACAAATTTTGTATCATCTCTCAAATGCAAGATAGGTAAACTTCTTGGGGTGGTCTGAGTATTCTGCTGATCTACTGGGATTTTCACACACAACCATCTCTACGGTTTACAGAGGATTGTCTGAAAAAGAGAAAGTTCTCAAATGACCACTTGTTACAACCAAGGTCTGCAGAAGACCATCTCTGAACAAAACAACACGTCCAACCTTGAAGCAGATGGGCTACAGCAGCAGAAGACCACACCGGATGCTACTTCTGTCAGCTAACAACAGGAAACTGAGGCTACAATTAACACAGGCTCACCAAAACTGAATGATATAAGATTGGAAAAACTTTGCCTGGTCTGAAGAGACTCGATTTTGCTGCAACATTCAGATGGTAGGGTCAGACTTTGGCGTAAACAACATGAAAGCATGGCTCCATCCTGCCTTGTATCAACTGGTCAGGCTGTGGTGGTGGTGTAATGGTGTGGGGGAGTCTTGGCACACTTTGGGCCCCTTAGTATTTAAACACCACAGTTTTACACTAGTTTTCATTGAAAAATCATTGAAACTTATCTGATTAATGAACTAATAATAGCAACTAAAGCATAGTAAGTAAAATAAAACCTTACAGCAATGCTGATGCTTTTATCCGGTCAGTTGTATGTAATGTGTTGCGCAGTTGCTGTTGGTGCATTATTAATGGCCCCTGTTTGACATAGGAAAACTCTTACACGCCTGCATCACTTATATGTCATTTCATATTCATACAGAAAGCTCCTGAGTAGCTTGTAATATGCACATAAACACAGGAACATATTACATATGCTTCTTTAGCTCTCATTTTAGAGACTTTTTACAAGAGAAATGTGACAAAAAAAGCTCTGATCACTGTGTCATCATCTCTTATCTTTCTTTACCCTTCTACTATCTTAATCTGGAGAGCATCCAACGTGAATTGTATTGAATTACGACCAAGCGTTCCCTGTAAAAGTTTAATAAGCCTTCGATACAGTGAAAGGAGGCAGAGAGACCAACATGGAGGGAACATATTTTCTTCAACATGCCATTTTCCAACCTAATTGGCAAATTGGTCATGTGGTTTTTTCTACCCCCCCACCTCTTCACCCTGCTGATGTGCTCCGGAGCTCATTCAATCCCCACTGAACAACTGATCCAGCAGCAGCTATTTGACCTGTTTTTTTATCTCTAATGCTGGAGATGTCACTGCAGCTGCAAACATCAGGACTCAAGTCTCTGAGCAGCACAGACAGCAGCAGAACATGCTCAACAGCCTCATTCTCCTGTGACAAAAACAAACTGCAGCTTCTGTGAATAACTCACCACAGCACTATGGCTGCGTTGAGATTACTATCCTGAGCAGTGTTAAGCTCTCTGCTCACCACTGAAAAAAGCATCATTAATCCTTTTCTAGCTCTGTATCACTGTGCTCTTAGTGAGATGAATGGATGGAGAGATAATGGACAGACAATCATATTTACACATTGAGCCTTAGGCTCATTCATATTCTGGCAACCATTCAGAAATAAAAGAATGGCCATCTCTCTAGAAGCTGACATTTAAGTTTAACAAGATGGAAGTTTTACACAAAACCCTACTTAATGGTGGTAAATGTAACTCTGGAGAAGGATGATTGTTGAGTCTCATTACCAGGTTGTCAGATACTGACACAAAGCATTGGTATTTGACGACCTGGGAATGAGACTCAACAATCAACTATCTTTCTCCAAAGTTCAATACCTCATTTTGAAACACCACTATAGAGCAAATTGTCTGTGTAAGTTGCAGACTCTCTGCTGTTTTATTTAGCTTGTAGCATCAGAATCAGTCATATGCAAATGAGCACAGTTCGAGTTGGTTTACTGTATTTAACGGAGTGCCTCAAGGTTCTGTGCTTGGTCTCTCCGTCAATAGTTAACTGTTCATCAATCAACTGCCAAGAATTTTTTTGACCAGTTATGTATCTCAGTTTATGAGTTAATTTCGCTGCTCCTCAGTTTACTGCACTGTGCACCACCTGGTTCGGGTGGGAGCTAGCTAGCAGCGCCACTCATTCTGTGATTATCCCTGGTAATGTCCTGATACAGCAGTGGTGCTGTAGCAACATGGTGGTTGCTCTGTGGTCTTCCTCTAGGTCACTCCGATGAGTAAGCAGGTCAATTTTGAGCCTCAAACCCCCTTTAGCATTTTAACTATGTTATCACTGTTAGCTCTGCTAGAATCGTTTAAAGTGTAAGCACGGCTAGTGCTGACACAGGTTAGCACTAGCCGTGGCTAGGTTTTTGCAGCTAAAATTAAACCGTTTACTCATTTGGGCTAGTTGGGGAGGACTGGAGGGTGGCCAAACTGTTTCCACAGCTAAGCCATCCCGCCACCATGGGTTGGGACGGCATTATCAACTGTAATTGCAGAATGAGTGGGGCTGCTAGCTAAAGTCAGGTGGTGCCCAGTGCAGAGCTGCCAAGGCTAACTAATCAGTGGAGACCATAGGGTGGGCAGGGGGCCATAGGTTTCCATGTTAACGTGGCTAGCTGGCTGCTTGTCAGTGAAGCCAACAGAAATAAAATGAAAGGCAAGACATTTACAGCACAAAACATTAAAATTTCACCACCTCTAAATGGATAGTGTTTTGAAATGCAGAGCTAAAGCTCACTGAGTCAATGGAGCACCAGACTAAATGGAAAGGCCTCATGTATTTCACGTCATTTAGCATTTTTCCTTAAAAATTAACCAGTTGATTACCAGTTATGGGTGTCAGGCTATCGGAAGCTAAATCAACCAAAACTTACATGAATAATTTAGGTCGTAAAGCACATGGAATTCAAACATATTGCTATGCAGATGATGAGGCACTGTATAGTTGTGGATCTTACTACCCAGATACACTTCATAAACACAGTTCACCTTTAATATTTTGCAGTCTCAGCTCGCTCAACTCAAACTGGTACTAAATGCAAGTAAAACTGGGTTAATGTTGATTTCTAATGCTAGCATGCCTCCAGATATTGTTACAGTTCAGGGGAAAACAATATGACTTGTCATCTGTAAACATATACAGGTAATTGACTTCATGAGTCTTTATTTCTGTCCTGTTGGTCTCTGGTTTATTTTTATTTAAAAAGCTATTCTGGGTAAAATGCATTCATATTCCTACAAATTTATTTCAGTGTTCATCTTGCAATCATTATCTCAGATCACAAGAAATATCTGCCGTCTGTCTCTAGTGTACAGAGACAGAAAAGGAAAGCTTTCTTTTTTTTTTGCTCTAGCCACTCAGAACAGTCCCTAAAATGAAATTGATTTGATAATCAGATATCTGACACAGAAATCAAGATTATGCTGAACTCTATAGTTAATGCTTTTATTCTTAATTGTGCCTATTCTTAACTGACTTGTAGTCTTATTTTAGCAATATATGTTTTTAGTATTGTTTTATCTGTGGTATGATTTTGTACTGTTTCTATCTATGCTGCCATCTTGGCCAAGTCTTTCTTGATTTACTGGGATTTACGTGGTTAAATAAATACAAGGTAAAAGGTTTAAAAACCCATTGCAAAGCTCATATCAGCATTATTGATTGAAAACCAACTCTTCCATTAACAACTGCAGATTTAAAATGGACAAATCACTGAATAATCAACACTCATTTACCTGTGACAACATGCAGTATGCATAAAAATCGAGCTGATTATTACAACTCAGACGCGAATTGATTCATTGCTCTTTTTCTAGACTTCTACTCTTTCCCCACTTTGTCTCAGGTCTCTCTCTCTCTCTCTCTCTCTCTCACACACACACACACACACACACAAAATGTGCTGATGCTTTTTACCTTGAGGTTGTGTCTATACGCAGCATCTAGTACAGATGGTACCAAATCCTCAGCGGGTTCCCCATTGTCGTCAGCCAGGCCAGGAGGATACCAGGACAGGACCAGAACCCCTGGAGACACACAGAAACTCATAAGTCTGATCATCCATCCAGGACCAAAGACACTACCTTAGAGAGCATCTGTGTAGGACCAATGTCCAAAATGCATATGACCCTCTGAAATGGGTCTCTCAGGCATTGTTGAAATGATGTTTGGCTTTCACACTGATTGTGTGAAGAAATGCTGACAATCCTTTTGGGAGAAATGGGAGCTGGAAAACTTTTGCTTTCATTAATCTACAGTGCGGTTTTCACGCAGCCCTTCACACAGTTTTACAGACCGATTTGCGACCATTGAACGAACACAGTCAGTTTTGCTTTTATTGAACACACTGTGAAATTTCTGCCTTGGAAATCCATTAGGGTAATCACTGTATTTTATGGGACTTAGACAGATGCTGGTAAGATTTGTGGTGATATGCTGTGTGCATGGACGGATTAGGAGATAAGGCATCCTTGGTCACAGATATGCAAAAGGTCCCACCACCTCTTCGTCACAGGAGCAAGACACAGGGACTTTGTGCTGGTTTTCATTCTTTTTGTTGTTGTTATTGTTTTGTGTCTCTCTGGGGTCATTTTGTGTGACCTTGTGCTTGTTTTGTGTTTCTTTGTAATAGTTTTGCATCTCTCAGGGGTATATTTGTGTCTCTTGATCGTTTTGTTGCTCTTTGTGGTTATTTTATGTCTCTTTGAGGTAAATTTATGTCTCCTTTGGTCATTTTGTTGCTCTTTGAAGTTCTTTTGCATGTTTTTGTTGTCGCTTGGTGTCTCTTTATGGGTTAATTTGTGTCTCTTGTGTCTTTTGGGTCTATTTGTTGCTCTTTGTTTTTGTTTTGTGTGTGTGTTTTTAATTGCTTTGCATCTCTTTGTAGTCATTCTGTGTCTGTAGTTCTTTTGCGTGTTTTTGTTGTCATTTTGTGTCAACTTAAAGGTCAATTTGTGTCTCTTGGAAGTATATTAGTTTCTTTTTGGTTATTTTGTTGGTCTTTGTGGTTTTGCGTCTGTTTGAGGTATATTTGTGTCGTTTTTGGTAATTTCATTGCTCTTTGTAGTTGTTCTGTCTCTCTTTTTAGTTATTTTGCATCTCTTTGTAGTCATTTTGTGTTTCTTTGTAGTCCTGTTGTATGTTCTTGTTGTCTCTGAGGCATATCTGTGTCTTTTTTGGTCATTTTGTGTCTCTTTGCAGTTCCTTTGCATCACTTTGTGGTCATTTTGAGTCAGTTATGGGTCGATATGTGTTAATAAGAGTGACATTTTGCAGATGAAGGCCCCTGGGTCTGTGCCAGATAGGCCTGTTCAGTAATCCATTCGTGGTCACAGATATGTAAAAGGCTCCCAACTCCACCTTGCAGTTCTTTTTGGACATTTTACATCTCTTGTGGTCATTTGGCATGTATTCGTGGTTGTTTTTCATCTTTTTGTGGCCATACAAGCCCGTTGTTTGTCTTTAACTAGAAAAGCTGATATTCTCTTCAAACAGAGGCTCTGGCTCAGTGGCCCCCTGGGGCCTCGAGTCCCTGGACCTGTGCTCAATAGGCCTATTCAGTGATCCATCCATGGCTGTGTGGTGGCGAGTTGATTTTTTTCTATCTGAATGCGTACCTGCCCATCACCCATACTCTTCCCCTGATTGATAAATATGCATTTGTCATCTTTGCACTATTTATTATGTCTTGTTTTAGTGGCAATCTCTCTGCGCAGCTCAAGTGTGCGACAGCTCATAAATTCCTGTAGAGAATTGCCTCCTCATGCTTTGATGCTGGCTGAGAAATACTGTAGCTTCATATTAGCCACAATGGCACCTGGCACCAGAGACTATCTGGCACATCGGATATGCACTAAGAGCTAATTCATTAAACTCATATCCGCTTGCTGTGGAGCTGTGGGGACTATTAGATTACAATACCCAACTACATCCATGTGTATTAAGAATATGGCCGCTGCTATTCATTTTATTTATGGGCCACTATGAAATGGCAGGGAATCAGTCATCAAGCCAAACGGGACTATTTAGAGTTTGGCAGACTGTGGTGTCTAATTAAATGGATTATTTTAAATAAGCATCGCGAGCCAGCACTCCCATGATCCATCTGTCAAGGCGGCGAGGTTTCAAAGGGATGGATGGCCTGGTCATCAGTCTGGATGGTGTACAATAACCTACTGGGCCGCAGGACAGAAACATCAGAGCCTATCATGTGAAGGCTGCTGACGGCTGGACAGACCGGGCTGTTACTCGACACCAGATGACAGGACTTGTCTGTCTTTAGGGAAGCCAAACAAGTTTTTGAAAAGACTAACAACATAGCCATTAATGTTTCATGAGACATTCAAAAAACTGATCTGAGCCTGAAGTTCTAAGAATAGAGGTAAGGGACATTAGAGCCAGTGGTGCCCCAAGAGATTTTTCAAAGGGGTGGATGGATGGGGCACCTGAAATCTTGGGGGTGGTTCACCAAAACCAAAAGCCGTAAGTGAATTTCAGAGACAGAGACTTATGAGAGACTTGTGGGTACCAATAGAAAACATTTTAATTTAGATATATTTAGGTGAGAGTTAAAGGGACCCCTTTGAAAACAGCCATGCTGATTGTTAACGCTTCAAATTTTAGACTAAATTTGGAGCGCTGTTTGGCCTCCTTACCAACAACCTATGCCGACATGGTTGGTACCAATGCCTTAGATTGTCTGGTGTCACAGGATACCACTATCTTCACTCTGGCTTAAAAAAATAGCACACCACAGCCTCTTGGGGACAGAAATGTCAGCGTCCAATTATTATTGCAAGGGAGGACCAGCAATTGACCTTTCACAAAGCCCCGCCCCTTTGTGATGGTCCAACAAGCTGTCAGAATAAGATGGAGCCCACACTGTAACTAACTGTGATTCCAGAGAGAAGCAGACATAGGGTCTACAGTCTGTGTTTGAAGGATATATCCAGGATGTCAAACTGACTCAGCAGCAACAACAGGTTAAAAAGACAAAGATAGTTAGAAGCTAAAGCCGAACTATAGGCTACAGATCACAGTGTAAAAGTGAACCACCACATCACTGCTGATCGCCACACAAGACAATGAATATAAAGGGAAACTTTGCTGATATTGAACCAGCTGTGTGGTATCGCAGTGTGTGTAGATGAACACTGTTTGGTTTCACTCTCATGCTGCTGCCAGCACCTTGACCTCTGCCGCCGGACAGACAGGGATCTCCAGGGGAAGTCAAACAACATTCATCTGCACACACTGTGATGACACACAGCTGGTTCAATATCAGCAAAGTTTCCCAGCTTCCCTTCACTGGTTCCTGTACAGCAGGGTCGGTCTTTTTTTCACCGTTATAATCATTAAAAAGCAAAAGCAGCATGTGTATACATTCAGTAGGCTATATCTTCAGTAGCTAACTAGCTAACCCTACACTTTCCAGGGTTTGATTTTGGTTCTGGAACAGGGAAGAAATGTATATCTTTTTCCAACCTCTCCAGGTAACGAGTGTCATTAATACACGACGTGCCCCAGGCACAACATTTAGCTCCAAATCCACAAAACCAGCCTGAAAATGAAGGAAATCTGAAATGACTGGAGCACAGCTGTGTTGTTGTCAGACCCTGGTCTGTGCTAGCCCGATGCTACATTATCATTGGCCAGTCTGCGTCCGGGGGCGGGACTTAGCGAGTGAATTATTGTATATTAGGGGGCCTTGGGTGATAATATAACAATATATTATCTTCTGTTATACAAGTTTTGTAACTACAGCACACAGTCTAACTTCACATTACATTTTAAACATTTAAAGTTTACATTTCTTCCTTCCCCTTTAATCTTTTAAAGCTGTGTTATCAGATGTGTTTTAAGACTCTGCATTGTTTCTAGAAAATCTATTTGTCGCTCGATTGTTGGTTGCCTGGCTTTGGATGTGTTGGTTCTTGTCTTACTGTCAGTGTTTTCGATGGTTTCTCATGACAGAGAGATCTGGGTCTCAGAGTGACATCCTAATTAAATAAAGGTATAAATATATTGACATTCATTGACTCTTACACAATCTAAACAATGATTCATGGGGTTGGGGGTAACACTTAAACAAGTTTATCATCGCTTTCTTCATTAATGTTTAAGTCAACTTTTTTAAGAAGCTGGTCAAATAAAAAAATGAGACATTTGAGTAGAATGTAATTAAATAAGTTAGAATATCTTAAAATAGTCTGACCACTTACATCTGAATAAATATTAAGTTGATTTAACTCAAGTTTTTCGAGGTCAAAGCAAATCATGTTGGTTGTACTTAACCATCGAAGTATGTCGATTATAAAAGACTCATAGGATTTATTCTATTCTGTTGAAAATTATATAAGAGGAACAATTCATCACATCAAATATAACGCTGACTGTGGTTTTTGCTGTATTATTCTTAAAAAATATATACTTATTAATATCCTGCAGCCCTATAGGGGGCATGCTGTGTTGAAATAGCACACTAAATTGAATCACACTTCCTGAATCAATATTGAAATTGAGATAGGAAGGTGTTCTCCTCATGATGTAGACCCATCTTTTGATTACTGGAGCTTTTACAGTCCTGAAGTTTGTCTCTGTGCTGCAGGAAAAGGCGCAGCAGCAGATATTTGGGGACTCTGAGCTGAGTGTGTAGGGAGCTGTCCACAGGATGTGTGGTGCTGAAAATATTTGTGCCCCTCAAGCGGCTTTATAGAGGCCAGATCTCTGTGCAGCTGCTGATCACAAGAAACAACTCAGCTCTTTTCTCTCTCCCTCTTGAAGAAAGTGGTTACATCTGAAATGTACCTGCAGCAGAGGCTCCGATCTGCTCCATGTGGGACTCCAACACGTCCGGGTCCCTGGAGCTGTACGGATTGAGCTCGGGGTAGAAGCTGGAGCCGATGTCCTCGGGCGGCATGTGTCTCCCTCTCGGGTAACTGGATGCGATTTTGGGGTCCCAGTGTGGAACCAGGATGTGGTCCCAGTGGATATACTTGCCGTCCATGTGTGGGTTGCCGTACCAGGTGTAGTAAAAGATATGAACATCGTAAAATATGGTCCCCTCGGGGCCGGTGTTGGACAGAACTGCTTTGGTGTTGCTGCCGGCTGGGTGGGCTTGACCCGGGGACGCGGTGGCGTCACGGGACACGGAGCGCCGGTCCGTCTTCCCGGCTATCATCGGCAGCAGCTCCAAACCCGGAGCCAGATCCGAGAAGCCGTCACTGGGCTTCAGGGTCCTCAGTCCCATCATGGTCCCGAAGATGAATAGCGTGAAAAGAAACAGAGCTATACAAGCTTTCCTCCGTAGTCTTGCCATGTTTGCTTGGAGAGGCAGGAGCTGCAAACGGCGCGGACGGGACCAGGAGCGCAAATAAACCTGTCTCAGTCCTGTTTCCTCACAGCCTACTCTTCAAAGTGTCCTGCGTGACATCTGCAAACAGTATATCCTCTGCTCTGAATGCATGACTAAAAGGGGACTACATGGTTGCAGTCCGGTCGCGGCAGACTACTTGACGCAGTTGCCTGTTAGATTTTTAACTTTGTCCAGCAGCTTCATGTCTGTCATGCTGCTGATCAGCCTGTAAGGTGTCACCACAGCACAAACTCACTTCCTTAAGCGCTTGATCTGCTCTGTACAGTGGCAATAACCGAGTCTATACACGCTATAACCCGTGTTCCCGATTTTGTTTCCATATAGACGTTTCACTCACTGACATCCAAACTGTAACTCCTCCAGTTGGCTGCCGAGTCCCGCCCGGAAGCTGATCCGTCCACCTGACACCCGACACAGACAGACAGACGACCGGCGTCGAGATGCGGAGTGATGCTCTCCGGTGATGATGTCCGGAGGGATTTTCCAGCCTCTACGGGTGGTTGGTTGGTGTCTCCTTTACACAGTCCGTTTGGGTCTCAAAGAGGCGGGACTCGTCTGATGTGCAAGGCTGCAGAGGCTCGCGCAGACGGGAATAGATGGCATGTATGATGTCTGCAGATCAGACACAAAGTTAGGCTCCTGTAGCAATATTGTCACTGTGTCACCATGACTCATCACAGACTCTATGAGTCTCATATCTTCAGCTGAAGACAAAGTATTAATTGTCATATTACTGTTTTTGAAGTTCAAACTGACTGCACGGTGAGTTCAGAGTTACACTGACATCTAGTGGTCCTTTAGTAGAACACAAGAGCACTTCACCATGCTGCTTTCAGGTACTGCAGGGAATTATGACGATATTGGTCTGCAACTAATGATTATTTTCCTTGTTGACTAATCTACCGATTATTTTCACGATTAATTGAGTAGCCATTTAGTCTAAAAAAATTTTTCTAAAAAATGTAAAACAAAACAAAAAGTGCTTGTCACAATTTCCCAGAATCCAAAGTGACAACTTCAGTTAACATTTTTTGTCCAACCAACAGGCCAAAACCCAAAGACTTTAAATTTATTTACAAATATTTATTTTAAAGAAGCAGCATTTAAGAAGTTCTTTAAATGTTCAGCAGTTTTGCTTGGAAAAAAAGACTGAAGTTGGCAATTAACTTTTTCCAATCAACTAATTGATTAATTGACTAATTGCTTCAGCTCTACATTATTATTATTATTATTATTATTATTATTATTATTATTATTATAATATCCGTAGTAGAAATGCCAACCTTCTCTGATTTACGATGTATTTATTTAATTGTATTATTCGCTCATTTAATTCAATTCAATTCAATTCAAGTTAATCTAATCTAATTTAATTTCATTTCATCTAATTTAATCTTATTTTATTTTATTCAATTTAATTGTATTTTATTTTATTAACACAGTGGTGACTTTACAGGTACAAAACAAAAACTAACCCAAAAAAAGGGTATATACACAAACACAACGACAGAAGAATAAAATAGGGTGACATACAGAGAGCTTGACTAGGTATAAATGTAAAAAAAAAAAACATAGCAAACCAAATAAGGATAATTTTCTTCTCAAGACAGAAATAATATAAATTATAATAACACATTTATATTGAAAAATAAGTAATAAATACACGATGAATGGGGAGTAAAGAAAAAATGAAAATAAATAATCAGCTGTTGTAGTATGTATGTGTGTATATGTGACAGGGGGTAGACAGATGATGTTAATGAATGGAGCCCAACATCTGTGAAATGTATCAAGTTCTTTGTCTTTCTATTGAAGTGTACTGTAGATGATGTCACTGGGAAGTTGAGAGGTTGTTTCTGTCTTTCCGGTTCATTTAGTTGATCTTTTAAAGTGATTATTAGGGCGACCGGGTTGTTGATGTTTCAGTGGCGGTTCAACTGATGGGAAACGATGTATTCATTTTTGATCGGAAGTAAAATATCCCTTTAATTTTATTTATCACTTCCGCCTTTGCACAAAACAAGAGTTCAGAATATTTACTGAAACGCATCATGTCGCCATAAAGGCGTCCTACGGTTCACATGAAGTAAAAAGTCCGTTTAAAGTGGGCTGTCCCGGGTACATTAAGAGGTGACTGTTGCAGTCTATCAGCTTGTTGCACCTTGGCTCCAGTCCAGCAGTGAGATCTTGGCTTCCGGCCAAGATAATCCTCGGCAGCACCCAGGAGCCGCTGACCTCTGCACTGACTACTGACAGTTCATTAGATTGCTTTCCTTGTCCACTGAGCACTTTGTTTAAACACAGACTGATATATAAACACACTGTACACCCGCTGCAACCGGCGTTACAAGTTATTTGTGGCTTAATACAAAACTAACTTTTACTGTAAAGTAGCTAAAATTGTCAGACTTTTATCCAACAAACTTCCTGCTCCTGCTGTCGTGCACACTGCTGTTCAATGACTCAAAGGATATAATAAAGCGGCTAAATATTCAGTTTATAAAGTGTGAAATTAAAGCGAAAAGAGTTATAGTAGCTAAAATGTCTATTGCTGTAAATTTTCAAAAGGCAGTGAAACATTTTGGGTCACCTTATACTTCCGTGTTTAAGGATCATAGTCTTTATTTTCTGAATATCTCTAACTGCACACACAATAAACATAGGCCTACCTGGCAATTTATGTCTTATGCAGCCTACTTTCTTGTGCCAGACTTATTTTAATGTCACTAAAACTTTAGGTTATTGCATTTAAAATAATTTAAAACATCACAAAGTAGCAAAACAAGGTATCAGAGATACTTTTACATGTTAAAAAAAAACGCTAAGATAAACTAAATTCGGAATATTAGCATAATTTGTCAGATTAAAAAAATATTGCAGAAAAACCTCTCGTCATTTTACATGTTAACATCCCATAAAATAATCGTGTTTTCTAAACTAATTAAAAATATAAAAGAAAGAAAATTAATTCAGGATGATGCATACATTTAACCAAATTAAATAAAAAAATAGCCTTATACCTGGTTATATAAACTAAAAAGCATTTTAGAAAACTTATGGCTTTACGTTATAATATAATCTCTCTCTGGCCAAGAAGTCTGTTCATATTTATTCCAAGTTTCTTGAAAGCACCAGTTTACATTTTAACGCTTCAGTGTGGGGCATAGCTTTCTGTGATTTATTCAGTTTAGGATATTTAATGCAGTCGATTATGTAATGTATAGAGCCATCTGTATATGCGTGTTTTGCGGGTCCACAAGGGGTCGTTGTGGTAGTTGTGATGAAATCGACAGGTCGCCTCTAAAACATCCATCAGGCGTCACGTACACAGAGGTGGAGCTGTGTTTCCATTCACTCCCAAAATTAGAATATTGATAACATTAAATAAAAAATACTTGATAATCAGTGTTTGTTATTATTCACAGATCATTTTAATTAATTATTCCTGCTCTCAGAGGTCGATAATTAAGACATAAACATATAAAAATGGTTAAATTAATTTGGCTTCTGGTGTTTGGTGTAAAATGAACGAAATAATCATTTTAAAATGTATATATTTTAAACATATTTTATAATTTTCATGATGTAATTTAAGCTTTTTATTAATTGTAGTTCTTAATATCTTCTTTAATTCGTTTAAAAAATTATCCATTTACTTATTTTTTGGGCTCTTTCGCTTTACGCTTGGTTAAAAGATCACTTTCCTCCTGTCTCTGATCCATCCATCATTCCACAAGGACACCAGTCAACATCTTAACATGATGTGATCAATCACTATCGATCCGTGAATTCGTTTGACCAGTTTGGCTTGTTTTCGTGATGCCACCTTGTATTTTGAGCTATTTCCCCCTTGCATCCATTTTTGATTTGCCCGCTTTCGTTTTCTGCTATATTTTAAACTCTCAGCCTCGGTTGTGCGAGTCAGATTAACTGTTTCTCCTGTGCTGCATGTGGAGAAAACACTCCCCCCTCTCCAGTGTGGATTAACATTAGAAAACATGTATGTGACATGTTAGGACAGCAGGTAACAACTCACTGTTCGCAAAGAAACGAAAGCACTAACGATGAGAGGCAAAATACGAGATGATATGGAGTAAAATAAAGTAAATATTAGCATTGTCTTATTAAAGTATAGGTTACAGACAATTCCCAATTAAAAAACAGCTCTACTGAACACAAATTGACACAAAAGATATTTTAAAAGGCAGGATTTTTGCTTTCTATTGTTGCACCCCTTGTGTCCACGTGCTGCAGGAAGATACATCAAATTTCAAGGATTAAAAAGACAAAATTATTTATTTCGTCCCACTATTGTGTCATAATACAAAGTCTTTTGGGATGGGACAGGTAATAAAAGTAGGTTTAAAATGTACCATACAAAAACTTTCCAAATTCTGGACACAGGCCCATCAGAAAAATTGAATCACTAAACTTTCTGGATGGAAACAACAAAAATATGATGGTGATTTTTCGTTGGATGTGACTGGTCACTTCCCACATTTGGGCCTTTCTCTCACACAATATGCAATATATCCTTGGGGACTATAATTGTGAATCACGTGGACATGACCGAGAGAGTGTGTGGGGGGTTTGTTGGATGAGAAATGGTCATTTGTATTGACCCACAGAGCTGACCACTGCAGGACACAGAGAGGGAGGAAAACGCGTTTCAGGACAGACACACACACACACACACTGGGAGTAAACTGGCCCTCAAACATGGCAGAAGGTATGTTGGGAGCTTTCTGGGGGGGAAGTTATCTCCGGGAATGGTTGAAGTGGTTTGTGAAAGGGGTTAGGAGTTGTTGCATTGTTTTACAGGGGTTTTTCCTTTTTGAGGGTGGGGGGGATTCTTCAGTAAAAAAAAAAAATCCTACCCTGTGGCCCCCACCCCCTCCACCCGTCATTGTTTAGGGGGAATAGGTTGCCAGCCCCCTTTTGTTTACCTCCCTCTCCCGCTTTCCCTCTCGCTGCGCAGTTTCTGCTTTTCACAGCATTTTGCATGAAAGTGGCAATCTGTGAAGATTACCTAGTTTGAGGGCTAAAAAAAAGATACTGTAGTTTGGGTGCTAATTTTGACTCAAGGCAGAGCTGAAGACATGGGCTCCGTTTCTAACCAGGAATTCCCAGGTGGAGTAAATAAACTGACTTTTGCCTTTTTTTTGTAGGAGTTAATGAAGTTGCTCTGAGATGTGGCTGACTGTGTGACTGCAGAGGAGCATTTTAAAGCTTTGTTCACACACATGATGTGCAGCCCGTGTGTCTAATCAATGCATTAAACGCTATTGAGATCCTGTCATCATGCAAACCTGCAAGACTTTGAAAACTGGTGCACTGAATGAAAACGAAGGTTGCATATTGTTGAGTTGTTTTTGAGAAATTAGGCATGGTCGCAATCGAAATTGAGCCTAAACACAGCTTGGGTGTGTTACTCATTTCATTGATTCGTATTGATTGATGATGCAGCAGCGAGAGAAAGAGGAGAAAACTTTTAAACCCCACTGAAATGTGGCCCATTTCATTTTTTAGATGCCTTTTAAACACAATCGCATTTGCAACACTTTAAACGGGTCAATTTGTGATTACATACACTTTTCTCTGCAGGCGTTTGTAAGACCGAGGAGGATGAAGGACCGAGCACCGAGGAGGATTCACAGTCTTTCCATGGGGTCGGCGTGTGTAAATGGTTCAACGTCCGCATGGGCTTCGGGTTCCTGTCCATGACCAACCGGGAGGGAGAGCCACTGAACGAACCGGTCGATGTATTCGTCCATCAGGTAGGATGAGACTATATCGGTGGCGGAAACGGTGACTAACATATAGGATATCCAGAACTAGTGTTGCATCTCAACTCTGGAAAAAAAGTCTATCTAATGCTGAAAATCTACTTTTCCGAAATCAAATGGTAGTGAGATCATCCCACCTGTTTCCAATACAACTTAATTAAGTTTAGCTTTTTCTTTTTCAGCATTCTTTTTTCCCACAATGACTCATTAATCCATGTTAAAAGGTACCCGAATAAAAGTACAGGTATAAAGTCCACTGAAATTAACCAATCTAATATGTCAGAAGGCATTTTGTTACGTTTGAAAAGTGAATACTATGTAATTTGTAGGGTGCTTTTGCAGTGTTGTGGGTGTATCTCCCTCAGGGGAACACGTGTTGCAGCCAGAGGAGAGCTGCGGGCCTCCCTCGTGGTTTTTTAAGGGGGGCACTGCTGTAATATGATGTAGAAATAAATTACTTGTTACAGCTCACACACTTACACAGACTGACATCGGTGCTTATAAAGTGAATTTAGACCAGTAAGTGTTGTGTGAGGTGCATTCAAACTTGTGTTTTAAGGATGAGGAAACCTGTTATTGATCCTCTTCTGAGGCTATGTGAACAATGGACATTTGCTCATGTTAGTTTTTGTTTGGAGAGTGAGGAGTGGCTGACAAGTTTTGCCATCTATCACTGCATCTGTTGACAAAGTGGGATCTTTTGAAATGAGTCATAAGTGGTTTGACTTCACTGAACAGAAAAACACCCAAACAAGGGTTATTGATCACTTCCTTGTAGGGATAAAATAAGCTCTTAACAGACATGCACATGCCAGTGAATATCCATGATTTTACCTTTTTTTTTAAGTAATTTTTTAACAAGGCTTTATACACCCCAAATTACTTATATCTATTTATGTTCGACTGCCTTGACAATATGTCTGTGATGGCAGTAAGAGGGTTGTAGATTCAGTTAGGCTACAGTTGGTGCTGTTCTGCTATTGTTGCTTTCTTAGACTAAAGAGATGTAAGAAAACACCTTGGTTCGTCCAGGTTTAAACCTTCTTACATGTAACTGGTGAAGTGGGAGGTAAAGACGCGGGGGATGCATTTCCCTCCGACTTCTCATGTGAGTAGGCGCCTCCTTTGCTGTCTGATAAGATAAAGGCTTAGCAAATGAATGAGAGTCCCCACTAGCTGCTCATTCACCTCAAGGTTCCTGTCATAAAGTGATTAAAGGCTTTTTGCTGTCTGCTCAACCCCCTCTGTGAGTGTGTGTACTATTATGTGAACCCTAAAGAGTAAAGATTTGTTTGAGGTAAATTTCCTTGTCCTCACCATGCCACCACTCTCCAAGGCTTTTTAATGTGGAGACATTTGTCCATCAAAGTGCTTTTTCTCTTCTAAAGATTTATTTTTATTTCCCATACATGCATCCACTTAAAGTCAGTCCATCGTCTACATTTTATTCTTATAAGCTTTGATAAACCACCCTAGGTTGAAGCCAGTTTTCAGACTCAGGAAAGTCATACTCGTTTCTGTTATGATGATGCAAATAGAGAGATTTCATTGTTCTGTGCAGCCGTTGTAACTGAAATATTGTTTGACTCTACACAGGAAGTTGTTGCCTGATTAATCATAATGCAAACCAAAGCATGAGTACAACTGGGGTTTAGAAACTGACAGTGTGGTGCTCCAGTAGTTACAGAGGGAAGAAAATGGAGAGGAATGGATGGTTTTACATGAGGTATAATGCCAACTACTGTTACATGCAGTTTAAATCCAATCTAGCGTCCAAAACCATATGTCTGTATGTCATGAAAACAAGTTGCTTTAAAAGAAGCTAAAATTAAGAGAGAAAGGGCGTGATGCTCACTGCTTTATAACCGAAAACCTCACACCATGTTCTCAATTTATCCCCAAGAAATGCGTAACCAATGACTTATGTCCTTCTCTGTCACCAGAATAGGTAGACACACACGCGTGCCCATGATGAATGTATAGGGGTTATGGCAATGCAAAAAGGCCCCAGCCCTAAAATTAGTGGCCGCGTGTCAAGGAAAATTAACTCCCAGGGTCCACTGGCCTTTGTGCAGGTGGACAATAGAGCCATGCATCCGAATGAAGCACCCCTCGGCCGTGACCGAGCCCCTCTTTGTCTCAGCAGCAGTCCTGCTTTTGTCCCTCGCTGCTCTGATGTCTTTCTCTGCCTCACTTGGCTTCCAGACACATTCTGGACAGAGTTTACAGTAGACCCCACTAATAGTGCCTCAACATCAGACCCTTGGAAGTTAAAGGCCCCCCACCCTGGTGTGTACAGTACCTGTGTGTATCTATGTGTGTTTATGAGTGTGGATAACCTGGTTTGGGCATGTGACTGGTGAGGGTCTGTTATGGGGGTGGGGAAGGTCACACATGGGAGAGGAAGTGGGTTAACGGTCACAAGGGTAGAGAGGCCTGATGGGATTGGGGCCCTGCGGACGTCCATGTTGCCACTCAAATGTCATGGCTTACCAATTGTGTTGCTCAGGACTTTGCAGCAGATGCTCAACTGTGAGTCACAGGATTAGAGAGGATGGTGTTATTGTTTTTGTTTTGTTCACTGCGGAAGGCGTTGCTAGTTTGCAGCTCACTATAACTATTACTTGTATCCTTTAATTGATAACCTGTCCTAAAGGATTCCCCTGATGGATTTGGTTTAAAGTGAACCCTAGACGTTCCTTACAATAAACCAAGTGCTTTGAGAAGCTTGGTTTTAATCACTGGTGATTTTGGCAAATGCAAGCTGCAGACAATTATTCATAATTGACAGATGGATGTGATGTTACTCAAAACTGAAATAAAGCAAATGGGATTAACGTCTATCAAAACAAACCCGCTACATCATGGATCTTTCTTCCTATGTCAACAGTCTGCTATAGTTGTGACAAGTTAATCTCACAGCTCCCTCAAAGGGAATTTTAGAGAGGGGTTTCCCATGTTGTGTTAACCAATCTCTGGGTTTTATCCTTAAAACCGCACCACACCTTGCCTTCCCCTTTATCACCCTCTTCCTTTCTTTGGAGTCGGAAATGTTTTTGGCGAGACACGAAGAAGAACCTCCTCAAAGGTCATTTCAGGTAAACATAGTTTTAGTGAATATGTAGCTTAGCAGGAGGCTCAAAGGGAGATACCAATCATTTGTGCTTTCCCTCAACTTTTATCTTCCACGTCTTTCTGCCAAACAACCATCCAAGGAATGTCACCCTGACCCCCAACCTCCCAGAGAAGCCTTCTCACCCCACCCCCAACCGTAGCACTAACCCTTGCATCCTGCAGTTTAGGGTTGGTGGTGGCGGTGGTGGTGGTGGTGGTGGTGGTGGTGGTCAGTGTGTTAGTGGAGCTTTGTGATGTGGGTGGGAAGAGGGATGGGGTGGGGGCAGCGGTGTGGAATGCTGTTCTTCCAGAGGGGGGGATGGGTTGAAGGTTATCCTCGTCAGGTTTACCACTCAAACACAGCCAAAAGACAAAGCAGCGTTAAGACAACAGTGCCTTTTAATGCAGGGCAGTTTGTATACAAACTGATCAGTTGAGTGGGAACAACAAGCTTTGCAGGGCTTGTTTGATTATCTGGTGAGATATAATGATCACCTTAAAATACCTGTTAAGTCCAATCAGACTCTGATGGTATCACACTATTAGGAATGGATGGGAGTTGTTGTTTCATGGGTCAAAGTATCCTCAGGCTTTATGTGGAGGTGATTTGATCACTAGTCTTGTGATATGGAAGGTTTTGGACAATCAAATTTTTCCACTGAGTATTATCTACTTTATTTCCATGGTGAAACGGGAAAACATTAATTATGCCTTTGACTCTACCTGTCATATCTATTAGGGCTTGGCAAACCTAATTTACCACAAAACTGGATTTCCCCCAACACCAAACAACAATATTGATGCCAAATCCTCCTCCTTTTCTTTCAGAGCAAGTTGCACATGGATGGCTTCCGCAGCCTGAAGGAAGGCGAGGCAGTCGAGTTTACCTTCAAGAAGTCATCAAAGGGCCTGGAGTCACAGAATGTTACTGGGCCAGGTGGCATCCACTGTGTGGGCAGTGAAAGGAGACCCAAAGGCAAGAAGGTCCAGAAGCGACGTTCAAAGGGAGATAGGTAAGCAGAGATGATCTAGGGAAGAGCAGGAGTGATATTAAATGAATGCGAGTGGTGCAGTTTTCTAAACCTGCAGAGCAACACTGTTCATGTAAAACTAATACAAAATAATTTGCCAACTTTGGAGAGGCAAAAGGCTCAATTGGTGGATCCACTTTGGAATCAGATATACAACAGTGTTTTAGTTTCTCCCCATTTTCCTTCCTCTTCCAACCCCCACCTCAAGCCCTAGCAAGGGTCACACCAGCAGGCTTGACATGTGACCTGGATCAATAACTGTTTAAATCTGCTGGCCCCTGGTGAATTCACACCCACTGACTCTCTCCCTCTTCCTAAACCACCAAAGTGATTGTAATTCCAAAACCAATCTCATAACTAAAAAATCACAATTTGAATATTGTAAACATTAATCTAGAATTTGATGGTTATTCTAGCACTGTCTCAGAGTGAGGGATATTACAATCTCTATGTAATAGTCATTCCTCATTGCTGTAAAAGAAGCGATTGTTATATTTTGGTTTGATCTGAACCTTTACAGAATTCTTGAGGAAGTGGTTTCCTGAGTTCAGGTACTGGAAAAGTTACAAAAAAGCCCAAAACATTTCCTCTGAAGATTCGAGGTTTCATGCAAAGGCAACAATGTCCCTCCAAGTGAAAGAAAGAAGGAAGAGCCAAGGGGGCCTTGATTTTTGGGTCATTCCTTGAATATCAATATAGTATGGGGTTAGAGTTGTATCAACTTCACCCCCCTGTCAGCTGTGATTAGAGCCAGAGAGTAGTCAGTGTGAGAACAGAGATCATTACCGCCTCAAAGAGTCCTGGGAGGCCCGCTGTGGCTCGATAACTCTCCGTAGACCACACTGATCCATAGATAAGATATTGTTCCCCTCTAGCGTATTTCATTATGCAACACTGGACGGTGTTCCATCGGTTCATATATGATTGATTGATCATATTTTTAAGCAGTAGTCAGATATCATTAAAACAGGACTAAGTTTCAGTTCTGGGTTCATGGTCTGCCACCAGCAGTTTTTCAGTCTACATTTTATAGACCACCTTTGTGAGTGTGTGTGTGTGTATATATATGACTGAGGGTGGGGAAAAAGCTCCTGTCCATTTAATTGATAACAGATGTAGGAGCCCGGGCAAGGGGGTGAAAGGTCACTGTTGTCATGGCAACAGTGTATGAGTAGATGCAAGAGGGCTGGGGGCAGGGATGGGATCGGGGGTTAGAGAAGTGAGGAGAGGGTGGGGAGGGCAGGGTTCAGAGGTCATTACTGCAGCTTTTTTAGACAAAGGGACCACTTCCCCTTCCCTCCACTTGCCTCCTCGTGGTTGCTGATGTAGGGAGCTTCTGTGATGTGACGGTATAGACCTTGACACCACCCCAACCGCCACAATGACCCCTCAGCAGCAGCCCAGTCCAAACGTCATCTGCTGCTACAATGGTGGCAGGGGGTCCGCAGTGGCACAGAGTGACCGCCCCACGCCCACCACCCATCTGTCTTTTGCCCCTGCACGCGTGGCCATTCTATAGATTATGTTTGAACAGAGGCGGCCGATGGCACCAGTGATGGCTCCCGCTGACCCCTCATGGTGTTCATTTCTAAAGTTCAATGCCGATGAAACGGATGTCTTACTTCGATACAAAAGAGTCCAACAGGAAGCTTTTGGCAGTGACAAACTGACAAATAGGACAAGCTGTTCATGATACACTGAGATAATGTGAGTCATGGTAACCATAACAGGTCCATGGAAAAATAGGATCCCTGCCATGTGAATAGCTGAACCCTCTGTTGCCCAATAGGTAGATTTAATACATTTCAGTTGTAATTCTTGAGCATCTAAGACATGTTTTGAGGTGTTCTGACCTGGTTTGCTCTTCCTAAAAGCAACGCTGTGTGACCTGGAACGCCCCTGCAAGATTTATGACCAAATGCAAACTCAAGTCATTCCAGGTGAAATGTTGCCATCTAGTGGCAAACAGGTGCAACTTAAACTCCCCCTGAATTCCAATGTGCTTTTGGTACTGGGACTTATTTTGGGTGTTTTACCTCCACTGTGCAGAATTATGCTGCCCTACAAAGGCTAATCACAGTAGCTATGCAAACACTGAAACTGAGAAAAATGGCCTCAATTTTTTTTTTGGACTGTGCAGTCAGGTTTGTTAAAGGTAGAGATGTAGTAATGCATTCATTGAATATATTTCTAAAAAGTAATTTTCATGCCCTAAAAACCATGCTCAATGTTTTGACTTATGATCCTTATAATACACTAACAATGTAGTTTCATGTGTAGCATTTTGCAAAGGGCAGTAACTTAAGTTTAAGTGTCTTATCGTTGGCAGTATGAGGAAAACGGTCTAATTTCTTACTAGATTCAATTTGTGTTTGTTTCATTACAGATGCCTTTTTTTTAGTACTAACAGAAAATTTCAAGCAACCCTCAATTTTTTTTTGTTGTTGTAATATTCACTTCATCCGTTTGATCCAAATTAAGATTACCTGACATCAACATTATCATCATTATCACTGATGTTGCTATGGTCATCTTCATGTTATCAATCATGTTGTTCTTGGCATCATCCTCATCCTCATGTTCACTTTTAACCTTAAATGCTTATAATTTTCCTTGGTCCGATAGATTCTTAAATCTCCAAGAACCCAAGGCAGAGCATAGTTACTACATTCACTGCGGTTTGCCTTGAAATTTTGTAGTTACTACCCTAAATTCTCTAGAACAGAATAAGACTGAAGTTGGGTAAAGAATGGTTTTGCTACATCACAACTACCAGCCAATCAGGGTTTAATATACAATATGACAAGGTACTTCTCAGTGAGGTAGCAGACATCTTGCGTCCACTTAAGTTTTGAAATTTGGGGGGTTTTGAATAAAGGAGAAGCAGACATGTACAAATGTTTAACTAGTCAATCAAACGTTTTTTCAATGAAAAACAAACCACATTAGACACATTACTGCTCAAAATACAGAGTTGTTCTGTGTCTTCAAACATTTCTGGAGTGCAGCTATAGTCAGTACTTCTATATATTAACAGTGGATCACAAGGTTACTTGTATATGAAGAGGGTCACTCATTACAAGGTTCTTTTATTGTCACTCTACAATACAGGGTTGCACAACAACAAGACAAACATAAAACAAAAACAGTGGTGTACTCCTGTAGATTGTGAATTTGCATCAGGAGGAATTTTCTCTGCACAGGCCAGCATTTTAACATTAATAATTCAGCACCAGTGAAACACTGTCCATCAATTTTTGATTATGTTTGAGCACCAGGCATCACTGATGTAAACACAGGGCCCACTTCCGCTTGTCCCACCGGAGTCCTGCGCTCTGTTGGTGGTCAACGGTCTGTCTGTCAAGTACAGCTGTCTGAGCCTGGATGTTATGATGAGACGAGGTCTCTGCAGAGATGTAGGCACAACAGTCTCCAATCTCGTGGTGCTGGGTTAACCTGAGTATTATTTAATCCATTACACTGGATAGGGGAGTGAAACAGCCTTAGGTCCCTGCTGGGGCATCACACCACCCGCAGTGATTGTCTGGAGATCTGTTGGACATTTCTCTGATGTTGATGGATGTATCTCTGTCATGGGCCATAAAAGCTCCAGTAGCAAAAGTTGAAAAGACAACAAATTACAACAAAATGTAGAGAGATTCATGGGAACTTCTGGCCACCACATGATCTACATGGGCTTTGGTTTTCTGGTCTGGTCTGCACAAGGTTGTTTCACTCTCACTGCTCTTGTTGTTCTTGGCTGCAGTAGGTAGACAATACACTGTCAAACAGCAGACAGACAGACAGACATCCCTCGGGGATCAATAAAGTATTTCTGATTCTGATTCTGTATTGAGGTAGCTGGTGAACATCATTGAGTGTTTAGCAGAGACAGATATTTCCCTCAGGAGTAAGTGGAGACCAAGGCCAGACCTGTGGAGGCCGACCAGAGGTAACAGGAGAGTGGATATTGGACTTGTATTTGCCAGGACGCCAAAAAACTGACAAATGAGTAATAATGTTGCTCTGCTGGTTGTGTAGACCCTATCAAATTAAATGTTGTTATGAGTCATTGCTGTGGTCAAAGCTTCCTTCCACTGCCTATAAGTGGCTGAAGAATTGGTTAGTTCAACCACCAATTTCATGTGATTAAATGCTCTCTGCTCTTGTAGGTGCTACAACTGCGGAGGCCTTGACCACCATGCCAAAGAGTGCAAGTTACCACCCCAGCCCAAGAAGTGCCATTTCTGCCAGAGCATTGACCACATGGTTGCCAACTGCCCAATCAAAGCACAACAGTCCTCACCGGGTTCTCAGGGAAAACCGTCCCCCTCGAAAGGAGACAAAGAGGAGCACAGCCACTCAGCACCGCCCCCGGAGACCTCAGATTAAACGGGGAACTGGGCAACACTGACGCCGGGGAAGCACAGAGGCCAATCAAACTGCTTTGATGGAGAGACGGGACACACGGATCCCTTCCGCCTGTCGAGGCTGCTTTTGGAACTACCTCAGGTTAAAAGAAATGCTGATGAAGAATGTTGCTGAATTGTTTTTGTTTGTTTTCAGTTGGTGTAACACTCAGGAATACTGCTGTATTATTGCACTCAGGTCGCTTTCTTAATGTTTGAATCATTGCTGGGATTTGAGATTGTAGTGAGCAATGCCATATAACTGATTAATTTGAGTTTTTTTAGGATCTGTTTTCTTTTATGTGAAACTGTGCCCCTTCTGTGGGCACTATACCTCTTCTGTTTTTGCAAAATACTCAGTGTGATTAGTATAGAGCTACACTTTTGCTGCCTTACCATTTAGTCTCCGTTCTGACTGTTACATCTCACTATCCGACAAGGCAGATGCGTGACAGTTGGTACCTCTGTAATGAATGTTAGTTTGCATATCGCATGGGGAGTGGGAGGGTTTGTGAAAACACATGGGACGGGTTTTAGGGTATAGCTATAGGCAATGTATTGGCATCTGCCAGTATCGCAATTGACCATCCAGTTTTCCTGGGGCCAAATGAATGTCAGACCAGAAGTGATTTCCAGCTTTTGGTCAGAGTTATTTTTTGTCATTTCATTACTTTCATCCACCTTTAGACAGTTTTGCCAGCTGTCTAAATGTGCTCGTTCTACCTCATTGGTGCATGTTTGGTTTGCTACTTAAACTGTCATTCAAACCGCTGATGGTAAACCAAATATTCTCAGAATACAGCTTTGGAGATTGTGATTTGAATTGGGATTAAATCAAATCCTTTTTGAACTACAGTATTTACACAGCACTGCCATTAGTTGTAACAAACCCCTTTACACTTGACACGCCCTGAATATTGTAAATTTCAGTTTCAGAAGAAAAGAGAAATGGTTAGACCCAGACGCCAGAGAGGTGTTGGGAGAGGGTGTTTCAAAAGCTTGTGGACCATGTAACAAGCACTTCTGATGAAGCGTACTGGCCACTGAAATCTCTTGAACCTCTGACTTCACAACCCAATCACCAGAAAAATATCTGGCATTGCACATTTCTGCAAACCACTGGTGCACTACATTTGTACGTCATCATGTAGCGGATATGTTGAAACTTGATGTTTCAACAACACTGCCTATTGTGTGGTTAGGATTACACACAAAAAACACTTGGTTATGGTTAGAAAAATGTGTTTTGGCTTGAAACACCCAGTTTGGGAGGGAACAATCCAGGCAGGAAAAGCAGTGATGTCTTGGTAAAAAACACAACCACTTTTTTTGCATACTACTCCCTGCAAAAACAGCGAAAGATCGCTACAAAACACCCACGTCTGGTGCCTGAACATCTGCTGAAAATACAGCAATAACTGACTGAATCACAGCCAGTGTTGGTGTTCGGTCTCAAACCTCCGGATAACAGTCAACTCATATAAATTACGTCACTTTAGGAACCCTTATATATACCTATGAAACATGCAAATGTAATGTATTCTTGGTTTGTAGAAATGTACAATGCCAAAATTTTCTCCTGGCAATTGGCCGGACCACACTCCAGCTGGATGTGGTCGGTTGTACTTCGCTGTGTGAGGTAGCATGGCACCATTGTTCCACTCTACATCACAGCTGCTCTGAGTGCCAACAAACATGTTGTCACCACTATTTAGCAGACTGCATGTAGTTCAAGTCTCGACGAGAGAGGGCAGCAAAACACTGTTTACTACCTGGTGTTAAGTTGCTTTTTAACCTTTCTGGGAGCTTTCCATCTACAGTATTTCCTCATTTCATTGGCTGCTGTGTGAAAACTGCTGTTTCATAATTACCTCAACTTGGATTTGATCGAAAACCAACCAGCATGATACTAAAACCCAAAACATCATCACTACTAGTAAGATACTTGACCTGGACTGAGTTACTGAGGGGTCCAGCTAGCTCTCCTCTTCATACTTGAATAAACTGAGGCAGAATCAGACATGATGTTGCCAGTGGGACGGCTGGTGTTTTTGTTTATATCCAGTGTGATCCATTTCTAGGTAGTTTATTTAAGACATTACCTCCCTATGACCCTTAGTAGGGTAATAGTTCAGGAGCACCAAGCCTGCACGGAGGAGCATGTAGAACTAGCTAGCTAATCAGCATTTTACTCCCGTTTTACAGGAGAAGCTGACGTGACTTTTACACCCAATTAATATATATGTAAAATTATTCTAAAGCCTTTTTAAAAAAAAATCATACTACTTATTTATTTTCATCCAAGAGTGCTGCCGCTTCTCCCTCTGCTTCTGTTGAAGCCTCTCAGCAATGAATGTTCAAGGAGATATCAGGAAACTGTAATTCAAAGCTATATATGACATGAGAATATATTTGGGTAACACGTTTTAACATCAAGGTACTCATGTTACTTTGTATATATGTGCTTGATAAATCACTGTCATTGTCCTTTTACAGTAATTAAATGCAGTATGAATACAGTCTAACAGTAATATATTGCAACATATGAGTGAAAATATACAGTACATACTGTACAGGGACATAGTATTTTGAGGACTGACGTTAACTGTGAGTTTATTTTCTTTGCCTTGAATGATTTTCTTTTTTTTATTCTTTATTTTTGTGCACAATGAGCCTTTCAGAAGAGAGGCCCATTGTTGTTCTTTTCTATCTATGCCAAAACCAATGCAATGTTACTCTGCACTAATCATGTGTAAGATGCATTAATTATTTTTTTATATTCAGTTTAATCTCTTTTTGAATATATGTTCCATATTTTATATTATATATATTTTTTTTTAGATTTTCATAAACCACATACAGTCGTGTTGCTTGTTAGGGAAAGATAAAACAACTCCACTCTTAGGCTCATCTCAGGAAATGCCAATCTGAAATCTCAGGGAATACTTCAGATTGATTGGAAGGAGTCGAGGAGTGTTTATTCAGGATAACGTAGGGACTGAATGTTCATCCACATGATGTGAAGCATAGGACAAAGATGCAAAAGTAAAGAGTTTGGGAATTAGTGCAACAGTTTCTCTGTTAAATTACAAGATAAGCAACGATTACAAATGATGTGAAACAGTTGAAATTAACAAGCTTTTTTTACTCTGCATCTTTCCAAGCGCTCATTGTGATGATATCTTTATATTTTCTCCTCTTTTACATAACTTTGCCATGTTATGACATGATATGAAGAAAATGTTCCACTATTATTGTATTTTTTTTCCTCTGTAATCGTTGTAGATGGGGATGTAGTAGAATATTGTTAAAGGGATTGGGGCTAGTAGTATATAACCCGGGGTTGTCTCATCTCAACACATGGCCGATACTTGGTGTTTCAGACTATCAATGCTTATGACAAAAAGAATGTGTCATGGATGACTTAACACTCAAATATTGTTTCATACTCTGCTGTTTATATACATGTATTAGTTGATTAAAAAATGACTTTTGATAATGTTTCTCAGGATATGAAAGGATGGAAAGATTGTTAAAGTAAGTGCTCTGATTAGATGGAATGGTTTACTTTTCTGTGTATTTTTATGTTGATGTCACCACTTATGATTGCAGTGCCAGTATATCCTCTAACTTGAACACTTTTCCTTTCTTTGCATTTAAAAAGGGACACACATGGATCAATTAACTGTCTTACAAAATCCCTGAAACCACTGACTAACTCATCTGTCTACCCTTTAGTTCGATTCTGACACACTATTTAGATACTGGTTGAATGTTTGGTAATGTCTGCAATATTCTGCTGTACGTATCATTTGGAAACTAAAGTCCACGAAAGACATTCTGATTGCAACAATTCTGTTCGACCCCTCAGTGGTGTGTTATTGTGATATGATTGTCAGGTGTTAGATGAGTCAGATATACCTTGAAAATCCAAGGACTTGTACGACTGCGTGCTCAGGACGACATCTGAAACACATCAAAGCATTCTGTATCACAGTTTGCGTTATGTGAGCTTTTTGTGGTACATCTTGATTATGACCATCAGCCATTCAATCTGTGGTGCTGTATCATCAGATAAATGGCTAGAGCTACTTCCCAAAAAAATGTGCATTTATTACTGATGAATGTATTAATGTTTACTGCCATAAAACTGTATCACGATCCATCTTATCTTAATGGCTAGTTTGTCAATGATGAGCAGCATGTAGGCTTTTCAAAGTATTACTGTGATTATGTTTCTATATGTAAAGATCTGCTCCATTTCCTAGTAAATATGTCAATATTCATGTGTCCTCCTTGCCTCTTTACTTCCTGCTCTTGCAATTAAGATTGTAAAGAACTAAGATTATGAGTAAAAAGCTTGCATGCAAAATCATACTTAAAGGGATAGTGCACCCAAAAATGAAAATTCAGCCATTATCTACTCACCCATTTGCCGAGGGAGGCTCAGGTAAAGTTTTAGAGTCCTCACATCCCTTGCGGAGATCCCAGGGGAGAGGGGGTAGCAACACAACTCCACCTAATGCAGGCTGACGGCGCCCCAGATCAAACGTCCAAAAACACATAATTGAAACCACAAAATATCTCCATACTGCTCGTCCGTAGTGATCCAAGTGTCCTGAAGCCCCAACATAAAAAGTTGTTTGGAAAAACGTTATTTGAACTCTGTTTTTAGCCTCATTGTAGCCTGTAGCTCTAACTGCCTCTCTGTACACTGAGCTCACGTGTGTGCGCTTGCGCGAGACCATGAGACATGGGCACCGCGTTCATGTGTACAACCACCTGAAAATAAGAATTGTGTTTTTGTTATCTTAGAATGAGCCATTATATCTACTTAGGTAGCAGGTCCTTGTCTACGGAGATTGCTATGTTTCACCGCCATATGTCTACAGTAACCCAGGATGAACAAAACAAACACTGGCTCTAGATAGTGCCTTTGTGTTTTTGCAACTGCTTAATTCAGTGTTTTTACCGGTTTAATTCATGACATTTTGGCTCATGGAAAACCTAAACAATGAATACTGAAAGAATCCTAACTGAAGGTTCACCGCTGGTGGTGAACTGCTGGTTGCAGTTAGCAATCCTCATCGTTAAATTCCATTAAATCCCCCTAAATCTTACACACTGTTCCTTTAATTATTGCACATATTGACACTAGGATCTGACAAAAGGCCACACAAAAACTTACAGAACAGATACTACATGGGTGATAATGACAAAAATAACGATTGTTTCAAAAACATTTTTAGCTTTTCATTTGAAATAGTTATGTCTCTCAGTACATATATGGACCTTACAAACAAATTGGTACCAAAGAGATTTTGCCACCTTAAGAGGTGCCATATTCTAGCCTGGCCCATGGACTTTCAGAATATTATCCCCCTGAGACCCTGTGTCCTCATATAAGGACATCACATTTTGGGATTTCTTGACCTTATACACTAATCCATGTAAAGCCAAGAAGGCAACCATCTCTGCCAAGTCAGTCTGCAGCCGATCCCAACACATAAGAGGACAAGGTCCAAAACTTGATCACATTTTATGGTTGAAACTTCCTTATTTATGATTAATAATGTTTGTAGTTTGATACACCACCCATTTTTTTGCCAATTTTAGCAACAGTAACAGGCTATGACACTGTATATTAGGAAGTATTAATTTGAAGACACTGGGACTTTACTATCGTCTTGCTGGTGGGCATTGGGACTTAATCATCGTTGACAACGTATAGTTTTTTATACTTATTCGGTCCCACTGATTCCAAAAAGGTAGGAGAAATGATATATGGTGTATGTATGTATACCAAACACAAGTTCAGGTCTCAGGAAGTTATTAGATGTCCTATTGATCATGGGAGTAGTCTACATTTTTGGTGACTCAAAAAAGAAACAGTTCTCAAACAGAAACTTCTGACTGTAAAGTCAGTCTCACTCTGGTTTATTTTACAAGAAGTGAATGCCAAAGACAAAATATCAGTTCCTTTTTTTTCTCTGCCTGGTAGCCCACTGAAACCCAAAGTACTGTACCATGGGTCGAGCTAATGGCAGCGCATTACCACCTTTATCCACCAGGGGCGCTGTTCTCTGTTTATATTCTCAATGACAATCTTCCCGAATCCAATATGGCGCTCAGTCAGAGGAATGCTACTAGAACTGGCAGTTAAAATGACAATTATTATTACGTATCGGGGTTAACTCCACAGTTTAAAGTGAAGTCCTGAGTCGCGATGTGGCCGACATTTCACACAGTGTGTTTAAGAAGCCGGGCTGTCAGCAGAAGAAGCGTCGCCGCTGCTCTTGTAACATGTTCAAGGCACAGGGATAATGCTAACGTGTCTCTCTTCAGTCATTCAGCGGGACTAGCAGCACCAACATGCAAGGCTCTTCTGTTCAGAAAGCACGGGGACCCCTCCCAAGTTGTTCAGTAAGACCTTCTGTCTGAATAAACATTAAACATATTGTTTATTTGTGCCTGAGACGATGCTAATGTAGCAGATGCAGTTAATACGTGGCTAAAGCTGCTCATTAAAAGAGTTGGGGCGTTTAACCAGGCGTTCATTTGCAATAACAACTAATAGTTTTCATTTTTGAAGTCATTCCTCTTGTTATATTTAAAAATACCGATTGAAAACACCTCTAATAAAACATAAATCTCACCTTTTTGTCGCTTATAAGTAAGTTGTCAAGTACGACGTCTTCTTCGCCTGATTGCGGTACTCTAAGCCGAACTTGGCTCATTACCGCCCCCTGAGGCCGGAGGGCGAAAAACACCCACTGGCACCATAGTGGCCGTTTCCCCAATACATCCAGGAACAAAAATGAGCCCATCCCACACCCGAAAACACAAAACATTTATGGTTAAGCAGAAGTGTTCTCAGACAGCATTTTTAAGTTTAGATGATGTGTTTTTTATGTATTTTTTAAATCTTGTATTTAACCTGTATTTAACCAGTTAAGTCCCGCTGAGATCAACTATCTTTTTTACAAGGGAAACCTGGCCAAGACAGCAGCGCACAAAAAGTTACAACCAAACAACCACACAATGAAAAACATGAAAGATACACAGTAACATGTAGAAATACTAGAACACCTGAAAGTTATCCCAAGTGAGAGGAGCAGAGCACATAAAAGCTTTCTTAGGCCTGGAGATCTCAGACTGTAGCTACAGTCAGATCTCTTTTCAATCAAAGTACAAATGTACAAAGGGAGTTGACCTAGTTTGGCTGATGAGTGAGGGCTTTACAATATGTGACATATCTCAGTGCCCTATGAAATCCAGTATCTAACATGTGCAAACAGTGTGCAGATGCATTCATGTATAACAAATCACCATAATCCTGAACTGGTAAAAACATAGCAGTAACAGCTGGTGCCATGGTCGTGTGACGCCATTGTACCCAAAAAGACTTTCTCTAATAGACTTTCATTGTCAAAGAGACGTTTGTAAATCAGTGGATACATTTTTTTTAAATGTTGCAGCCCCTCCAAAATGACTCTATCAGGATTTGATCATTAACACTTTGAAAGTCTAGAAGAGCCACACTAAATCGTTTCATCCCTGTTCAAGTTAGCGGAGGGCTAAACCGAAGTTAGAAACTCGGCCCCTAGGAAAATCTGACTCTCATACCAGGGAAGTTGAACTTTTTTGGTTTCATGTCCCACTGAGCAAGTTTGATAGGAATGAATGGGGCTCTGTCTCCAACGCTGTATCCAGTTCTCTTTGTACACCCATGCATTCAACATAGTGTAAGGTCAACTTCCTATTCTAAATAATCTGCTTTTGATATTACATGTTTCAGTTTTTGTTTTCAGTATTTCTTTGGTCAGACATGTCGTACCTGTCTCCATGATGATAACCACCAGGAAGGACCTGGACTTAATTTATTGTATCTGTTACTAGTCTGATACACTGTATTTCATAAATAAGAATGCTGTCACCAAACCAAACAAAAGACAATGTGTAGTATATAGCTTGTCTATACATGAGGTTTTTTGTGGTTGCCAGGTTGGAGGATGTAGATCTGCCCCCCATGGGTGCAAAGGGAGTTCTGGTTAAAATGTTGGCAGCTCCAATCAACCCATCTGACATCAACATGATTCAAGGTATTTGGTTTGTTAGTTAACTCGACACAAGACAGCTCTGACATGAATAAGATAGTCAAGAAACCCAACACAGTATTTATTTTTATAAGGTTTGAAGATTGGTTGTTTATTTGAGTGTTTTTTTTTTCTCAGGTACTTATGCCATCTTGCCTGACCTCCCAGCTGTTGGGGGCAACGAGGGGGTGGCTCAGGTCGTAGAGGTGGGCAGTCAGGTGAAGACCCTGAAAGCAGGAGACTGGGTCATTCCAAAAGATGCAGGTCTAGGTAAGTAACAACTTGAATTACACAAATAAGTCAGAGGGATCACAATTATGTCTTCCATTATGAGATCTCAAGAGTGTGGTGCATTTTTGTGAGCAGGTACGTGGAGAACGGAGGCAGTGCTAGCAGAGGACGATGTCATATCGCTGCCAAATGACATTCCCTTGTTGTCTGCTGCCACGCTTGGGGTGAATCCCTGCACTGCCTTCAGGATGCTCTCTGACTTCGAAGAGCTCAAGCCAGGTAATCATTTACACACACAGCATCATAACATTATTTTTCTTTCATAGATCCACAAGCCATGGATTAGACATACAGGGGTAGACATAGAAGCAGTCCCTCCTTTTTACAAATATTCCACTTACAAAATAAAATGTTGATTGAATTGCTTTTAAGCGATCAAGACTGAAGAAACCATCAGCCCCCTGCTTCAGTAATGTAACAACTAACATTTTTGGTAAAACTGAAAGTTTTTTTTGTTAGCATGCTTGTTTTAAAAGACCACTAAAGCACAAGTGATTAACAGTAGTCCTTACTTTGGTAAGTGAATTTAAAGCCACTGCCTCGGTCAGGTTTATGGGCCGGTATTGGGTGAACTTCCATTAGAAGGAATCTTGCACCTTTAAAGCTCCATGTGTGGTCATTAATCAGTCATGTCCGATATCAGACAGAATTATCAACTCGTAACACTCTGTTTCAATCTTCACTCTGACATTGTGTCTGGTCTAACCAATTTCCATGAGGATGGGGGATTTCCCCTGAGGAACCACTAGAGACCAACATATCCGCCTGAATCTGACGTCATTTTAGGTTCACACTGGCTACGGTTACATGATGGCTTCTCATTCAGAATGAAATAAGTCTGAATGAAATCATTCGGAATTAAAGTTTTTCCAAGTGGTTTACATGAGAAATATTCATTCCGAATGAGGGTTTACACAGGAGATCAGTTTAATTGCCTTTATTCGGGTCTGCACAAGGTCTGGGGCAGGGAAGGTTTCTGATTGGATAGGGGGCGGGGCGGATGTTACGTGTTTACATTTTAGGAAGAAAACACTGTAGTCCTCGCTCCGGATAACAAGATGCTTGACAACGCCGTTCTTAGTGCCTTTTTCGGGCTTGTTTAGCTTATATTCTTGAAGCAGCAGTACGAATGCTTCATCTGTTGAGGAGGAGAAGGGAGATAGAAGACCGTGCTTTGGCGTATGGAAACCGGTGAGTGCAACGACTCCGACTGCTCTATCTCAGCCCGTTGCTATGCGCTCTATATACATCATCGTGCCAGAAGGGCAAGGAAACTAGCATGTGCAGAAAGAATGGATTGAACTTAAAGAGGAATGAGTGTATACATGCACACAAAATTCATTCATTCAGAACGACAAACGGAATAAACCACCCCCTTTAATCAGATTTAATTTTCAATCGGAATGACCACTTTTAATCGGAATGGCCTTTCATTCTGAATGAAAGTGGAATTAAACTGTCCATGTAAACGTACTGACTGATGCGTATCCATGCCAACATACCTTTTCTTACTAGGGTTTTAAGAGTCGATTGGAGTGGAGTGAAGTTAAAAACAAACTACAGCGGGTAAAATAAATATTGAACACGTCACCATTTTTCTCAGTAAATATATTTCTAAAGGTGCTATTGTCATGAAATTTTCACCAGATGTAGGTAACAACCCATGCAATCCACGCATGCAAAGAAACCAAAATAAATAATTTCAGAAATTAAAGTTATGTGTAATAAAATGGAATGACACAGGGAAAAAGTATTGAACACGCTTACTGAAATTTATTTAATACTTCATACAAAAGCCTTTGTTGGTAATGACAGCTTCAAGACGCCTCCTGTATGGAGAAACTAGTCGCATACATTGCTCAGGTGTGATTTTGGCCCATTCTTACGAACAAACAGTCTTCAAATCTTGAAGTTTCCGTGGGCCTCTTCTGTGAACTCTGATCTTTAGTTCTTTCCACAGATTTTCTATTGGATTCAAGTCAGGTGATTGGCTGGGCAATTCTAGCAGCTTTATTTTCTTTCTCTGAAACCAATTGAGAGTTTCCTTGGCTGTGTGTTTGGGATCATTGTCTTGCTGAAATGTCCACCCTCGTTTCATCTTCATCATCCTGGTAGATGGCAGCAGATTTTTATCAAGAATGTCTCGGTACATTTTTCCATTCATCCTTCCTTCAATTATATGAAGTTTGCCAGTGCCGTATGCTGAAAAACAGCCCCACACCATGATGTTCCCACCTCCAAACTTCACTGTTGGTATGGTGTTTTTGGGGTGATGTGCAGTGCCATTTGACCTCCAAACATGGTGTGTATTATGGCATCCAAAGAGTTCAATTTTGGTCTCATCTGACCAGACTATATTCTCCCAGTATTTCACAGGCTTGTCTAAATGTTGTGCAGCAAACTTTAAACGTGCTTCAACATGCTTTTTCTTCAGCAATGGAGTCTTGCGTGGTGAGCGTGCATACAGGCCATGGCGGTTGAGTGCATTACTTATTGTTTTCTTTGAAACAATTGTACCTGCTAATTCTAGGTCTTTCTGAAGCTCTCCACAAGTGGTCCTTGGCTCTTGGACAACTCTTCTGATAATTCTTTTCATTCCTCTGTCAGAAATCTTGCGAGGAGCACCTGGTCGTGGCCGGTTTATGGTGAAATGATGTTCTTTCCACTTCCGGATTATGGCCCCAACAGTGCTCACTGGAACATTCAGAAGTTTAGAAATCCTTCTGTAACCAATACCATCAGTATGCTTTGCAACAATAAGGTTGCGAAGGTCTTGAGACAGCTCTTTGGTTTTACCCATCATGAGATGCTTCTTGTGTGACACCTTGGTAATGAGACACCTTTTTATAGGCCATCATTTGGGACTGAACCAGCTGATATTAATTTGCACTGACAAGTGGCAGGATTGCTTTCTAATTACTGATAGATTTCAGCTGGTGTCTTGGCTTTCCATGCCTTTTTGCACCTCCCTTTCGTCATGTGTTCAATACTTTTTCCCTGTGTCATTTCACATTATTACACATAACTTAATTTATGGACATCTATGGTTTGATTTCTTTGCATGTGTGGATTGCATGGGTTGTTACCGACATCTGGTGAAAATTTCATGACAATAGCACCTTTAGAAATATAGTAGAAATATAGTTACGTGTTCAATATTTATTTTACCCGCTGTATGTTGGGTGATACTGAGAAGACATATCAATTAAGAACAGCCTCAACAGTAGTGTTTATGTTGTCTAATGCACTGCCAATTGTTGTTATTACTCCTTGTTGGTTTTGGCATACCGTTACACAATAGCTTGACAGTGGCATTAACCTCAGCCCTGATTGGTCTTTCCGCACCACCCATTGGTCATCTTTTGTTTCCACCAAGAAAACCCTGTTTCATGTCACGTCAGACGAATCAGCCAGCTCAGTGAAGTTGGCAGGGACCAAGGGATGGACCCAGGCAATAATCAACAAGCAAGCTGGTATACACATGATGGGAACCACACGTCCAATTTACCGTAAAACTGCTATTAATAGCCCGGGCTATTATTTGTTTAAATCACTGAAATCAACAGGCCTGTATTTGGGACAGGCCTTTAATTCCTTTCACACCAAAACATTGCTCTGCAAAGATCGGGAAATACAATCAAATTGTTTATTTAAACTGGTAAAAAAAATTAGACGTCAGATAATATGTCAGTTATGAATCATTCATCTGATATAACTCCGGCAGACAGCGTATCAGAGAAAGAGTTACGGCGCCCGGCATACCGACACAATGCCACTTTTTTCTGTTTAAAACAATACTCACAACTTGGATTCATTTTTATGAAAAACCTTTTTGATTCTTTTATTTTGAGGACCCTTACGGACTAAAGGAATATGAATAATTTACAGGATAATCGAGGAACGGACACATAATTTGAGGTAGCCAACAACCCGCTTTTATACAGAGCTTCTATTAAAAAAATGAACTGCTTGGCAACCACACCAGGTGTGTAATTGAGACAGCTGTTTATTTGTCAAAATGTGGAGCCATACCAGGCTAGTAAAAGGGCCATAGTATTTAATTGGGACTAGGCTTTTAATTGAAGTTTTAAGGTAAGTGCTTATAAGGAAAACACATCAAAATGGAGATTTGAATATGCCTAAATTATCCCTAAAAACACAGCATTCTATGTTGTAGTTTTAGCCATCATGTGACAGTTTCCCCTCAATCCATTGTTCTTGCAGGTGATTCTGTGATCCAGAACGCAGCCAACAGTGGAGTTGGGCAGGCTGTAATACAGATTGCTGATGCGAGGGGAATAAACACTATCAACGTCATCAGAGACAGGTGAACTTAAGTACACAAGTTTTTCACGAGACTAAACATTTCAGTCCTAATCACTGACTCGGGTAATCAGCCAACCTCACAGTGAAATAATGGGGTCTTTTATCCAAGGGTAGCAGAGAGAGAGTTTTTCAGAATTTATGACTGTAATGAACTTCTTCATTGTTTCTCCCTTTTCAAAGGACAGAGTTCACACAGCTCAGTGATAGGCTGAAGGCCATCGGAGCAACATACGTGATCAAAGAAGAAGCACTTAGGCGGCCTGAGATGAAGGAGCTGTTCAAGGTCAGCTTAAAAGATATGATAATGTTGCTTTGGATATTGGTGAATAAAAAATCCTAATATATTTTTTCTTTTAAAAAGACCTGTCCAAAACCTAAACTTGCACTAAATGGAGTTGGGGGCAAGAGCGCAACAGAACTGCTCCGTCATCTACAGTGAGGATGCTTTGTCATCTTTGTTGACATAACCTAATATCTTGCGCTAAATACAAAATCTGATCATAAAATGTTATAATTCCCATGTGCTTCAGGTTTAGAGGATCCATGGTGACATATGGAGGGATGGCCAAACAGCCAGTCACTGTCCCTGTGGTAAGATGAAACCTCCTACAGCCTCCTGGATTTAACGTTTGACTTCACAGAGACACTTTTTTTCTCAGAACACTCACTAAACTTGTTCTCTCCAGAGTGCTCTTATTTTCAAGGACGTGAAGGTTCGGGGATTTTGGGTCACACAGTGGAAGAGAGAGCACTCAAGCGGTGAGTTGGCATGGAGTCTCTGCTTTCAAAGGTCAAAATACTCTTTTAAACTGTATTTAATGATACATACTGACTTTCTCCTTAGATGGAGAGGCATTTAGAGCCATGCTGGATGAACTCTGTCACCTCATCCGGCAGGGAAAGCTGACAGCTCCTGCCTGCACCAAGGTGGGCCTTCAAGATTACAACAAAGCTGTAGACACGGCTATGCAGCCCTTCACCTCAGCTAAACAGGTCCTGATCATGTGAACGGAATCATCAACAAATCAGTCCAAAGTATATGAACTGAAGTGAAACCCCAGGAGTGCCACACTATTGTCTGTGTCAATGGAATGCACTGCTCAAGCACATACTCAATAAATGTGTCCTCACAGCAGACTCAAAGTCCAACATCTGTCATTTTATGACATTTTGAGATCCCTGACAATTTACTGACAGTAATTAAAAAGTCATTAAATCTTTATATAGTGTTTAAGGATAACGGGAAGTATCATAGTACCCAGATATTGCAGGTTTATCTGATATGTGTGGTAACAAGTTGCACTGGTTGAAAGTTTAATGGGCATGAATAAGTGCAATTGACATTAATGACTGTTGCAATAATACTGATGTTCACCAAGCATTGATTCTTGCTGCTAAAATAACCTTCAACAAATACACAAATGTTTTAGTCGTATCCGATTTTATTAAATAGATACAGCAGAGTCTGACGGGAATGTTTGGGGTAAAGAACATTTGACAAAAGTCTGGATTTCATCCAGAACATCACAGCTGAATGTACTGTAGCCTCTTGAGCCTAATGAATACATCATAGTTTTTTCTATTGACTGGAAATGAAGTATTCAGCCAGTACCAATGAACCAAGGTCAAGAGGCCACATCTAAGATTGCTGAAGCCAAAGGTTGTTTGTTACCTGCATTAGTATATGCATGACTCACCTAAATGACAGATGTCTATGATTTAGAACATGAAAACATCCTGTGATAGTAACTGTTAAATATTTACTTAGCCACAATGATCTGTGATAGATGATCATTACCGATTGGCCAACATCAGACTCAGAGCCACAGAGAGGAACGGCAGCAGCCCACCATAAATGGCAGCTGCCCCTTCTTTTTCCAGACAATGCTCATACCTCTCAAAGTCTACCTCTCTGGCTGCACACACGTGATCAACACGGCAGTCTCTGTGACACTCCGTCAGGTCATAGCTGACAGAGTTGAACTCGTAGTACTTCTGTAGGTAGCAATGATTATTAGCAATATGCTCCAGAACCTGATGCATGGAGGCTGGGGAAGCGTCTGGTACTCTGAAACTCTCTGTGAGGCGATACTCCTTCTCCCAGCGGCCGCGGGCTGCATTAGCATGTGTCAGGTTCAGATAGTGTGTCACCACATCCTGCGTGTATTCAAACAGGTGGTTTAAGAAACAGAAACCAGAACAATATAAGCACAAGTTGCTTTCATGGAGGCTGTCTATTGCAGCTTAGAAAGACTCCTAAATATGTGAGTGGACATTATACAGACTGGTCTTTACTTACTTTGACCAGGAGTGTTTGAGTGTCATATTCAAAGACACGGATCCCAGGGTTGTTGGCTCCATCCACTACTCCAGGAAGAGTTGTTTTCCATGGTGTGACACCAGGGCTGAGGAACATTGTGCTGATAGGAGAGCCTGTAGAAACAGAAGGGCCATCACCTCTGATTATCACAATATAATGTGCCAAAAAGTCATAGGGAACATCTGGACACTAAAGGGTTCAGTGGGTAGAATTTAGGAGGGCAGGAATGGAATATTATTAGAATCATGTTTTTGTTACCTAAGGGTGCTTTCAGACCTAGAGTTGTCTTGCTTTGGTCTGAATCAAGTACTAATTTTGTTACAAAGATGTATAATTGCCTAGAGTTGGTTTGTGTTCTCACGGCAGCATTTTAAAAGCAGACCAGATAAACTGCCTTGCACAAGAAAGCTGCTCTTGATTGGTCAGAATTTCCATGCGGGAAAAATCCAGTAAGTAAACAATGTGCATATTAAGGCAGTACAGGAGGAGGTGCACATTAATAATCCTCCAGGACTGTAACATGCTCATGTTTAACGCAAACAATGTGTAATGTGACTTCAGTTGGTTCGGATCGAGGTCGGAACACGTTCTCACCACAAATGAACCGCACCAGAGTTCGTTTGTAACCAGACTGAGACCACCTCTTCAAGAAGGTCTTGGTCCGGTTGTTTTGGTGTGCACCCGAGTGCGATTGCTGTGTTCACACCTGCCCAAATGAACTCCACTTAGGGGGCAAATGAACTTGAGTTCAGTTGAACCGAACCAAACAGGGCAGGTGTGAAAACACCTTTAGAATGTTTATATTGTTATTATCATTTAGATTGGGAGTGAGTCCTCGTCACCAGGTTTCTACAGTAGCCCAGAACGGACAAAGCAAACACTGGCTCCAGAGAAACCATTTTATGTTTTCATGTCAGCTGTCGTAGTTAGCAGCCCCTCCACGACGAGCAGCATTGGAAAAACACAGATTTTTAGCATGAAACTGTTCTATCCAGTGTTTTTACCAGTTTTAATCACCCGGTTCGTTTGTTCTGAAGAGGAAGAGACCTCTGTGGATAATCGGCTCATGGTAAAAACCACCTGAACAATGAACACTGAAGTAATTGTAACCGGGAGAAGTTTCATCTGATTGCAATCTGCAATCCTCACAGCTAGATACTACTAAATCCCCCTAAATCCTACACACTGTTCCTTTGATGTATTAGTCTCACTGTAAAGACATTGAAAAGACTGACCTTACCCTTTGAGTTGTAGAACATTCGGAAGCTGTCGGTATGATGATGGCCAAAGAACTGTCCATGTATGACTGAATGATGCTTCTGGATTAAATCCAAGTATAGCTTGTTGAATTGAGGCCTAAACCATGGCTTGTTTCTCTTCTTCTCGAAGAAACCTGGGGGAACGTGGCCGATGATGTACACCTGGTAGATGAAACAAAGTAGAGTTAGCAAAATGTATTTTCTTATCTATTTTTTATTCACATTAGTGAATGAAAAATCATCTTATGTCTACTATTTCAGTTTAATCATCTTTTTTCAAGGCATGACTTAAAGTGGGCTTGAATTAGGGAGAGTCTTCATCTTCATCTTCTAACCGCTTCATCCTCTTGAGGGTCGCGGGGGGGCTGGAGCCTATCCCAGCTGACATCGGGCGAGAGTAGGGAGAGTCTGCTTGTGAAAATTGACCTCCTTCCCATTAGATTATTTTTCATTAAGAGGATGTAAACTCAAATCTTAGTTCCTGTTAACCTTAGTAACCAGAGTTAAAACGAGGAATAAGGAGTTCATTACTCACGGAATGATTTATTACCCTCTAAACTATAATTACAACATGACACTGAATCCAATTTAATTTAATTGTTGTGGGGCATGGATAGAGAAGTAGCTACTTTGCCTTTTCTTTGTTGTTGGCAGCCTCTGTTAGAACCCGATCCGCCCAGCTAAACTGGCCTGCTGGGTCCTCCGTGTCCTGGGTCACCTTGTTCTGGTCATAGTAGAGATTAGTGTTGAGGACCAGCATCCTGAAACCTGCTCGATTTAGTAGCTTTTCTGTGTAATATCCACCTGTGTAAGGAAAAATATAGCAGAAAACACATGACACTATTGGACGTGTGCTTTCAAATGTATAATTAATTTATTCTTAGGAAAGCAATTACAAAAACAGCATCACAGGAGGCTCTATCCACCTTTTATAAAAGTCTCTCTGGACTGTGGCTCCAACCAGTCCTGCCACATCTCTGCTGTTCGGTTATATATGTAGTTTGGGGCTGCTGGAAGTTGGCTCTTTGGGTGGTAGTCATGGTTACCCAGGGTAGAGTACACTTTAGTTTCTAAGGAAGGTTTAGCAATTATATGAGTTTAAAAAATGATGGTAATCTTTGATATTTTCTCCCTTAAAGATCTCGACCTCACACTCACCTGGAAACACCTGATTTATAATGTGTGTTAGGTTGCTGATAATGTGGAGCACTGCTTCTTCACCTAGATCTTCATTAGGTACATGTGGTGTGTCATCTCTGAAAAGCAAAATAATACATAGCAGATAGTTTCGGGATTAAAGGCGCAATGGGAAAAGTGATTATTTTTTGGGCTCCACTATTGGAGAGGGTTTATTAGAAATGAAATGGGCTAATTCACAGTGGAACAGTTGCTGTGCCCCTATAGTGCATGACATCTCGTAAAAACATAAACATGATGGTTATGAAGCCTTTATCTCTCTATAGATGGACTTGGGACTCAAGCACCAAGCGCCATTAAACACATTATAGTCAACATAAAGCGCATACATACCCTGTCCATACTATGAAGTCCGGGTCTGGTAGAATATCCTTCATGGCATATACAGAGGAGTTTATAAGGAGCCATGGCGAGTCACAAACATAATCTCCATACTTCCCCGCATTGGCCGCAGGTTGTTTGCCGCTTGATGCGCACACAAGTTCAGGATTATCGCTTAGTTTGTATGTTGGGTCCCAGTGCAGATCCGTGATGTGCCAAAAGTTCCCTGGAGAAAACGATGCGTACTTACGCACATGAAGTTGTTTCTGCACTATGATAGGAGTTGTTCTAAAGAAACATTTTAATGATGTAGTCTATAAAAATATAACCAGGCTACATACCTGACAGCGCGACCAGCTCTTTGAAAAGCAGACAAGACAGGAGCAGCCTCACTGCGGACATGTTGAACTCTTCCAGGAAAGCAAAAGTCCGAAAAAAGTCAAGTACGGATTTAAGAGGTAAGTCTATAAAGGGCAAACAAGATAAGATACGGGATACAGCTGTTTATGACGCGTCTTTGGCCTGAGGGTGGTCCATTGCTGATTTCTCTGTTATACTTTATAGACTATTTAGTTCCCTCTTTTGTTAAAATGTTATAACCTACCCCAGATAGTTTAATATAGTCTACACCTGGAAAGAAGTGCAAACGTCAGTGTGTATTTTTATGAATTAAAAAGGAGAAGTGTAGTCGCAATATTAACCCATTTTTGGCAGCAGGCCCTTAACACACCCACAGCAGTACGGCAGGCGATGAGACAAACTTTCTGCATCATGTGGAAACACTCCAGTGATTTGATCCAGAGATTGAAACGCTGTACTGACTACGCAATATTAAAAGGCTACAGATTTGCCATAAAAGGGAATTAAATATACTAATCCGGGTACTTCAGTGCTGAATCCCTCCATGTAAACTATTTTTATATGGGCTAAAGATAAAATCAGGAGGCTTGCTTTCAGCCTGCAGTTGTCCATTCTGGCATGAAGCCTAAATTATTAGTTAACAGGAGAGTGATATGGGTTTTCTGCAACACAAACAAGTGCATATGTTTCTTTTCTCTTTGATCGGTGTGTTAACGTTACAATTTTTTGTGACATTGTAGCTTAAGTACAATATTTCATTAAAAAAGTAGAATAATTCGAGTTGCATATGCTGCCTTCAGGTGATGCTCGGACTTCCCGCAGCGCAGGTTGAAATTCATAAACTAATTGTTGGAAGCAAATATTTCTCCTTAAATCGATTTTTGTCAATATCCTAATCAAGCAGAAGAACATCATTAAAAAGTTGGCAGGTATTGATCAAAATTGTTAAACGCTTGAGAATATTGTGCCTATCGATATTTTGTAAATGTACCTTGTGCCACCTAACGTTTACTAAGTGAGAAATATGTAGTGATTAATAATTTGTGAAAAAATAAAAATAAAGAAAACATAAGAAAAAATGTAGTGTAGCCTATATTCTCACAGCAGTTGCCACTGATGCAGCGATAGGATAGGACACACAAAATTTCCGAGAGGACTCGAAGGCAGCACAGCCTTTAGTCTCTAAAAGCTCTGTTTTTATTGCCCCGAGCTTTGCCTTTCAGGTACTCTATTCTCTAAGGCTGTGTGCCGCCCCTAACAAGCTATACACGGAATATTTCTTGTAAACAGACGCTAAAAGTATATTTAGGGTCTCTGTTGAGAGCTGTAGTCGCCACAAAGACGTTACTTGTACACATCCAGACATGAACGACTGTCTGACAAGCAAAAACCAGGGCAAAAATTTGCGCTAACTCTGCTGACAGGTTTCGCGCGGGACTTCTACTATGCGCATGCGCTGTATATTGAGTTCTGCGCGCGGGACTACAAGGAAGCCTGCAGAGTTGCGTGCGGTTGTTGTCGCTGCCACACAGCGTTAATAACATTTCAGATTTAATTTTTACTAACCTACACACACAGAGTCGACATGTGGAACCAGGGTGAGTTTAATGTTCGCACTGCTGCGTTCATGAAGTGTTGAGGTCTTTTTGTTGACGTTGTGGGGCTGCGGCTAACGTTAGCTTAACAACTAACTGACCTCTTAGTTGTTGTGTGTTTGACGTTAACGTCAGTTGGTGAAAACGGTTTGTAATGGGAGGATTAAGTGGCTCTGTCACTGTCCTTCTGTCATTTCAGGAGGGTACAGTGAGTCGGGTGCGGGAGGAGGTTACACACAGTCTCCAGGAGGCTTTGCGTCACCTGCCGCGTCCCAGGGAGGAGAGAAGAAAGGGGTTTGTACTAAAGTCTACACAACAGCTTCTTTGTTATCAACCTATCAAAGGCCCACCCCCTCTCTCACACTACTGTGCACTGACAAAAACTGTCTGTGTGTGTATCTTTTGCAGAGAACTCGTGCCAATCAGATAATCCCCTGCACAGTGTCCCAGCTGATGTCTGCCTCCCAGGCTGATGAGGCCTTCAAAGTAGGAGAAGTAGAAGTTGCCCAGGTAAGCTGAAGCAAAGCAGGGAGCACAACAACAATAAATAGGTGCCAGTAGAAGTAGGTGTTAGAGTCTGATGGCTGTGGAGACAAAGGATCTCCTGTGTTGAGTCCTGCAATGCAAAGAAATAAGCCCATCACTATGGCTGCTTCTCTGTCCTGCCATGATGTCTCACCACAACAGTCCCCACTGAAACCAAGTTCCTGCCAAGTGCTGAACCTGCTGTCTTTATCAGCTTGTCTAGCCGTCTCTTGTGCTTGTCTGTCATGCTGCCTCCCCAGCAGACTACGGCGTACAGGAGTGCGCTTGCCACCACTGCTTGGTAAAACATATGCAGTATGTCACTGCACACATCAAAAGACCTAAGCTGCCTGCTCTCACTTGACCCCTATCATTTATTTCCTGTTACGTTGTGGCCTCTAAATGGTGGCATGACAGAAATGTCAGAGTTGTGAAAGATGTCTAACACAATTTCCCCGAGCCCTTGTTGATGTACAACAGTTTAAAAACTAAAGCATTTTCAATTTTCAAATATATAAAAACACAAGAGCAGCAGACCCAGAGTTGAAAGCTTGAACAAGTAAACGTCTGTTTGAGGAATGACTTAAATAATTAATCCAGTATCAACATTGCTGCTAGAGAGTTGAGCAACTGAAAAACAATCTGCCACTATTTATTAGATTTCGTTGTTTCCTTAGTAATTCCACAAGGTGAAACGACAAACATTTGTAAGTTCTAGGCACTCAAATGTGAGGGTTTAGTGCTGTTCTTAATACAAAAGTAAACTGAATAACTTGCGGGGTACACCCTGGACAGGTCGCCAGACTATCACAGGGCTGACATATAGAGACAGACAACTATTCATACTCGCATCCACACCTACGGACTATTTAGAGTCACCAATTAACCTGCATGTCTTTGGACTATTGGAGGAGGCCGGAGTACTTGGAGAAAACCCACGCTGACACAGGGAGAACATGTAGACTAATTTGGTGTATCATTTACTTAAGAGATGATACACTACAGCATATTGATACAAAGAATGTAGCTATTTAACTGTCTCAATGTCACTGTTGGTTCGTGTTCTGTGTCACAGGTGACCATTGTAGGTATCATCAGGGCCACAGACAAATCCATGACCAAAATCCAGTACAAGGTGGACGACATGACGGGTGCTCCAATGGATGTGAAGCAGTGGGTAGACACAGAGGTCAGTGACGGGTCTTTTATCTTTACACAAACAATTTTAAAATATACTGCTGATGTATTTCTCTCGGTTATCTTTTGAGAGAAGCATGAATCATGTACTGTAAAATGTGTATGAGTGGTGAATAAAACCCATTACCAAGAACGTCACATTGTTGGTGGTTTCCTGTTCAACAGAGGTTGATAGACCATTTTAATTGGTGGATTAATTTGGGTATAAGATCATTTGTTTGGTTCCATAGTTATGAGATTGGCCACTGCTGTCTAGTGACTGCTCAGCAATAAGTTTCACTTCTCAAATTTATTATTAACCGAAAGGAGTTAGGAGTTTTGTTTCATGGGAAGGCATTAAACGCGTCACAGTATCAATACAACAGTCATGACACAAAATACCAATGTGCATGAGGTCACGTATGTAGAGCATTAAGCAAGGATAGACACTAATGCCAGCATGAATTACAAATGTAAGATCAAGACCCAGACCAAATGTAAAGTAATGTGAATTGCTGTGGCAGTAATCCCTGCACTAACTCAACCTACTCCTGTTGAGAGCCTGAGCATTGTTTTCTCCTTCTTGTTTAGAAGCTGTAGCATATATTTTTGGGGGGTAAACTACATAAATCAAGCCCCTTAGCGACACTGTTGTTTTGGTTTGTACAGGACCCCAGTGTGGACAGCACTGTCCTGCCTCCTGGAACATATGTCAAAGTCTCTGGCAACCTGCGCTCCTTTCAGGTGAGTTAACTGTCAGCATCCTCTCTACAGTACCCAGAGACAAAGAGGAACTTTAACTTCAAGAGCTCTTGTGAGGCCACGTGACCCTGTGACATTAAAGTTGGCCTGTTACAAGAACTTATTGTTTTAGTAATTTTATTCTTATTGACCACATTGGAGTTCCTCTTTGAATTCAGCTGTTTTACAACCTAGTGGTGAATCTTTGTGTCCTTGTCTCAGAACCACAGATCTGTCGTGGCATTTAGCGTCAGGCCACTGGAGGACATGAATGAAATCACCTCACATATGCTGGAGGTTGTTCAAGCGCACATGATGCTAAGCAAATCTCAAACCATGGTGAGAAACCTTAAGCATAAACCTCTGCAGTTTTTATTGTTGATTTCAAACACATTGAGAAAGTTAGGTTACATCAGTTTATATCACATATTAATACTACTGATGTTAAGGAATGCTTTGTTTAAGTTAGAATTGAGAAAATCAGCTAAATAAAAACATGCATCACTTTTAAGACACTGATAAACTGCAAAAATACATCAATCTGAATCTGAAAAGCTGTAAAGTGACATTTTTTGGACAGCAGTTATCTGAGGAGAGTATACTGTACCTGGTTTCAACATGCAACAAAACTGTTGTGTATTGCATTTTCTCTTTTCAATCTTTTTCCCATAACACAGAAATGCAGAAGTCAAATTTGCTATTGTCACATTTCTTAGTATCTACTGTCAGTCTATCTTTGGGGATTTTATCTGTGCTGTTATGAGGAAACTTTTCAGCACAATTTATTTTTACTTCTGTTCCAGTCAGGTGCCAAAAGAGGAATGAGCAGTGACATCAAACCCATGTCACGACCAGGCATGGATAGCATGGGTAGTAGCTACGCAGGTGCTATGGACATGACTAACAATGGCCTAAGCGCAAACCAGAATCAGGTGAGCCTAAATCCATGTGTCCTGCATACTGACCTAACTCTGAACATGAATGTTTTAATTGTTATTCATGAATTTGACTGTTACTATTTGGCAATGAAATATATTTTAAATCTTTTTCCTTTTTTAAACCCCTAAAAAAAGCTGTGAACTAGTTAATGTTCCCAAGAATATAAATTGTCACTGATTTCGTCACATAACGCACAAGATACTCATCAAACCACATAATGCTAAGTGTCTTATATTTCCTGTCCCTCAGTGGTGGGTAGTAACACGTACCATTTACTCGATTATCTGTGCTTTCTTGGAAAAGAAAACTGAAAATAAATTGTCCTTCTTTTTAAAAAAAAAAAATATAAAAAAAAGATATTTTTTGGGCCATTTTGCCTTTAATGGACAGGACAGGTAAGTGTGAAGGGGGGAGAGAGAGAGGGGATGACATGCAGCAAAGGGCCACAGGCTGGATTCGAACCCGGGCTGCTGCAGCAACAGCCTTGTACATGGGGCGCCTGCTCCACCACTAAGCCACCAATGCCCCTAAATTGTCCTTCTAAAGAGGTGTTGTTCTGCAGAATACTTTATACTGTTACTTGAGCACCTTTGCGATACATGTACTTATTACATTGGGCTACATACTTCTTGCTACTTTTACCCCGAAAACACACCAAGTAGTGATGAAGTGCAGGATGTCACATTAATTACATTCCTCTGCGGCTGGGAGGCGTGTTCATGTGTTTCAGGGTTGAATTCTGGGTAACACAGGTCTACGTTCCAAATTGCATACTTTTTCTTTTTACTTTTAGTAGGCACTGCAGCTGCCCTTAAAAAGTACGTACTGTTGCATACAGTATGCACACAATCATGATATACTATTTTCTCATAACATTACGCCCCAAACTTTGAGCCTCATGCTTTTATATATCCGTTACCTTGGAAACAAACGTCATTTACCAGGTTCGACATAGACAAAGATCAACCCAAAAAGCTCTGCTGTTGTTACCTTGCAACATGTGTAGTTTAACTTTAAAGCTACAACTGCAGAAATTGTAGATTCGAACATATTATACTTGTGACAGTGAAATTACATCAGCAGTTTTCTGTTATTTTTATAGGGTACTGGAACGCACAGTGTGTGTACTGATTGGCTGTGGCTGCAGTTTGCTGCTAAAGGTTTAACCATTACCCACTTTAAGTTTGGCCACACTCTACCACAGACAGATTGCTGCAGCTCCGAGCTCTAGCCATTGGCTGTCAGCTCACCGCAGGCCGCACTTTCTGCTGCTTGTTGTACTTTCAGTGTCACCAATACATTTAGCTTTAGCTATAAATGATTTTTATATTTGGCTGAACTAACATGCCTGACAGCAGTTGCCCGACAGTGAGCAATAAGGTAGCCTACAAGGAAAACTTTGACTTCAGTCAATATAATTATAAAGAAAGAATACTTTTACTTGAGTACGGTTTTTGTTTACCCACCACTGCTGTCCCTCCTCACTGTAACTCCTGTAAAAGTTACATGAAAATAGCTCACTCATAAAAATCAGTAATGGTTTGACAATGTTCTGTCTTGACGGACACTTGTTCTGTTTTAACATGTCCTTTTTCATCTCACAAGGTGCTGAGTTTGATAAGAGGCTGCCCAGACCAGCAAGGCATCAGCATTCAGGACCTAAAGCAGAGACTCGGTACCATGAGTCTGGCTGCCATCAAGTAAGAGAAGTTCAGCTTTAAGTTGTAAAGGGATAGAAATATCCTTTGTGATTTTCCAGTGAATTATCACAGTAGAGTTAAGTTTCTGTGTTGCATCCATAGCACACATTCTAACTAAGCTGAAAAGCAAAGCACTTGAAGATGACTCATTGACCCTGACTTCATGATTTGCACTTTGGTCACATAGAGTTAAGTTTAAGAGAAGACAGAAAGTGAGCAAGTTGAACGAATTACAACATTAACTATGTTGTTTTTCAGTCCTCTTTTACATAAAGTTCAGAGTTATGCTTTTTCACAAATGCTAGCTTGACCACACATGTCGTAAGGGTGCACTCTCACACCACTGGATGGCTTTATCAGTTAAAAACAATCTGTTGCGTGGAAGGGATGCTGCAAACACCTTCCAGGAATCCCACTTACATTGTCAACTACAGGAACTGTGTAGCTGTTATTTTTGCCCATGTTAAGACTAAAGATGAAGTGGTTTTTAAAAGAAATGACCAGTGAGCCAGCAGTCAAATTATTTTCTTCTTAAAATTTGGCTTTGCTGTCAAATAGAAGATTTGTTTTTGTTTTATTGTATTATTTTATGTGCATTAACTCTGACATGACTCAGATTTTATACTGTCATGTATTAAAAGTCTTTGTTCTTTTCTGATCTGTAATTTTTTAAATCTCTTGTGAAGCACCGCAGTCCTCGTTCTGTGTAAAAGATTTAAAGTTAGTATTCCAAGTATATCTGCAGCTAATGTCAGGCTTCAGCAGTTAGTCAAATCAAGTGGATGTCATTCAAAGTTACATCCTCTTTACTGCTAATTTCCCTCTCTGTGTTTCCTCAGACAGTATCTTGTTCTGCAGAACGCTGAAATATTGAATTCATTATGTGAGACCAAGAAAAGGAGCAAATTGTCATATCTAAGAACTTTTTTTTGGGATTTTGCTTAAAAAGGACTTAAATGTTTAATATAGTCGCCAGTTAATATTCATTTGATTGACCAGTTGTTGCAGCCCGTTTTCTAAATCAAACAGACAAAGAAAAGTAGTATTTGCATCGCTTGAAATTCATATAAAAAGGTGCTTGAAAAAGATAATTCATATTTGTCTTTGTGCTCTCACAGGCAAGCAGTGGAGTTCCTAAGCAATGAAGGTCACATCTTTTCAACCATCGACGAAGATCACTTCAAATCAACAGACAGTGATGAATAAACACCTTCACCTTGGCACCAGTTATCTGAGTTTAACCTGATATAATTCAATGGTATAGGTTTTATAACTCTAAGCTATCAACTGACTCACACCTCTCGTTAATGCCGCAGACCTGCGTGACATCGTGTGAAACCCTCTGATGTTGGTTAAAGAACACATGGTTTAGGTGACGGTAACCTTTTGGTTTACACATCCTGTATTCCTGAGGTTGCTTCTGCTGTGTTGCAAGTCCCAAAGGTGTTGCTGTTGAAGAAGCCTCTGTTAGCTGTTCATGCTACCGTTCTGTATTTCCCACCTCTCCACTGTAAAGCATTTTGTAATTTTAAAGATTTGGATCGCACGTGCTACATTTATTTTTGTCTGTGTAACTTTATCTCAAAATTAATAAACTACACAAAACAGTCGGGTTACCTGCCAGGAACTCTTTTGTTTCATAATTTACACATACACTTTTTGATTAATATTTTTCTAACTTGATAACACAGTCCGTACGGTGTGCTTACATGTTATTCAAGCTCTTTTAGTTTTACATATTTTGTTGCATTAAACCCTCCCATCCACTCATTCCCATGATAAACAAGTAGTTTGTGCAAATTTATTTATACAGTTTTTTTTTTTTTTTTTACATGTGTATTCACAACTTTTAGATGTGACATTTCACAAACTGAATCTTGCAAAAATGTTTGGAAAAAAAACAACACGTAGGTCTTGAATAGATTTGGAAGCAACTTTTTATGACGATACATGTCTTAAGTACAACATAACTCAAGATACATAAGCTACACTATGTCTGTAGTTGAAATAATTAAACATTAAAAGAAATCGAGAAAATACACAAACAAACATATATTATTTTATTATTTTTTTTTGGCACTTGGGCAGAAAACCCACCAATGAGTCATTTTAATAAAATTCAGCTTAAAACAAAACAGGATTAGACACCAGGTCTAGCTCCTTTTTATACCCTCAGATCATTAGTTTGCTGTGACCACCGGGGGAGCTTCAGCTATTCTATTACCATTATGACCAAATGCTGCAGAGGTGCCATTTTGTGATGTTTGTGGTTAAGACTGTTGCATCCCAGCGAGGACTGATATGAGCCCTTGCAGTTTAGAGTCTGTTTATATACTGTAGGGTGGTGCCATATACATCACATGCCTGTACAATAAAATGTTCCTCTATGAAGCTTATAAATATGCATTTTTTAAAATAAGACATTGGTTCAACTCTGGTAATATTGAAGGCTGTTTTTTGTGGTGTCATATATAGTCTGTATAATACTGCAGGGTGTTGCTGTTGTTTTCCTTGTTATTGTATAGAAAACTGAAAGCTACAGCCTCCAAAACTACCATGTGGTTAAATCAACGACTTGCTTACAAGTTTGAACAAAGAGCACAATAGTATGATATTTCAACAAATACTGCAACATAAACACTACAAGGGTAGTACTTGATCAGAGTTTGTGGGTTGTCTATTGTACATGGTGACAAAGCCACAGCATCATGCAGCCTTGAAGATGAAGCATAGAAATGAATGGAGACACAGTTTCGCTGACCACATTAAAACGGTGGTGTTACTGTATGTTCTGTGATACACTACAAGATGCTACATCGACATCAAATACTCATGTGGGCAAACCCTTGCTAAATAAATTGTCCACACAACTGAAGGAGGGCCAGTCGTTTTGCCATACGTGCACTTTGTGTGCACACTGAAAACAAGAGTAACCAAACACTCTATAAATCTTTCAAATTGTCTCAATGGTCCTCACAGATGCAGGATGCTATCAGGAGGTTATAGCTGAATATATAAGTTAAACCAGTTAAGTTTCAAGGTTGCTTGGTCCGACTGTAAAGCCTCACAATATAAGAACGCCTTGGTACATTGTATTTAAGACAGGAGAGGTTAAAAACCGCAATATGACATTTTCTTTCATCACTCTTAAAGATATGCTCTGCAGGATTTTCCTAAAAAAAAAACTGATTAGATTCAGAAATAATCCCTCTCAATCATCATGTATGACTCAGCAGAAGTTTGTGGTTTTGTATTTTCTGCAAACACCCTACCCTCTTCCTGTTTTTTTTTTTTTTAATTTTCAATGGTTGGGACATTTATGGGTGTGTACCCCCACAGCACTCAGGTGAGGTCGGGGCTTTAGCATATAAAAAGGTAGCAACTAGGCGCCAGTCTGGAAGCAGCTAGCATCCACACACAGTACCAAAAAGAAAAAGCCAAAGTGAATAAAGAGTTGGCTTTAACTTTCACTTGCTGGCGAGGATGTTAAACAGGAACAGAAAATCCTGCACAGTATACTTTAAATTCCGTTCCCACCACACGTTTGTGATATTTTGCTGTTGCGGTCGAACATAAACTTCAGTAATACATTACATTCTCTTGCGCTGTCTTCATCATCGTTACGAAACTGTCATCCACAGTCTCATAGTCATGGTCGCTGTCCACATCTGCTGCGACGTGACACTCTCTCTCCTGATTCACTGTGGGAGGAATATGAAATAATTTTATATTTATCAAACAAATCCAATGAAGAGACAATTTTTTTTGATGAATACAAAAATATTTAAACACTTAAATGAGTCACAAAAGTTTCACTTCCTTGTTTATATGAACATGGGCACTGAAGTGTCTTCCCCAAACACTTCCCTCATAACATAAATACAAGAGCACTGAATGTGTATCAATTTGCATTTGAAAATAGTCCCAAAGTAATGAACCATTTGCTTCAGCCTGAGAAACATTTCCAACAAACTGCAGATGAATCCTAAATCCTGTGAATCCTGTGGTGTGTTTTGAGTCAATTCCCCATACACTGTCCAGGTATCATAAGCACCAAATGTGTAGGGGAGACTGGGGTTGGTTGTCATACTTTTTGCTCTCGTGTGAAATGCTCAACATTAAAACATCTTTCAGTGAAATGAAATAAAAGCTTAATGTCTTGGCTTGAAATGGGTATCTCTTTCATTGTTACAGCTTACTGTGACAAGAGGTTATAAACCATCAAAGACAGAAACCCCATCACGAGGTTGGTTGTCCCTGCAGTGATCAATGTTGTTGCAGAAAAAAGATTAATATTTTTAAAAACATATATAACCTTTTTGTTATTTAAGATAAAAACACCAAATAAGTTTTGAAATGACCACCACATCTTGAATAGTTTTGCTATCATCAATGTCCCTCGTGTTTAAATCCTGAATGTGGACCATGTGATTGTTTGTTTGAATTATACTCTGAAATGAGATGTAAAATGGAGGAATTTACAGTGCTGAAAAAAAAATCTAGTCTTTATTAAAGCCATTGTTTCATAACATTTCATTATGAATATAACATTAAATGAAACAGTGAGACTGAAACAGGTTAATCTTCATTTCAATACGACCAGGAACTTTTGTTAAAATGTCAAACAGCCTGGGTTGAAGTTTGTAGCTGTTTAGATACAACATTGTTTTTTCAATGAGGAACTAAACCAACATTGTGCATGTGCGTGTGTGTGTGTGTGTGCGTGTGCGTGTGCGTGTGGTTGTGTACGGAGTATAACATGTTTGCAATGCTGACTGTCTTGAGCAGTGACAGAGCTATCCCCAACTGACCTCTTGACAAACATTTCAAGCTAGCTGCCACATGGCTTTAGCCTGCTAGCTTAATGTTGACTCAAATTAAAGCTATTACCTTCGACTTTTTAGTGAGTGTGTGATTTCTAAATGACAAATAACTTCCAAGCTTTTAATACAAAAAAAAACCCACCAACATAAAAAAAATGATCTCACATCAATTTTTTGTGTGTTGCACAAAATGACCAGTGCAAAATGAACAGGACGTGAGGCCATCTGTGATCTTGACATAATGTCACAGTCTAGTGTGGCTGTAATATGCACTGTGACAACCAACCCCGGTCTCCCCTTATCGATCTGCACAACAAAGTGTGCAAGTGAGTGCCAGACAGGTGGGCAAGTTGGAAAGTTTTGTTGGTCTTTTTTTTTTTTTTTTTTTAAATATCATGATAAGAATTATAGAAAACCTTAAGAATTAAGTGTTATGGCTTAAACCTACATGATTTTGCTAAAACAACCTCACCTTTTGTCTTCGGCTCCTGCCTTTCAACATAAGTGTTTGGCAGAGCTTTGCCTGTTGTCATTTCAACTGACTGCTTTCGGGGTACGACTGGTGGAGGCTGCTCATCAAAGATACCCTGCACAACAAGAGGAAGTCAGAAATGTTCAGCTTAATTACACGCATCACTTGTCCACCGCAGCAAAAAGTGGAAGCTTTACTGTTTTGTATAGTCTGAGAACGTTTGAGATTACCCGAAAGTCACACTGTGAGAAATATATTTCTCTAACACAGAAGTTCCGCTGTGGTGTGCTCTTATAAATAATTTCATGAAGACATGTTAACCATGACAGCTCAACCACAACACATTCTGAATAGCTCTTGGGACCTTGAATGCATTTAAGGGCATAGGTTTCCTCCGCCAGAAGATTTTTGAGCATCAAATACTTAATTTCTGGCTTCCTGGTGAATTTTTATGCACTAATTTGTGCCATTTCTGCATCAATCTATAGTGTAAATGTCCTTAATTTTGTCAAAATAAAGGTCCTCTGCTACTCATGTCTTTATTGAGAGGAAACAAATGCAAATGTTCTAAAAACTGAGGAGGATTTGTCCTCTACGCCCATCCCTCCCCCTGAAATCTACACATATGCAATTATTGTCATACTTACTGGAGGTGGGGGGGCTGGGGGCCGTCTTTTGCTATTTAAAGTCAAATTAGCCAGCTCCTTGGTTGGGATGCCTTTGCCTTGTCCATGTTTGGACTTTTCTGCTTTGGATGATTTCTTCGAGGATTTTGATGATTTTTTTGTTGACGTCGAAGTTGACAGATTTCGCTTTGGTGGTCGAGGTGGAGGAGCTGCATTTGAGTTCCCCTGTTTGCGAAATTCATAAAAGAACGTGTCCGTCACCTCTGTAACCCTGTCCACGCGGCATTTGGGTGGTTGACCGCATGGCCATGGCAGGGGGTCCTTGGTAAAATAGACAGACATCGAGAGCCACTGGGTTGGGATCTCGAAACAGTGGTCTGGCCTGTGTGGAAAGCTCACCTGGATGGTGGGCTCTAACATTGCTCCCTCTATTCTGAGACACGCAAATCCAACTAGTGGATCAGTCTCTAGTTCAGTGTCCCGGCTCACCACTTTAACATCCAGGGGCAAAGTGAACTCCTTACCCAAGTCTCTGAGTTTGTACTTCTTGTTATCACCCAGTACCTCCACAAAGTGACCCTGCATGTACAGAGGCAGAGGAACCTTATCTCTCTCATCCTCCTGCTTGACTTCCTCCTCCTCATCATCATCATCCCCATCATCTGGCTCTTGGAGACGCTGACACAAGAGAGCCTCGACGGACTGCGTCTCTCTCTTGCTGCCTCCACAAGGCAATACCATTGTTTCGCAGCGAATAACCTCCAGCTGTTCCCCCACACTGAGGCCAGGCAGGCCCTCCTCCTCGTCTTCCTCACAGTTCTTTGTTACGCTGACCTTCAGACCCGGTGCCTGGATCGAAGCAACATACAGCTCATACACCGAATTAAACTCTCTTGGCCGCCTCCGAAATCTTCCACCATACTGCTGAGATACCAGGAAGTACTGCTGCGCCTTTCGGCTCTTCATGCTGGATAATAAAATCATGGCTGAGGTTCCTGTCTTGTGGAAAATCAGGTGGCTGCTCTTGCTAAGTTCTGGCAGCCAGCTGCCCTTGAACAGAGAGCGGGTCTCTGGGCCTTCCAGTACCTCCACTACAACAGGGAAGGATTCATCTGGCTGGGAGTGGACCTCTGTCAGACTGAGCGGGGTCACGAAACTCGCATCCTTGCACACATCGGTGACATCGACCACATCCACCTCTAAGCTGGAGGGAAACTTCAACACGTTCTTCCTCACTGTACAAAAAACAAGAGGATTCATGTTAGAAAATGTAGAAAAGCTACTCGATGGAACTGTATTAACTAAAACCAGAACACACTGAGGTTTATCAGTGATAAAAGACCTTTACTAGAAGGAGAAATACTACTAATAAAAGTATAAAATACAGTGTAAAAATACACCTGCATTCAAAATCTATGGCAGTAAAAGTTCGGTAATATAACCAACAGCAAAATTAAAGTCTCAAAAATGGTAGTCATCATTGTGCAGGTCCCTGTGAGTATTATACTATTATAAAGTATATTAAAATACTGATCACTAATGCACTGATGTTGGTTAAAGTGGTGCTAATTTAAACTACTTTATTCACTATTGGGTAATTTAATCTGTTACAATTACAATTCTCTGGACAAATCTCCTCAGGTTGACTGCGTTTCACAGAGCCATTACAGGGTGAAATTCTTCACCAAATCATGTCACTAAAATAAATACCAGAGACGCTTTCAAGAAAACATTAAAAGATTACTTAAGCAATTAACTGTATTAACAAACAGGAAATGAAGTGATGAAATGAAATGATGCAACTTGTGAAATCTTCCTTACAGATTTTGTTTTAAGTGTATGACACTATGTGATTCTTTGTTGCTTTTTTGTATGTAATGTGATTTGTGTATAATGTACATAATGGTTTGTTAAATTGTAAACTAAACTAAACTTATCTGCCAATCTGTCCTTTTTTCAGATACGAAGGACACATTCATTCTGAAAACGCCGTGCACCATTTTGCTACGATTTCCCAGTTGAACACCATGTTTCCTTGAAACGGCGTGAGAAGGTATGCAACGAGCTCTGAAGTACGTGTTCTCTTGTTTGGTGGTTGTGTCAAAGTGTTACCACATAATAGGTGAAGATTTTTGGGGGGGCTGACGAAGGTGGACATGTCCCTGTGCCATTGTCTGTCCCAATTAAAACATGAGAGTAGCAGAGGACTTTTATTTTGACAAAATTAAAGACATTTACGCCATAAATTAATGCAGAAAAGGAACAAATTGGTGCATAAAATTCACCAGAATGCAGGGAAGTTTTCTGACAGAGGACCCCCCCTAACCCCCCGTTTCATATATGTCGCCCTTGTACCCAATCAGCACAACGGATCCAACTTAAGTTTTTCACAAATACGTCCACTGCAGCTTGGTGTATGCAACAATTGAAGACATTTGTTTTTAATAATATAAGCCACCTGCACAGCTGCCACAGTTGCTTGTGTAACACAACAGGGTTTTCAATGCAGCTCCATTTCAGTTTAAATAAACATTTTGCTGTGTTTCGTTGGGGCTGAACAGCTGTGGTGGTGTAGGGCAGGGGATTATCAGTGCCAGATGGTGAGATTTGGGCCCAGCGTTCCAGCTTATAAAGCTCTGGTGGTAAATGTGGCTTTAGTTCCTCTTAAGTTCTTCCCTTAACTTTGCTGAGATGAATATCACAACACTCTCACGCTATCTTCACTGCCATGCGCACCTTACACTTCTGATTCCACTGACCTCCTCTCTCCGTGTGTGTTTGTATATTTGTTGTGTATTTAATTAATCACAGACTTTAATAATTTTGTATAACTTTTAAAGACGTGGCCTTATGAGCCAGGCTGTGACACATTGCATCATATTTGATGAGCTCATCATTGGTTTTATACAAGGGCGTAGGTTTTTTTTGAGCAGGCCAGAAAACGTTGAGGATCAAACACTTAATTTTCTGCATTCTGGTGAATATCTATACACCAATTTGTTCCTTTTCTCAGTTCCATTTATGATGTACATATCTTTAATCCTGTCAAAAAAAAAATCTTCCACTACTTTCATATTTCTATTGGGGGAGAAACATGCACATTCTAAATACTGAAGGGGATGTGTCCCTTGCATCCCCCCAAAATCTACACCAATGGTTTTGTAAAACCTTAATCTGCACATAACTACTAACTTTAAACTAAGAAATAAACGTATTGATATAAGTCAAATATTTGCCGTTCAAAAGTAGTGAGGTATGAAATAGCATAACATGGCCGCACTCATGTAAAACTACTTCAAAATCACATTTGAGTGTAATAGTTGACTAAATAAAAACTTAAATTCCACTTTAATTAACACTCAAATATATTAATGTACTCTAATCAAGAGTTAAACGATGTGAAAATAATAACCTATTATGTAAGTAAGGTTCAGATAACTTTAATTCTCTTCAAATAACAAAATAAAAAGTAGGTTATTCTCACAGTTCATGATGGCGTGGACCTGGTATATTGGACTGAGGACAAGGGGCCGATCACACTTTGTGGTGTTGATGAAGCGAAACCTTCGACTGCATAGGCAGGGCGAGGACATGATCTCCCGCAGAGTGAAGCGCTCCTCGCTTTCACACTCTCTGAACTCTCCTTGCAAGGAGAATGGGATAGACACTTCTGCAGAGGCTTCCTGTTGTCCTTGAATATGGCAGCGCAACTGATCCTCTTCCCCCTCGTGCTGCTCGATAGAGAGCACAGTCAAAGCTCTACCGGCCCCCAGTGTGAAATTGCCAATGGTTATCTTGGAGCGGCTGGTGAAAGTGAAGGGAAGGCAGGATTCCAGGCCCACAGGCCTCAGGCTCATCATCTCCTCGATTGTACTGTACGGCATGTCCTCCGGAACAACCTTGAACAAACCTGAGAAACAGCAACAAGTGTCAGTGGTCAGCAACGTAACAAAATTAGCTGTTCTCATGAGAATCTTGTAGACAGCTCAGACCAACCTGTGTGGCTGATAGGTAGCTCAAACTTCTCATTGTTGCTGATGTCCTCACAGCAAACTGATAGGAGCTCAATGCTGATGACCTTTATCAGATCCCCAGTAGAAAAGCACACTTCACTCCCAGAAATTTCATATATAGACCCTGAAATGGAGAGTGAGAAACAGAACGAAGACAGATATAAATAACCAGATCAACAATCAATGTGCAGATATATTAAGTATTAATAACAGATCTTCTTATTGTTCTTAATTGGGATGCTTACACTAAAGAGAAATATTTCTTTTTACCAAACATTGATAATATAAACTATTCAACTCAAACAAATACGTAGTCTTATTGGCTGCAATAATGTCTGATTTGGGGTTGAGAAAAAAGGGAAACATGTATACTTTATAGATATAAACATATGCAGTAGATATAGACAGACACAGTACAAAAATCCAGACACATTACAATTTGTAGTGGTCTAATCTCTTCAGAAAATCTTTTATCTCCTTAGCTTTGTCCTCATCTGCCCTCACAGTTTCAGTTCACAATGACTAAAACAACCAAATGCCTACCTTGGAAATACACTCCAGAGCAAACTTGTAGAATTTTTGGCAGACAAGAGTTGTCCAATGAAGCGATGAGTTGTTGAAGTGGCAAAGCAGTCGTGCCTGCCATCGCTGCTGCCTCAAGTGTGCTGCGATCAAAAATGAAGGCAGACAGCAAATGGCAAGCGAAGCATAAAAGGAGGTTGCTTTCTCAGTCAAAAACCACAAAAGTGAATGAGGAAGTTACAGGAGGTGTTTGCACAGTGCTTGCATTCACAGGCGGAGGACAAGTGATAGGACATGTGCATTATTATACTGTGAAGTTGTGAAAGAAGGTGTTTGAGTTATTTCTTATTTAGTTGACTGTGACACAGAGTCTTGATTAGCTGTCACCCAGAGAAAATAGACCAAGATACTCTAAGCTTTATAGCCTTATAAGGAAATGTGTCAAAATGTGCATGTGTGTGTGAGAGTGTAGGACCTGCAAATATTACAATGTGTACACAAGGCATTCCTTATTACGTACTCACCTGTTAAATGGACAAAATCAATTCTCTGTTAACACTGTTTGAAGGTCGAAAAGATCCAAAACACCACATTTTGTCTTTGCATGTCAAGCACACGAACAACTCAGTGGCTTGACCAAACACAAAGTTTTTAACAGGTAGCAACTATATTGACAGATTATGAATAGCCAAATTTAAAAGAAAGGACAGAGTGGGGAAATTTAATTTTACTAAGTGTACCACCCTTGTATCCAAATTTATTGGTCCTGATGCACCTCAAAGTGTCCCATGACACATCCCTCACACATGGAATTTACCCTCTGCTTTCTCAATCTACCTCAAACACATAGCAGGAAAAGACAGCACATTTACTTCCTTCTGCTGATTTGCACTGTCGAGTAAACCAGGCCTCCTCCTCTCTTCGTGACATGATGAGGCAGCCCCTCACAGCATCTGACAAAACCCACGACACTTTCCATATCAAAGATCAGCCTGGTCTGTTGGTTGAATCTCTTGAGGGGTTTCCCCCCCTTTCCATGATCCAACTTAGCAGTACCACCTCTCATCAAATGCTACCCTGACAACACTTTGACTCGTGTAGAGGAAATGGCGTAATGCTCTTGCATCAAAAATAAATATCTGAGATCTGAGAATATCTTGTGTTGCTTTGGTTCTCAAGCCACTAGTTCTCCACAACAACAACCCAAAAAAGACACACTTGACAACCATTGGTTCTGCAGCACATAGCTATTTTGAGTAAAAAATCTGGGCTCTGAGGACCTCTAGTGGTTGTTGAGGGAACTCAAAGTTGTTCTCTACTGTAATTACCCTCAGTGATGCTAGCACAGTATGATCATGATACTCTTGGCCACTTTCAATTTTATTAGGCACATTATGTGTTTTACTAACTTGATTTGGTGATTAAATTTGGACGCTATGTGTTTGGACTACAACTCCCAGTAACCCAGAGTGACGATTACCCATCATGCAGCTCGGCCATGAGAAGATGAGGCAAGATGGCGACTAAAACAAGCAAAGAAAGTGCTCCTCCTTTTGATTGTCCATCATGGTGAGCATATGCACATGCTAAAGTTGTAACCGGTTGTCTGTAATGCCATATCAGATGCATATAAGCACAGCACTCATATCCCTCATCTTTTACTGAGAAAGAAGATTGTAGTTTCTGTAAGCTAGCGTTAGCAACCATGCAAGCTAGCAAGCTAACTCTTTAACGCCGCTATTAAATTGGTAATGGCGTTGGATGATGTTTATTTTAAAGTGTGTTTTCAGGATGGTGCTTCGTATTTTTAATTTCAAAAGTGATAGTTGTGATTAGAAGAGGTTTTGTGATAGAGATAAGGCATTTTATCATATCTTAGCTGTTGCCTTGCGCTTCGATAGCGTTGCTGTTCCAAGAACGTTAGCTAGATGATGACCGATGTTAACGTTCCCATTAGCTTATTGTACAGGTACAAGCACTTGTTTTTGTGAATTTACCTTTAAGCATAACAAGAGAACAAAGCGAAGCTATTCAGTTATCGCTTGTAATGATCAATTGTGCATAAACTCGTGGTATGTAGTCTGTATAAATGTTGTAAACGGTCACCAACTGATGTCTCTCAGGGCAGGCAAGCCGCCCCAGGGGCTGCATCTGGACGTGATGAAGGGAGACAAACTGATGGAGGTAACCGGAAACTGGGCCATTTTTACTTTTTACATCATCTCAACGTTATTGTGCACTAGTGTCAAAGCATGTATAGATAATACTGTGGGAGCTCCCTTAGTTGAATGCACCAGATACGAGCCTGACAGTCCACTTTGTCCCAGCTGTGATGCACACTGGGACTGTCTATGGCTGCACGGCTTCAAACGGTGCGAGAGCAGCAACAGCCCTGAGATTTAAGCTTTTCAGTGGGAAGCAACACTGTTAGGTTATGGCTCAGAGGCACAGAGACATAACAGACTGTTTATGGATCTCTCTGGAAGAGTGTTTGAATGACCATGATTCACTGAAACTGTCTCTCCCTATAGAAACTGATCATAGATGAAAAGAAGTACTACTTGTTTGGGAGGAACCCAGACTGGTGTGACTTCACCATCGACCATCAGTCATGCTCACGTGTCCACGCTGCCCTGGTCTACCACAAACACCTGAAGAGGGTCTTTCTCATAGACCTCAACAGCAGTAAGACACCATTCACAATCACATCTTGTTTACTCATTTTAGGCTGTATCTATAACCAGTATCTGGCATGGTTTGACATACACAGGATAAAAACTACTATTATTACAATACTTACGTCACAATACAATATTATTGCAATTTCAGATGTTCTGCAACATCTGTTTTTATCTAATAAGATAAAGTTTTCAGTCTATTCACCTCACTTAAGTCATTTTTTGCAGCAACATGTATCTAGTCAAGTAGTAGTATTTGATTTTATTATTCTAATTGGCTACCAAAACTTTAATGGATATTTCAGTGCTGAATCACATTTGATTCAGTTCAACAGGCCACAGTTTCACAGGTAACATACGCCACTCTCCTATTCATTGTCATCGTTTTAGCTCACGGTACTTTCCTTGGACACATCCGTCTGGAGGCACACAAGCCTCAGCAAGTACCCATAGACTCTACAATATCTTTTGGGGCCTCAACAAGGACGTACACCATCAGAGAGAAACCCCAAACCCAAGGCACGGCCGGCACAGGAGACAGTAAGACAGGAGAGGACGAGGAGCTGAAAGGACTGCTTGGGCTTCCAGAAGAAGAGACAGAGCTGGAGGTACATTTAGGTTCTCAATAATAACAATATTCTTATGCTCTTAAGCATAAACTACATAACAGAAAAAAATGGCTTTCTTGTTTCCTGATTATCACCTTTTTGCCCACAAATTGCAGTTTTATAGATGCACAACAATGTTTAAAATGTATTTTCGTGCTCTTCTTTTCTATAGTTATCTTTTTGAAGTGTAATATTTTGCATTTTGTTTTAATCCTCAGAGATCATAGATTGTATGATCAGTGTTAACACAAAAACTAAAATCTTGAGATTGATCTGTTTATGTCTATTGCTCAGTCTGGTATAATGTCATGTTGTAAAGTAGTATTATCTTTATCAGTGCAGCTACATAACACACATTTTTCTTTATCTGCCTGTATCCTGCCAGAACCTGACAGAGTTCAACACAGCTCACAACAAACGCATCTCCCTACTGACCATCGAGGAGGGTAATCTTGAAATCCAGAGGCCTAAGAGGAAACGGAGGAACTCCAGGGTTACCTTCAATGAAGAGGATTCCATCATTAACCCAGGTACGAATCAAAGTGAAGGCGGTGCTGAAAAAAACACAAAAACTCAGTTATACTTTAAACAACTGCATGTTTAAACAATTCTGTTGCTTGTAATGACAATGCCAGACCAGACTATGTTTTGTGGTGGATTAAACTCCTTTCTTAATAGTGTTGTGAAATTGTAGAGTCTTGTGTTAAAGTTTCACTGCATGCAACTGAGAAGGAAATTAGAGGATTTTGCGGTCATGTTTTTAAATATATAACCAAGCTATATTGCCAAACAGATATTCGAGTTTCTGCTTTTCAAGAGAGGAATTGCACTCTGCAACAGATTGTAACGCTTGTCTTTAAACTCTTACAGAGGATATAGACCCCTCAGTGGGACGCTTTAGAAACATGGTCCAGACTGCTGTCATCCCCATCAAGGTAAGCTTTGGTTTTGTTATTTAAGAACTTCTGATTCACTTGGTATATTTCAGCAGAAAGGCGAGCTGTACCCAGCATGCCGTTTGGCGGTTTAACAGTTAACAAGGGTCCCTTCTCAATACACTACACAGTGTGTACCGCTGGTAGTAGTAACACACTACTAATAAATATGTTTTGTAGATCTCAAGAGCTGGTACTCAACACTATACTACACTGGGTCCTCAGCAATACAAAGGATACATGTGACAACAATAGGCTGATTGTCTTGAAATTCGTAGGACAGACAGACACAAAAAGTCTCTTCCATTTTAGTTAGTTAGTAATTCTGATTTTTTTCCAAAAAAAGATGAGTAGGGTTCTCATAGTCTTTTATAACATATTGATGGTTTACAGTGGGTTATGTGTACGTTTGTGACCTGCAACTTAGAAAATGTGTAATGTCAGGAGCTATGTGTTAGAGCTGGGCAATAAATTGGCTTTTAATCAACTTTGAACACAAGGCAATGGAGATAAAACCATTATTAGGTCACGTTACATTTCGCAATGATGCTCTGGTTTTGTCTTGTGTTATGAATCCACTTTCACATTTAAATAAACAGAATGGCGCTTTTACTTCCATGTTACATTACTGCTAATGCACTAATATTTGCAACAAGTAAGAGTGGTCCTTACTCTCAGTGCATCATATAGAAACAAAATATAAATAAAATTGTACCAAAACATTTTACCCACAATTGAATCAACAGATCAATGCTTTTACTTTGTTCCACATTGCTACAAATTAAAAAAATCTTTGCATCAAACTAAGACTAAAACACGGTTCTTCGTCACCTAAATTCAGTGCCTCTTCCATGGATACGCATCCCCCTGCATTTATTTATTTATTTATTTTTTTACAGTGGTGGTGGGGATTAATGGTAACGATACAGGAACATAAGCGACATTATTCTTCTTGGCCTTCATGTAGTCATCGTACTGCAGATTGTGGTGGGTTTTTTTAGGTGGTTTAACAAGTTGTGCTGCTTTTAATGGGGACACAAGTCACATGCACTTTTTGCATATGATTTGTTTTCTCAAGTGTCCAAACAGCAGATGATGACGGTTGCATTTCATTTAGCCGTCTGCAGTTGCAGAATTCAGGAATGTTTTTCATAGGTTGCTGCTGCAGGGTGTGCGCATAGCGGCATGACAGCTCTTCAAAAGTGGAAGCTGGCTGTTGGTTTTGAAGCACCTGATTTGATTTGCAGCAGAGTTTTCTATGAGCGAAGCACCCATTTTAAATGTCATTATCGCAGTCGATCATGTTCATTTAATTATGGGAATCCAAAGTCGTCAGGGTAATTATTATTCAACTAATTAGCTGGCTCCAATTGCAGATTAGGACTGTGTCTGCAAAAAAGTTATGATGTTATAACTAATGCCATAGAGTGAATCGCTGTGGATATCTAACCACACTCACATAAACTATACGTTGTACAGAATACCGAATTTAAGCATATGTGCTTAAGTGCTTGCATAAGTGCTTGAGCCTCACTATAGTGTTCCTTTACATGTGCATTTTAATCAGTCTGTTGTGCCTACCCTGTGTAAATAATCTGCAGTTCAGGAATTATCAACAGACCATGGTCTTATGATGGAGATGTTTGTGTTTTTGTTATTTATATTATTTAAATGACAATATGCCAGTATTAACTTCTACAGTAAGAATTATGACACTATCACTCTATCATTCCTGCTGCAGAAACGCAGATCAGATAGCCAAAACACTCTGGGTCTTGAAGACCTGACCTCGAAACGCATCCATGGCTACAGCTTGGGTGGTGGTCTTTACGGGGACTTGCCTCCCACCAGTCATGAGAACCAGCCAACAGGAGCTCCTGGAGGTGCTGCCATGCAGGGAGGGCTTCCTCTGCCCTTCCCCAATCCAGCACCAGAGGTGGACCTGGCCCCAGAGGCTCCCCAGCCCCCTGTCACACTCAACCCTACCCCTGTCACAGCCCCTTATCTACCAGAGACCCACAACGAGCCACGCAAAAAGAAGTATGCCAAAGAAGCTTGGCCGGGCAAGAAACCCACCCCGTCACTACTCATCTAATCAGTTTGATAAAGCTGCTGACTCTCAGGTTACCAGCAGATACATCAGGGACTGTGACCTGGCAGAGGTGGAGTCGTTCACTTCTCAATCTTCTTTTTTTTTTTTTTTGTTGTGTTACTCATCACCATCCTAAAAAGGCACCACGTTTCCATGTGGTCTGTCACAAGATATCATTTACACATTGCCTAGTCTTTTGATAAGTTGGCCAGCAAACAGCAGAAGCTTGTTGATTGCCAACAAACATTTGAGCGTCACAGTGGCAGTTACATACGTTTGTCTGTGAGTGACAGGCTACATGGATACGATGGGTCATGAGTTATGTTTTTAATGTTTTGGATGTGATGTCAGATTTTTTTTTTTTTTTTTACTAAACACGTTTCAACATTTTTTTTCACTCCTTAAGTGTTTTGATAATTCTGTTAAAGAAATGGCAAAAAGTACTTTTATATAAAATATATTATTGTGAGCAGTCAGGTAAGTCTCAGAATCCAGACATAAGGTCAGTTCCTATCAAAACACAGGGCTGCTTTTCCGTTTGAAAACCTATTGACATAATGTGAAACATTTCCATTACGTGTATTAGACCAATGTGACATCAACTGAAGTGTAAACAAGCCACTAGATGGTGACTTGTGCACAAAGGTCAGAGTTTTCAGTGAGGTTTGGCTGCAGACTTGCAGGTATAATTGTTTACGGCCTGTCGGTCCAGCCTTAACATTGTCGAGAATCTATATGTGGCACCCGGTGAAGGTGGTGCTGCAAGCTTCGTATTATTCTTTTGGATTCTTGTTTTCTACGTCCGGAGTTAATTGAACTGTTGTTAAGTAGTAACAGAATATAGCAGAATTCGTATGGCAGCACAGGAACAAATACCAACTTCGCTGCAACATTAAAAAGGTAGTAAAACAGAAAAGATCGGATTTAGTATGTTTTAATGGTCATCTAGTGTGTTAACATTAATTCACATGCAGCAGAGCACAGTGCAGTTTATACAGTATACTGTTTATATTTAGTTTGCCCTGAACTGACTTGAGACATAGGAACTGTGTTTTTGAACAGCAGCATAAAATCATAGTTAGCCGTGTCAAACATGTAGTGAACAGGTACACTATGTAATTGGTTTATACAGTGTACTGCGAATGGAAAGATCCCATGAAATGGTATTCTTAATTTTTAAGGTGCATATTTGCTTTTATTCACAGGTAGAGAGGTAACAGGAAATGAATGAATGAATGAAAATGAATATTGTGGTCACAGTATACAGTACGCATCTTAACCACAATGCCACCAAGATGCCTCTTTGTACACCCTTTTGGTGGAGCCTGTAGGCAGGACATTAGACTGTAAGGTATCAGTCCTACTGTAAACAAAGAAGCTACTAGTTAGTAGTTAGTTGTACTTAGGTACAGCGTGAGGTTACCACTAAAGATGAGCTGTTTTCTTGAAAATTAAAGTAGCCATTTCATGGGATCTTTAAGTAAGTGAAAGCTCAGAGATCAGAATTCCGCATAAGACGAGGTGTTTCACTTTTACAAACTGTGCTGGTGACTTTTTGTCCTTGTGGGAGTGTGGATTTTGTAATCATATGACTGTAAATAAAAAATGAATTACTTTTGACTCGTAACTCTGCAGTGTTTTCAGCTGTAATTAAATAATGTCGCATTGCATTTGCTCAGATAGTAACTGCCTGTATTCCAAATTTATATCTAATTAAACATCCTCTGAAGGAAAGTAATTTGATGGCTTATAGGCAAACAGCATTCACTGACACTAAAGGTGATCCAGTGTGTTTAGACCCCATTGTATTGTATGGAACCATGTTGCTGCCACGCCAGGGAAAAAAAAGGATCAGTATCAGGTAATGAAAGCTTGAAAGGTTTTTGTTACAACAAGATACCATCAAGTTATCACGTCATACAAACTTAACATGTCACAACAAGAAACTTTGCTTATAATAAATTTCTATTTAGAACAGTATACTATTTATGTGATTTGATTATGGTCTTCATGCTTGGGTTCATCGTGGATGATAGTGTGTTAAGTATTCAGTATAGGATTTGAGTTGGGGGTTGAAAAAATGCACCCAAATACTTATTCATTCATTCATTCAAACCTTTATTTATGACTCGGAAAAAATCAATTGAGAGAGACCCTCATTTTCAATGATGCTGAGCATTAACAAAGACATTAACAATCACTAAGCAAACAAAGAACCATTGTGCATACCAGCTAAAACAGAAATGAAATCATTCAAAACAATAAATAATTGCTTAACGTAAAAATACAGGGTGATAAATATGTTAAGGTGTAGATGTATAGTTGAAAACATTGACACTCAATTAAAACAAGGTCAGAAATAAGGCATTTAATCAGCCATAAGGGTGGCAGTGTCCAAGTCTAAGGTCTTTTGCAGATGATTCCATGTATAAGGAGCACTGTAAGAGAATGACATTCTTCTGTTAAGTTCTGATTTCGGCAGTGTGAAACAACAATCTATTGTGTGAATGAGTATCAAGATTATGGGAGGCCAGGGTTAAAAGGAATGCAATATATCAAAGCTTTATAAATGAACAAATACCAATGCTGTTCCTGCCTCACAGCCAAATGTGTCCAGCCAACCTTTTGGTAAAGGTGACAGTGATGGGTGCTGTAGGAATCATATGTTAGGAACCTCAGGGCTGAGTGGTGGACAACATCCAGTGTAGATATCCATAATAACACCACTGGGGCCAGTAAAGGGGGTCAGTGTCCCCTCCACTTTCTGTGCGCACCAGAAGACACTGTGGTGAACCAAGTGGTGTGGCCAGATCACAGTCAAATGCACGCTGCCAAATGTGTCTGGAGTGTGCCAAATACACCTTTGGTAATTCCACAATCAGGCAACCTTGGTGCACCTGTGGCGCACTTGGACATTGGGTGGGATCAGAAAGAAGGCAATATTATAAGTAGATAAATTAAAAGCTGCAACAATCATGGCTTATTACCTCCAATACTTTCACCCCATTTAATCACAGGTCTCTCCTCGTTATGACCCACAGACAGATTTGGAACCCTGAGGGGACAAAATGATCCTAAAATACAAGTACAACTTATTTTTAGCAACTAATTTCTCCAAAAACATATTCAGCTACTAAATAAAACACTGCACAGTTGATCTTTTCTTAATTACCTGTATGAGATTTTATAGTGTTATGGTTTTTTTTAGGATATTAGAAATGAAAATATTTTAACTCTTCACAAAGTTATTTTACTGATTAATGTATTTTCCAGGTTTATAGCATTTCCTACAGAAATTTCCCTTTACTCTTGTGGGTCTACAGATTTGATTTTGATGTAGACGCCATTGAGTGAGCGAAGCACCAGTCTTGGTATAATCTTGGGTTTCTGGGTGGGGTCCTCGATCAGATGGTACCTCCTCAGTGTCAGGGCTGTCGCCACTTTCAGCTCATTCATGGCAAAGTTCTGCCCGATGCAATTTCTGAGGGAGGAAAACAGCAAAAGTGTGTGAGGTATATGATGATTAAGACAATGCTTTTAAGCAATAAAATTAGAAGACAGCAGCATGTTAGAGTTGCGATATCTCATCGTCTAAACTCAGAAGGAAAAAACAAGAGTTGTTTTATGATTAAAAAAATCAAATCAACAGTCAGTACCATAATTATTATTGTTGTTGAATGTGGACTGACATTAAGTTGGACAAAAAGATACAGTGATAGTCCTGCAGTAACTAGGTCTGTACCAAATGGTCTGAAGCTCCATTCATCATTAAGTTTAAACTTGGAATCTTTTTGCAGCTAAAGATTAGGCTACACTAATATTATTACTATTATATTATTTGTAGAATTAGATTCCAGTGCAAAAGTGAAGTTAATTTAATCCAATTAATTACTTAATTCTAATTGAGGATTTTATGCAAGGATTTTTTTTGGAATGACAACATCATAAAAATGATGACAGCAGCGTGGGCGTGGCTTCAGGGCCATGTAGATGCTGATTAAACTAATATTACAACCAAACTCTTGATTACTTCCCCAAAGTCAACAAGTACAGGCAGATAAGCCTACAGGTACAGCACCACTCTGCTGATGCAACTCAAATTGGTAGGTTTGCTATTGATGGTGAGTAGCTGTAGACTTTGAACCTCCCTCTCTAGATCTTAGTGAGCCTGTCACACGATGTCAGGTGAGGACAAACCTTGGCCCTGCAGAGAAGGGAATGAATGCATGAGGCGACCTCTTGGAAGCATTCTCTGGTAGGAAACGCAGTGGGTCAAAGACCTGTATTAACACAAGATAGAAAAAACAAATGCCAGTAAATCCCACATTTTCTTAAGACCCCAATGTTTAATAGGATCTTTTGGTTTCTGACTACTTTTGCATCATTGAACATGCACCGACACTGACCCAGGAACATGTTGCTGTACCTGAGGAAGGTTAATCTTTGATTCTATTAATCATGTACACCATGTAGTGAGTGGGTGACAGGTGAGCTTTCATATCAAAAACATCTGCTTCGAATAAAAACATCTTGACTTACATCAGGGTTTTCCCAGACAGTTGCATTTCTGTGAATCCCAAACAAATGTATTGAAATATTGGAACCTAAAAATGAGAGAAAAAAATGCATATGGGTCTGAATTGTGCAGTGACTGTACAACAAGGTGGATACATAGAAACAGACCAACATTTAATAAACGTCAGTATGTGACACAGTATTGTAAAGATACTACTACCATTAAAACCATGTAGGTTAAAGGGTTTATATGTGTTGTGCAGGACTGACTTGGCAAAACAAAACTTAGGCCGGATCAACCTGGCTTTGAGTGTTTGAATTCTTACTTCACATTGGTTGCGCACAGTCTGGTAAAGAATCTCCCTAGTCATTCAAAACAAGTTAATCAGGGTTGGGTTAAAGTTCCCTCTTTGTACCCATCTTGAGTTAGCTAATTTTTTACAACTGAACTGGCTTCCTATCAATAAAAGGGTCATAAAAATCCAGTTGGGACTTTCACTTACATTTTTTTATAATGAGGTCTCCAAATATCTGTCCAACTACTTTAATCTCTGCATCTCCAAATCTATCTACCTATCTATCTATGGGGTAAAGTTTACTATATACTCAGCAGTATGCTGTCTTACGCAAGCATATTGCATTCACTTGACAAATAAAAAAAAGCCCTGTTTTTCTGAATATTTTTTTCTGTTTTTCGGAGTAATTTATTTATTTTTCTGTTTTATGGTGTATTATTTTCTGTTTTTCTAAGTAATTTTTTTTTCTGTTTTTCGGGGTATTTTTTTTCCTGAACTAATTACGAGCCTTACCCTTATTGATCCCGTAGTTGAAATTGTCTAGGAGCAGGATGCAAAATACACCCATGAGCAGGAGTCACCATGGTTGCAGGGGTCACTTGCATGCAGGTGCCAGGTGGGACCTTCTTGCGAGATTTTGAAGCATCTCGTCTCCTCGTTCAGGAAAAAAAATTACCACGAAAAACAGAAAAAATTACCACGAAAAACAGGGAAAAAATTACTCAGAAAAACAGAAAATATTACTCCGAAAAACAAGGAAAAAATTACTCCGAAAAACAGAAAAATAAATAAATTACTCCAAAAAACAGAAAAAATTACTCAGAAAAACAGGGCTTTTTTTTAATTTGTCAAGTGAATGCAATACACTTCCGTACTGTCTTATCTAAATGAACTTTCCAAAAACATTAAGAACAAACCTTTTGGTATAGTCCTTCCATCAGAAAAGGTCACTGCTTTCGTGGTCTGTCTGGATATTCCTGGTACAGGAGGGTAAAGGCGAAGGGATTCTTTTATGCACATTGTGGTGTATGGAATCTTACTGAGATCCTCCCTTAAAACAAGACAAATCCAAATTACTTGTAAATATTCTCAGGAAAAAAGGTTCAAGCTTAAAGCTCACCTAATCCAGCTGTTGTGATACAGAACGACACTGACTTGCATTGCACCTTGGGTTTCAACAGGTAAATTACCACTCCATGGTGTCCTTGCCATCCAAGGCTTGAATGATCTCCTCCCTGCACATCTTCTGGTGTTCTGGGTGGCAGGCCAGACAGTAGAGGATGAAAGACAGGCCACTGGCTGTGGTGTCATGGCCCTCAAACATGAAGGTGTCCACTTCTGCTCGTATGTCATCATCTGATAAACCCTGCTGGTTCTCATCCTGAAGATGATAAATAAGACATAAATAGAAAAAAGCAAAATACAAAATACATAGGCTGGTTCAAAATATGAGTAAACTCTGCTTGTTACACACATAGGGGTGCACGGATAAGTTGAGGGTAGGTGAAATGATACATCATTAATCAGGGAAATATTAATTACATTCACTAAAGTCTAAACATAACAGAGGGTGGAGCTGCAGAGCTGCTTTCCAACTCCCCATTAAGAGAGGCACTGCGTGGAGCAGTGTGACTTCATTGATTATTTCAGAAGCTTAAAGTTTGGTTCTGTTTGTCAAGTTCATAACTACAGTTTTGAGTTTTATTGCTTAAATCTGTCTGCTACAGTAACATTACTGCTCTGACTGCATTACTCTGCAAATAGCAGTGCACCAGGTGCAGGAACACCTGCAGGGAATTGGAGATGACACTGATTGTTTGAAATCATGTTACCCCAAATCTATGATTAACTAAGAGATTAAACACAACCCCTTGGCCCCTTGCACCTTACTTTGTGCCCAGATTATGTGCCTTTTACCTAGCAAGAGTGGAGCTGGATGCAATCTGAATGCACTTGCACCATGCACTGTAGATAATTTAAATGGGGTCCAATGGCTGTCAGGTAAGTGTCCATATATAGCAGGTCCACTCCCTCACCAAGTCAAAGGTGAAGTTAGGCACTCAAGTGTGTCTGAACAGAGGAGATTCATTAACTTATCATTATGTATTTTTTTGTAGGAATCAGCATTGACCAACACCTGAGTTACACAGATGTTATTGGGTAACTTATTGTGTCTTACCATGAATAACTGCAGAACAATAGTTGATGGAAATAAGTTACAGTTTCTGAAAGTTTACCAACATGTAGATGGAAACATGCCTATGGTCAGTCTACTGATAGCCTGGAATGACTTAAGGTCATGGTGCTAAAGGCACTTCTCTAGTTAATGATGCACCTTAAGACAAGTTCATCTTAGGTCATTGAAGTCTTATTCTACCTCCACAGTGAATGATATTTAACAAAAGAATATCAAGCTGGTGGAACACTACATGAATCATAAGGATGTTTACAGAAAGCAGAAGCTTTGTAGCCAACATTTTCCTGTCTTGTCTTATTTATATAAAAAGAAGGTTGCTGCTCAAGAGTATCTCTTGGACATTACGCCAGATTATCTCCTTTTAATCTTTTTTTTATATAAACGTTTATAATGTCATTGTATTTACTGTCTTTATCATACATGTTTGTGTGGTTGTCCTTATTGTCATATGTATAGTGTGCTGTTTCAAACCCTGGCTGCACAGTTACTTTGAACTCAAAGTGCTGAATGCCTTGATGGCTGTATACCTGTTTGCTGTTTGACTGCTGCTACCTGAAGGCTGTTTATGCTTTAAATGTCTTATTACTGTTATTCTTGCTACTTTTAAGTTATTTTTTCTATAAAGGACTTTTTCACTTTATGTTTGGACAGTTTGTACACAACTGCAGTCTATTCACTGAAAGGCCCTGGCACACTAAACACAATGGCCGGCCTTTGGTCAATGTTGGGCCGTCGGTAAGTGTCTGTCACTCTGGTTTTTGCAGTGTGTCCCACACTGTCGGCCCTCGTTGGGTTTTATGGGATGATTCAGCATACTGAATTGGTGACAGAGATGTCAGAGCCCGTTGGTGAATTAAATTACTCTGCTGGCAGTTTATCTCAGTGCATGAGAAGAAAAACAAAGTGAGATTATTTTTCTTAATCATTGAGCTCTTCAGCAGAAATGATTTGCGATAGCTCATGTTATAATCAGCTTGCGCTCAGTAAATGTCCTTTGTGTTTTTTAACATTACGTTGTGTTGTTAATATACTAACTGGCTAATTAGCTTCTTGAATCCATCCTGATGGTCTTCTGGTTTCCCTTTTTGAATGATGAATACAGACCACCACTGCATGCTGCTTTGAAGAGCTATTACCTCTTATACAGGTGCAGAACCAATGCCCTAGTTGGCTGTTGGCTGTAGTCTCTGCAGTTTGTTCAGGTGCAACTTTCTGGCTGAGACACAGGTGACAGAACACAACAGAGCACTCGGCCAAGTTCTTTGTTGTCGGTTTGGTGTGCCCGGGCCTTAAATGTTTGTGACTTGTTACCATTGTCACAACAATGAGCAAAAGTGAGAATGTCTAACTTCATAAATCAGTAAACTGAATCTGAAATCACACAACATACTCTTGCGAAGAGAAGGATGTCCAGAAAGTCCAAGTTCCTTTTGGTCTGTATGCGTTCCAGCTCCTTCTCCTCCTTTAGTTCTTCTTTCCTCTTTCTTATGACCGCCTCTTCAAAAGACAAGATCAACCATACCCATAGTTTAGTGTATAATGCACACTGATCAAATTCAGTTTAACTGATAGTAGCAATAGTTTCATATTGTCATTAATCAAAGTATGTGTGAAGATCTTACCTGTATGATCATGAGCCACTCTACATGCTTTTCTGTATCTGAAACCATGTGGGCTGAGGTAGAAAATCAGGTCATTGTGGTATGGAAATATCCTGAACCGCAGGTTAATCAAATAACTGAGCTCATAAACTGCCTTGATGTATGCATTACTTCCACTGAAATGAGAACATAGGCAAACATTGAAAACTTAGTTTCCCACACTCATAATTCNCATAAACTGCCTTGATGTATGCATTACTTCCACTGAAATGAGAACATAGGCAAACATTGAAAACTTAGTTTCCCACACTCATAATTCAGACAGCTGAAGCTTTAAACTACTAAAAAACACAGATCTGAAAAAAATTGTATAGACTCACCTCTCATTCTGACAGTTGCTGCTGTAGCTGAAAGCACACTTTAAGATGGTGTCCAGTGTCATAAGGCTCACATGTTCGAACAATTCAAAGGACTCGCCAGTGTTTGCATAACTTTCCCATTTGTCCTGACAACAGAGAGAACAGAGGTGACATCTCTGCAGGAGATGGAAAAACTCAATCAACTTTGACACAAAGTTTGTCATCTAGACGGCCTAAAAGCCTTTTTGTTCTTAACATTACTTCACCATTATGGTTTTTGATAATTCACTGTAATTGTGATTCACATGTCTAAACTGTCACATACATACCAACATTCTTTCAGCACAGTCTGCCATCAGGTTAGTGTATGGTTTCAAAACATCATAATGGAAACCTGGGGTCAAGAGCCTTCTGTTCCGAAACCACTTTTGACCCTTTGACACCAATAAACCTTTACCTGAAGACAGACAGTATGTGTGTCAGTCAGTAAAACATCTCTGTAATAAGACAAAATATGTTGTAGGAGAAGGTCAAATCAGTCTTACCAATCCAAGACGTCACAAACCTATATATCAAATCAGTTTTTTGCTCTGATTTGAAACAAACAAAAAAAAATCTGTTACATTGACTTGTGGTCGTAAAAATGGAGCCAATGTTCCTGCAGGAGATTATAAAAAGCACTGATTTGACTACAATTGCTCACACACCTGTTGTTGCCATTGTGGTTTTCACATAGTCTGGATGTTGAATGTTGAGGAAACAAACAAAGGGACCAAACCACACTGGGAACGCGTAAGAGTACTGCCTTCCCCATTCCACAAACTGGACCAATTCTGTCTCATTTCGTTTAAGCTGAAATTAATTAAAACATGGTTAGGTCAACCACGTTTCATTCCTGTAGCTGGGGAAGACAATTTGTTATCAACTGAACTGATGTTTACTAACTGCACGAGTGCAGTATTACTTAAATCATCTAGTTAAGTAAAAGTAGAGATCACTAGATCATTAGTATTTATTTTATTATTTGTTTTCACTGTACAGCACTTAGAAAATGCAGAATGACTACGACTCCAACTGGCTTAAACTTTGATAAAGTGCTGGAAGCATCAATGGAACCAAAAAGAGACATCACTTTCAACATCAAAGTGGACTGATCTGACAGTTCCTCAGATTTCATTCAAGGTCAGCATGTAAGTCAATTTTTGACTCAAGGGCAAAGGCTTTTCCTCAATAAATAAGGCCCACTGTAAAGTCACTCTGAATTTTAAATCTGTTAAAGAGATACAGACTGTAAAGCTAACTCAATATGCCATGTAAGAAACGCATGAACTTTAAAAAGGCCAACATTTTAACCCCTGGGAATATTTTCAAAATGCACAGTTCATCTATTTAACTTAAAAAAAACCTCTCAAGTTGTTATTGACTTTTTTTCTGCAAAACGAACAAACGAACAAACTCAGTAGCCCACATAAGCCTATAGGCTACATGGAGCATATGATAACCACATTGAGCTGAAAGGTACCGCTGAAATAAAGACTGGGGAGACACCTAAATCCCATATATCAATCATTTCGGCCTGTGAAAATATAATTTTACAAAGAGTAAATACTCTTATACTCTGACAAAAAAACATTGAAAGACTACATAGATCTAACATAGTGTGCTGAAATATATTCTATTACTGTTAGCTTTGTAATTTTGTTTTGAAAGGTGCTATAAAAATAATTATTACTGTTATATAACAGTTACACAAAGTTGCACATTACTGAGCATTGGTGAATGAATTACCGAGTTAAAATGTCCAAAAAGCCAGTGTGTCGGTGGTCCTGGAAAATCTTCAGTGCCTCGAAGCGCATGTCTTCTTTGGAGGTACAAGATGGTTACTTTATAGATGACAGCAACAAGACAGATTAGAGCAAACAAGTGATGCATATGATGCCAGCCCAGCTGATTCAACAAAGCCTCAGCTGAATCCATCTCAGGTGAGTCTGTGCGTCGCTGGAGTCAAAACTCTGAACGCAACTGAAGGTGACTTCAGGCTCGTTGGAGATGAACTGCACCTCGTCTGAACAGTGGACGGGATAAGGCTGCAGTATCAAGGGGTGGTGACAAAAACACACGGTCAAATCAGTTTCCAGAACCCGAAACGCTCACATCCTGTTTGATGTGATTCCGATTTATAAAAATGTTATCAGACCCATGTATCAGTTTGTTCCAGTCTCCAAATGTTTTAATTATGAAAGAGTAGCCCATTAAAATCCTAAAAAGACGACCTGTTCTTTCTGTTGATGTTTGAACCTCCATTTCACATGAACTCTCATGGTACATCAGCTTCATATCAGTTTGCTGTTGTACATAAATCAGCTGAGCAGACCTGTCACCCTCAAATAGACCACATAAATACATTAAGAACATTAAACCAACAGTTAAACACAGAGGAAAGATAGATAGACATAGTCAGATGTAGTCAGGGCTTCACATGTGTACAGCTGTTTTCAGAATTCTCACATCCCAATACCACAAGTCTTGCTGTTGCTGAATACTTAATAATTAAAACAGTCCAGTGTTAACAAACTTGCTAGCAATGGTTTACATACTAACTACGGTTTATGCTCTGTAGTCTACACTTGATATGTGCAATAATGTAAATTCTGCCATTCAGCTAATCTATTTATGATTATAGCTTGCTTCTATTCTTTACTGCTTACAAGCAGTCACTTGGGTGCAATATCAGTATTGTTAAACTGTGCAACACCTATATTTCCATCGGTCAATAATGTGAAATCAAATCAGCCATTCAGTCTGTCTCTATTATACTCTGCTTATTTTTGATGCTTCCGTATTATATTGCTTTGTGTTTTTTGTACTGTTTGCTTGATATACTGCTCTTTGTTTTGTACAGTTTACTTATTTTACGTACGTACATATTGCTTTGTATTTTATTTTTTGCTACTGATACTTCCTGTTTGCACTATCCCTTTGCTGCTGTAATGTTGCAAATTTGCCCGCTGTGGGGCAAATATTGGATTATCTTATTTTATCTTAATTTGAATGTAGTAAATCTCTCTGACTACTAAGAGTCACCATAAGTCACACAACATGTATTATGTTAACAGAATAAACCTTCATACCAGACGGTTAAAATCAAGCTCTCTCCAATTCAACAAAAACTACTTGTTTATATCAAACGTCATATTGCTAAATCAACATCTAAACCAATCAGCTGATAGATTAGGTGAGAGCCAGGCATTTCCCGTAATGCTGTCGGTCCTGCATTCGGTGGAGAGCAACTGCAGCACCTGACTGTAAAAACTGGGGCCGCCTCAAACTGGTGAGGTTATCGTTGTCCACTTGTGCATGATGTCAGAGCATGTCGGGATGAAGTCAGACACAAATCTAACTGGTATGCATTGTGCAGGACTGGCTCATCTCAGATGTATGGAAGCATATTGCTGCCACATCAGAGAAAAAAAACAAGTATAGTATAAGTATAATGTAATAACATTACATGTTTCTTGTTAAGATGTTTTTCAAGTTTCTACAAGCTATTTTCAATTCAATTCAATTCAATTTTATTTATAAAGCCCAATATCACAAATCACAATTTGCCTCACAGGGCTTTACAGCATACGACATCCCTCTGTCCTTAAGACCCTCACAGCGGATAAGGAAAAACTCCCCAAAAAAAACCCCCCTTTAACGGGGAAAAAAAAAAACGGTAGAAACCTCAGGAAGAGCAACTGAGGAGGGATCCCTCTTCCAGGACGGACAGACGTGCAATAGATGTCGTACAGAACAGATCAGCATAATAAATTAACAGTAATCCATATGACACAATGAGACAGAGAGAGAGAGAGAGAGAGAGAGAGAGAGAGATGCAGGTAATGACAGTAGCTTACAACAACATTAATGAAAGTAATAATATTATAGTTATAGTTCTGGCTACTGTGGTACAATATGTTGAAAGTATGTATTAATATCTGACAGTATACTTGTGTGACAATAGTCATATGTGTATAATAACAGTAGAAGTATGACTAATGACTAATGATGGCAGCAGCAGCAGGAGGCATCTGGCAGGACCACGGCAGCAGCACAACCACACACGTCACGCTGTCCAGGCACCGCTGCGGTATGAGTTAATCTGAGAGACAGTGGAGCACAAAGGCTCCGGAGAAGAAGCCGAGTTAGTGACATCCAGAATGGCCGAGTTAGCAAGATGCAGTAATAGGATACGAGAGAGAGAGAGAGAGAGAGAGAGAGAGAGAGAAGGAGAGAAGGTGCCCGGTGTATTATAGGGGGGTCCTCCGGCAGACTAGGCCTAAGTCAGCCTAACTAGGGGCTGGTACAGGGCAAGCCTGAGCCAGCCCTAACTATAAGCTTTATCAAAGAGGAAAGTCTTAAGTCTAGTCTTAAATGTGGAGACGGTGTCTGCCTCCCGGACCGTAACAGGAAGATGATTCCACAGGAGAGGAGCCTGATAGCTGAAGGCTCTGGCTCCTGATCTACTTTTGGAGACTTTAGGGACCACGAGTAACCCTGCGTTCTCAGAGCGCAGTGTTCTGGTGGGATAATATGGCACTATGAGCTCTCTAAGATATGACGGAGCTTGACCATTTAGAGCTTTATAAGTTAACAGTAGGATTTTAAATTCAATTCTGGATTTTACAGGGAGCCAGTGCAGAGAAGCTAAAACAGGAGAAATATGATCTCGTTTCTTAGTTCCTGTTAGTACACGTGCTGCTGCATTCTGAATTAGCTGGAGAGTTTTTAAGGACTTACTAGAGCTACCTGATAATAGAGAGTTACAGTAATCCAGCCTTGAGGTAACAAAAGCGTGGACCAATTTTTCTGCATCTTTTCGGGTCAGGATATTTTCATGTTATTACATCATACACACTTATCACATTATTACAAGAAACTTTTCTTGTTACAACAATATACTTTTATTTTGTTATAACGTGAAATATTTCAAATTATAACATGATAGCATATTGTTTTAATGAGAAACTAATGTTCAAATGAGGAAACAGTGTAGGAGAATGACTAAATGGAGGACCTTTGTTCCTTGTCTGTCGGTACTGTCAGGAGTCAGTTCAGGAAGTACCCAAATGCAGACATCCAGAAAAACATTCAAAACAGGCAGACAGCAGAAAGTCCAATTGACAAAAAAACAAACCTAAAAAAACAAACAAACAGAGCACAAGACACCAGGCAGGAAACGGAGCAGGGAGCAGGACCAAGAACACGGGATGAGCACAGGAATGAACTGACAAGGAACATAGGGAAACACACAGGTGTATACTGTAGCTTGGGTTGACACATGGGGAGATTTTGCTGTAACTGAGATTGAGTGGATGATATTGTGATAAGCATGTAGGCCTATGTTAAGGTTTTTAACAAAATCCGCAGGGAGAGACGTGTAGAAACAACTGTTTATAAGCTCCCCCCATGTGGATTTTATTAGAAAATCTTTCAGAACTTCAGCTCAAAAAGCACTCAGCAAGTGATACATTTTTATGTGAGTGCTCTGATTAGAAATGTATCTGATCAGTAGGCAATTTGAGGGGCGGATAAGCATCCAAAAACATTGATAATATCCCTGAAATGTCCATAGCCTAACTGTGCTGTGTATTGAATAATCCATGACACTGTCTGTGGTGCTGAAGTAGTATACAGTACCATACAGGAAACGAACGTACCATATTAGTAAATCACAACTGGTAAAAGAATGTATTAAGGGAGGTCTAAAATCTCTTGACTTTGGATCAAGGGTAGGAGTGTTCAAAATAAAATGGATAAAAGCCTTTGTGTCACAAACAGAGTCAATATGGGTTCAAATCCCCAGAAACATTTAAAGAACATTGGAGGGTTGAAATTTTGTTGTGTCTTCGAAATGACAAAATTGCCCTCCAAGTTGTCAAAGTTTCACCGACAAATTCTGCATTGTTGGAGGATGTTGTTTACAATGATGATGAGGATGATAATAATTTTACTTTACATGGCTCCACCTTGTGGAATAACAGAGCAATTACAATCAATAAGAAAACTTCAATAAAAATTGGTATGACAATTAAAAAATAGTTGTTACAGACCTGATGGATGACTGTGGCTGCTTCTTAAAATTTAACTCCTTTAGGTAAAGTTTAATTTACAGTGTTCTTACAGGGAATTCAACTTAATATGTAAAGCAATCCCACCTCCCCTGGTGCTCTTAATACAAAGCACCCTCTCTCACTCACATGTACAGACATGTCCGTCATGCCATAAATATGAACTGGCCAAATACTTACCAGTGACAGGAAGTGTAACAACAAAACTATTAGTTAAAATCTCAAATGTAAATTCTTTATGCCTATACAAAAGACACAAACATCAGAATAAGTGATAATAATTTAGCAATCATGGATAGATACTCAAAATATGTAAACTGGCCAATTTCTCCAAAGGCCAAAGAAGTACACTCTAAAATTATTAAAAGATATTATCCAGCTGGCAAAACACTGAAAAGGAGATTTGAATGTGAGGATGACCCCTGTTGTATTTGTCTTAAAGAACCTAAAACTACTGAACATCTCTCCAAAGAAATATCTGATTTGGTTGCTTATCGTAAAATTTGGTAAATATTACATTCATTCATGTGAATGCAAAAAATCCCAAACCTTAATTAATATGGTTTAAATGAAAACTGTTACACAAATGCAAAAAGTCTGATAATTTCAGGTGTTTTAACGAAGATGGAAGGCTTGTTTTGCATTAGTTATTCTTTGAGTTGGCTTTGCTACCATATGGGTTTACGAACGATTGAAAGGGTCTCAAAATATATTGCCATTAATATTTATTTCCACCATGTACAAGTATTACGGTTTTCTTTTTATTTAAACATGTAGACCTATCTACTTTTTATATAGATAGGTCTATAGATAGGCTATTTTATTATAAATAGCCTTGTTGTTTTGATTTTGATTTTAGTCTGTGTATGCTTTTTAAGAAAGCAATAGACACATCATTATACCTACGAGACCTAATACCGAATTGTTCTAGATAAAGATTAAATAAAATAAGTAAGGATTATCTCTTTTTAATAGCCGACATTAAGGACGGTTGCCTCTGTGACGGCCATTAAAAAGTGATAATGGACACCTCAACGGGCATTTTCTACCTAGTACCATGATCACTTATCAAAGAAATAAGAAGTTAAAGTATTTATTCATATTTTATAATTTTTGCAATCAAAATGTAAAGTTTTTCACAAGACACAACTCGGTTTCCCACCTGAGTAACACCTGAGGGTTTACGTAGGCCTACCGCCCCGTAAGGTTCTTACGCAATGAAAACGTTATTAACGTTACTCCAGTAAATAGGACGAACCTTAGATACGACGTAGCAATGGGGGTAACTTATTGCTAGTCCGCCCTGCTGATGCAATAGAACCCTTTAACCGCTATTAGCCAGAAAGCTAACTTTATGCTAGCTATATTCAAAGTCATTTGCGTTGCGTACGGTTGACAAACAATAAATATAACTTTACAGCAGAACGGCAAGACTAGCTAGCTATCCAGATATGTCATCGTCCCCAAGACCTCCACGAAAAAACGGCGCGCCATGTTACGTTACTGTCGAGCGGGTGGGGTGAGAATTGCTTGAGGTCATGGGGGCAGTGTAGTACCTGTTGCTTGTGTTCCAGTCTCCCTCCCGTGGTGTTCAGAGGATAAGGCGCTGAAGACAACACTCAGTGGTGCAAATTAATTATAAACAGAGGCTTTAACTGCGGCCATTACTTAAATTAGATACAGGCTGATACTATTATGCGGCCAGCGAATTAATTTAGAACGGTTAACAGGCAGTTTCACCGGAACTACTTGGCAGGTGTACAGTTATTAACGGACATCCTGCAGCCAATCAGAGTCGAGTATTCATCCAGACCATGGTGAATGAAAAATAAAATATATCTGTGGTACACATAGGCCTAACCTCGTTTCATCTCGTTCCGACATCTGGGGACTACACGATCTTTACTTCATAAAAAAGATCGATACACGTTCAGCTAATCAGCAGGAGTTCGTAGCTCATAACCCCGCAAGAGTCCTGTGATCGGGGTCATAATTCGGCACTTGTTAGGTCTGAGCGTATTGATGAGTTCCGCTTGAGCGTAATGAGATTTGGTACGCGAGTGGTGGCAGGCATCTAGCAGGACCACGGCAGCTCTTGTAGGCTGAAATCAAGACGATCACATTAACCAGTGCACAATCATCAGACTTGACAATTATCACGGGAAAACAATCTTTGTTATATCGAGATAACGAAATAATAAGTCGTTATCACGAGATAACAGTGCACACAAAAAATAAAAAATACATGTCCGTTCTCGTCTTCCGTAGCTATGTTGCAAATGTAATAATACGTCGGTTATGCCCAGGTATTGAATCAAATGTGTTTTAAGACATTTTTGCTTAGTTCACCTTATTGTCTATTTGTCTCATCGTGTTTCATGGACACGGCGATGTGAATAGCGCTGTTTCTGCTCATTTCTGCTCACTTTTGAGGACTTCCGGGTCTGTTTTCCTCTGCTGAATGAAACCATGGCGACACGAAATGTGGGTACCTTATTGGTGTAGCGCGATCACGTGACGGCCGTGCCACCACTCGCGTACCAAATCTCATTACGCTCAGGTGGAACTGATCAATACGCTCAGACGGAACAAGTGCCGAATTACGACCCCGATCACAGGACTCTTGCGGGGTTATGAGCTACGAACTCCCGCTGATTAGCTGAACATGTATCGATCTTTTTTATGAAGTAAAGATCGTGTAGTCCCCAGATGTCGGAGCGGAAATCAGTTTCTGTGAGACTTTTTCTGATTCACCTTACGGTCTAATTTGTATAATACTCATTGGACAGGTCATTGTGATTTGGTAGTCAGGTCTCTGCTCCTCAGAGTTGATCACATCTAATTAGTGGCACCAGCTGATTGATTCATCACACTTGGTAGCAATCTGTCTGTGTCTATATCTGCTGTAGCAGTCATGTCAATAGCACTGATGATAGTCAAGGACTGAAACATTTGCTGCTGTTTTTATTCACTTTTTATTATTTTTTGCACTTTGATCCCCCTTCTTTTTGTGCACAGATGATCTGCATGCAACTTGCAGATTATACAGTAGTGCTGATGTTTAGTTTGCCCTGAGTTGACTTGAGACACTGGAACTGTATCTTTGTAGGACGGCAGCACATGTAATGAACAGGTACCCTATGTAATGGCTTTATACAGAGTGTACTGCAAATGTAAAGGTCCCATGAAATGGTACTCTTACTCTTTGGGGGGTATTTCTGCTTTTATTCAAAGGCAGAGAGGTGACAGGAAATGAAGAGAGAGGGGGGAAGTGACCTGCAAGAAAAGCCCTCAAACATAATCACATACGGTCACAGTGTACGGTATGCATTTTAACCAAAACACCACCATGATGCCTCTTAGTACTCCCTTTTGGTAGAGCTTGTAGTGGGGACTTTAGAGTGTAAGATATCAGTCTTAGTATAAACAAAGAGGCTCATAGTTACTACGTAGCTCGTAGTAAGTTGTACTTAGGCACAGTGTGAGGTTACCACTAAAGTTGAGCTGTTTTCTTGGCAATTCAAGTGGCCTTTTCATGGGATCAGAGATCAAGAAAGTTTCCTTTTTACAAACTGTGCTGGTGACTTTTTATCCTTGTGGGTAAATAAATAATGAATTACTTCTGACTTGTAAACCTCTGCGGCATTTTCAGCTGTAATGAAATAATGTTGCATTGCATTTGCTCAGATATGAACTGCCTGAATTCTAGGGCTGGGTATCAGTACTTGATTAATCCAGTACCAAGTCGTATCAAAACGTTTCCAGTGACACAATACCTGCATTCGATCCTTTTATGTGCAAAGGGTCTGATGCCGGACAATCCCGACTCCCTACTAGATCACCAAACTTTCTGTTGGTGCCACCTTGAAAGCCGCTCTCTTCCCATCTGCCCGGTTAGCGCGAGCTAACACAGCAGCAATGGCTAACATCCAACACAGAGTTGTTAAACAGCCCCAACAAACTCACTATGACACAGAAACAGCTCGACTCTGTCTTTAAACCTGTTAACAACCATTAAGTAACATAATCCATGTGATACTAACAGTTAGCCCTGTCACTGTGTGTGCGCAGATGGGGTCAACTGTGCCCAGCGCAGAGCTCACACTCCTGCAGCAGCAGCTACAACACATACAGTCTGTGGTGTGGTGAAGTTGAGTGTGATGTATTTGATGGAACTGGCAGTTCAGCCCGCTGAGTAACACCAAAACAGTAAAAAGTAGACACTGATCAGATGCCTCAGGAGTACTTTAGACCATAAGTCACTGTTGTTATGATGGGAAAACTGAATCTGTACACAGAGGCAGTAAACTTTGTTAATGTTTAAGCACTGTATAAAGAAAAGGTTTACACTACTGAATACAAATAATGGTAAAGTTCACACTACCTTTTTATTTAGCACTAAAAAAGGCAGACTAAATGTCATTGGCCCTGTAAAATGCTCAGTTAAACCTTTTATTGATTTGACCTGACCTGGTACTGCCCTTAGCCGTAAACCACCAGTAAAACTAAAAACCATTACATATAGGCTAATCAAGTGGATGATGCAGTAACACAGACCTGCAAACTCCAGAGTACTGGAAGAGATGACAAGATATGAGACCAAAATTAGGCAGGTAGTCCGGGAGCATTCTCCCCTGGAGGAAAATGTTAGTGATTTTTATGCGCAAATGTAACCTTCAGATAAGAATACTTGAAAACAACCTCATTTTGATGAGAAAATTTTATTGCATTGTGATTATTTTGATCACAATGTCTAACAACAGCCAAGGTGGGCCACAGGATGAACTGGCAAAGGTGCTAGGCATGATCTTAAGTATATACATATATGCAAAATAGACAATAGTAATATTGCATTGCACTCATATGGCTCTTATAACATGACGCGAATGAGGCTGTCTACTTGTCCCACCAGGATGAACATGCAGTGTGCCAAAATATGTATCCCTCTCTATAAGGTGCAGTCTCTGCTACATCAGGTATTTTATTTTGTATATCATGCCTTGGTGAATATGTAGAAGTTTCCAGTTCCTAACCCAAGTCCCTATGGAGTGAATTACTGCTGTCCTATCGTCATACCATTGTCTATTTATTGCAACTACAAAATGTCTCATTATGAAACTGTTCCAATGTGCAAAAGCGATTCTAAAATACAAGTGCAACTTCTTTTTCAGCCAAGTAATTTCTCCCCAAAACATATTCAGCCACTAATTAAAATACGGCACAGTTAATCTCATTACTATGATATGTTTGTGGTTTTATAGCATGAGTGTAATGTAATTTCCCTTTATTCTTGTGGGTCAGCAGGTTTGATTTTGATGTGGATGCCATTGAGTGAGCGAAGCACAAGATTTGGTATTATCTTGGGTTTCTGAGTGGGGTCCTCGATCAGCTGGTACCTCCTCAGTGTCAGGGCTGTCGCCACTTTCAGCTCATTCATGGCAAAGTTCTGCCCGATGCAATTTCTGAGGGAAGAAAACAGCAAAAGTGTGTGAGGTATATGATGATTAACACAGTGCTTTCAAGCAAGAACACAAGAGGGCAGCAGCATGTCAGAGTAGTGACATCTCCTACTTTGCACTCAGAGAGATAAAAACTGGTTGTTTTATGATTGACAAAATCAAATCAACAGTCGGTATCAGAATCATTACTTTTAATGTGGACTTACTTGATAGTTCTGTGGTAAATGTGGATATAATGAAGCTCATGATGATCAGTTTTGATGGGAATCTACATGTGACCTCTGAAATTTAAGTATTTTTCAGTGTGCTGTCACTCTCCCAGCCACTTAAGAGATACAGTAGAGAAGCAGAAGCCAAGAAAATAAATGACCTTGCCCAAATATGATCACTTCTGGCTCCAAAACCCCCCACAAAAACAAAAACAACATGGCGACAGCCAAAAAGATTTGTGGCGAGACGAGATGAAACATGCAGCTACTTGCAGTGTGCCGTTTTGCAACGTTCTAATATGGTTTGATTTTGATGCAAATCATTGGTCTGAACTGGGCTTAATGGTGCTAACTCAATAAACAGCGCTAACAACGGCAACAGTGCTGACAGAGCTGACATTATTAACCTTGGGGGCCACTGGAGGGTGGGCTCTATGCTTCTGCAACAACACCATCCTGCCACTGAGTCCGGACGGCATTGTCAGCGGTAACTGCCATATGAGCGCAGTGCAGAGCAGCAGTGATTTGCTAGCCAGTGGGACGCTCTCGTAGGGACTCACATGCATCAACATGCACTCCTGGCCGGACTTTCCACAACACTGGACATGGAGCTTGGATTACAACACACAGAGAGGTGGCGTAACTTCATTCTCTGCTCAGGACACCATTACTCAGTTAGCTCCTTTAAATTGAACTAATCCTTGTTACACAGAGTTCTTTTATTTATTGTGATCCCTAATAAAGCTTATCACTTTTTATGGTGTTGGTAAAAAGGAGGCTGGTGTTAGGTTACACATCCACATACTGCAGACTTTTGTCTCGACTGAGAACCTCCCTCTCTAGTTCTTAGTGAGCCAGTCACACGGTATCAGGTGAGGACAAACCTTGGCCCGGCAGAGAAAGGCACGAATGCATGAGGCGACCTCTTGGAAACATTCTCTGGTAGGAAACGCAGTGGGTCAAAGACCTGTGGTGACACAAGATTGAAAAAGCAAATGCCAGTAAATCCCACATCTTTTAATTTTTCTAATTTTTCCACTCAGAACTGAACGACTTCTTGCTGTTCATGACATGGTGACATCTGGCACCAGGGCACAACAGATACTGTATTAATTATGTACCAATGTGACGACTGTGTCATGTCTATTATTTGACCCATTTTGTGTCGAAGGAGGGTGCAGGACCACCACAGCAAAGAGAGATCAACCTTTTACTTTTAATTTAACAATTCAATTAATCATGTACACTGTGCAGTGAGTGGGTGACAGGTGAACTTTCATATCAGAAACATTTGCTTAGGATGAAATTATCTTGACTTACATCAGGGTTTTCCCAGACAGATGGATTTCTGTGAGTCCCATAGATACTTATTCCAATGTGAGTAACTGCAAATAAGGGGAAAAAAGGCATGTTTGGGGTTAGGATTGTGCAGCGACTGTAAAACGAGATGTTTTAATACACAGATTTTAAGCCTTTTGACTTTCAAGATCACAAACTTAATGAGATCGAAAATGAAGCTGATCCAGACACCCACTTCTACCAGAACATTAACATGACTTGTGAATATTATTCTGAAGATAAGATCAGTTCTGAATGAAGGGTTTTCCTGTAATCCACTTTAACAGTAGGGATCTCTACAGTAACCTCCCCAAAATTATAGGTTACCTTCAACAGTTTCAGCAAAAATTTCATGTAATGTTTGTATATACTGTACTGTACTGTAATGCCATACATGTCCTACTGTGTTGCTGGTTATTGTGAATCTACTAATCAGCTGTTTAAACATCCCACTGTACACCGTAAAATTCTAGACGCCTTCCTGTCTGCATTAAAATGATTAAACTAAAGAGAAGGAAATTATAATTTAAGAGAGTTGTTTATTTATGAAGCATGTAAAGAAAGAACCAATGTAAAATACAGATGTGTTTCAGTTTTGGGAGTCAAACTATGGAATGGACTCAGTGTTGAGTTGAAATTTTGTTGCTCTCTGTTGAGTTTCAAAACAGCCTTAAAGTGTAAAATAATTGTGGAATATAATTCAGAGTATTTGTATTTATTTATCAATTTATGTATTTATTTTCTTTGGTATTGTTGATATTCTGGACTATTGTTTGGTTGATATAGGATAGGCGAAAATACGCCTTAGGCTTCAGCCTATTCCTTTTTTTTTAATCTTTGTTTCTCAAGATGTATGTAACTGAAATAAAAAATATTCATTTGTTCATTCAACAGATCAATATTTAATCTACCTAAGTATGAGGCACAGTATTATAAAGATGTTACTGCCATATAACACATGTATGTTTAAGGGTTTATATGTGCTGTGTGTTGTGTAAGGCTGACTTACTAACACAAAACTAAGGCTATAGGTTGACCTGGACAATAACCAGTACAAGTTAATATTTTACCAGTGGAGTAAAACATACGTACTCAGCAGCTTGCTGTCTCACCTACATGAACTTTTCAAAAACATTAAGACCAAACCTTTCGGTAAAGTCCTTCCATCAGGAAAGGTCATGGGCTTTGTTGTCTTTCTGGCTGTTCCTGGTACAGGAGGGTAAAGGCGGAGGCACTCTTTGATGCACATTGTAGTGTATGGAATTTTACTGAGATCCTCCCTTAAAATAAGACACACACATTAGTTGTCAATATTGTAAGGAAAAAAAGGGGCAAGCTTAAAGTTATCCCTAATCCAGCTGTTGTGATACAGAGCGGCACTGACTTGCATTGCACCTTGGGTTTCAACAGGTAAATTACCACTCCATGGTGTCCTTGCCATCCAAGGCTTGAATGATCTCCTCCCTGCACATCTTCTGGTGTTCTGGGTGGCAGGCCAGACAGTAGAGGATGAAAGACAGGCCACTGGCTGTGGTGTCATGGCCCTCAAACATGAAGGTGTCCACTTCTGCTCGTATGTCATCATCTGATAAACCCTGCTGGTTCTCATCCTGAAGATGATAAATAAGACATAAATAGAAAAAAGCAAAAACTAGGAACAGTCACACTCTTGTGTATTTGTAAAGCACTTTTTAAAGTGAGTACTTTACTGTACAATAAAACTGCAGTAAAACTATAATAAAATCGCATAAAGAAAACAAAAATAAAAGATATTGGGCCCCATCTTACACTTGGTGCACATTAAAACTGTTGCTGCTAGTGTCAGACCAATGCAACTGTCGTTTTCATAGCCAGCGCTCCAACTGTAGAAGTACTTGCGCCCATCTGTGAGCGTGTAGTTCTTAAATTTAGGTGTGGTCAAGAACATTGTTTGGATAATGCCATTTTGAGGCAGCAGAAAGTGACTGCCCCACTGACCAACAAAAACCTGGTCTAAAGTCAGACTGGTGCAGTATTTTCCTGCTATTTAAAGGGTGCATTATTCAGATAGTAAGATGTGGCTACATGGGTGATTTCACAACGTGGGTACGTGAATGGGTGTGTGAACCAATTCCAAAAAAGTTCAAACACTGGAAATGGACAATGGAAAATACACTGCCTGGCCAAAAAAAGTCACCACCAAAAAAAAGGTCATACACTCTAATATTTCGTTGGACCGCCTTTAGCTTTGATTATGGCACGCATTCGCTGTGGCATTGTTTCGATAATCTTCTGCAATGTCACAAGATTTATTTCCATCCAGTGTTGCATTAATTTTTCACCAAGATCTTGCATTGATGATGGTAGAGTCTGACCGCTGCGCAAAGCCTTCTCCAGCACATCCCAAAGATTCTCAATGGGGTTAAGGTCTGGACTCTGTGGTGGCCAATCCATGTGTGAAAATGATGTCTCATGCTCCCTGAACCAGTCTTTCACAATTTGAGCCCGATGAATCCTGGCATTGTCATCTTGGAATATGCCCGTGCCATCAGGGAAGAAAAAATCCATTGATGGAATAACCTGGTCATTCAGTATATTCAGGTAGTCAGCTGACCTCATTCTTTGAGCACATACTGTTGCTGAACCTAGACCTGACCAACTGCAGCAACCCCAGATCATAACACTGCCCCCACAGGCTTGTACAGTAGGCACTAGGCATGATGGGTGCATCACTTCATCTGCCTCTCTTCTTACCCTGATGCGCCCATCACTCTGGAACAGGGTAAATCTGGACTCATCAGACCACATGACCTTCTTCCATTGCTCCAGAGTCCAATCTTTATGCTCCCTAGCAAATTGAAGCCTTTTTTTCCGGTTAGCCTCACTGATTAGTGGTTTTCTTAAGGCTACACAGCTGTTCAGTCCCAATCCCTTGAGTTCCCTTCGCATTGTGCGTGTGGAAATGCTCTTACTTTCACTATTAAACATAGCCCTGAGTTCTACTGTTGTTTTTCTTCGATTTGATCTCACCAAACGTTTAAGTGATCGCCGATCACGATCATTGAGGATTTTTTTCCGGCCACATTTCTTCCTCGAAGACGATGGGTCCCCACTATCCTTCCAGTTTTTAATAATGCGTTGGACAGTTCTTAACCCAATTTTAGTAGTTTCTGCAATCTCCTTAGATGTTTTCTCTGCTTGATGCATGCCAATGATTTGACCCTTCTCAAACAGACTAACATCTTTTCCACGACCACGGGATGTGTCTTTCGACATGGTTGTTTAGGAAATGAGAAGCAACTCATTGCACCAGTTGGGGTTAAATAACTTGTTGCCAGCTGAAAGATAATCGCCCATGCAGTAATTATCCAATAGGAGGCTCGTACCTATTTGCTTAGTTAAATCCAGGTGGCGACTTTTTTTTTGGCCAGGCAGTGTAATTTCACTCTCAAAACTTCAACAATCAGTGTCCTCAGTTCTCAAACACTTACTGAGTATTCTTAAAAGAAAAGGTGATGTTACACAGTGGTGAACATGCCCCTGTACCAACTTTTTTTAATGAGTGTATATTTTCAAAAAACAATAAAGTCTATCAGGTCTTTATACTGTATAATATTATATATGGCTCGAAAAGGATTTGCAAATCATTGTATTATTTACATTTTACACGACGCCCCAACCTTTTTGGAATCAGGGTTGTTGATCATTAATGAGGAAAATATTAATTCATTTTCTACAGTGTGATCAATGTGCTATTTATATGCTACTTAAACAGCGAATCCACCATGTAATTCTAGCTGCTGTGCAGCAATGGTCGGGGCCGGGCAATTTTAGACAATTTTAGGCAAATTTAGGCAATTCTGAGCAGAGGCAGAATAGGAAGACAACAAGAAAGTTGCCATTACAATGTACATTTTGCATCAGCTGAGGCTTAAACTCACAACCTCTGACACCAAGGAGCATTTTCTATCTGACTGAGCTAATTAGCAAGTGACAACTCATCTGTGGCTTCACAAACTGACTAAGCCAGCCACCAGGATGACAGCAGCTGTCAAGGCAGATTTCAAACTGCTGTCATAAAAAAATCACAAAAATCTGAAAATACACATATTGCATCTAGACAGCATGGAGAATTTGTGTTTAACAATGATTGATTTACTCCATAAGTGACAAATTGATGTGTAAAGATGCTCTATTCCCATTGACAGTAATGGTTCACATGAGGACAGAATTCAAAATGCTGTCAAAAATTCAGTTTTTGATATAAAATTCTGATATTTGCCAAACATCATCTATTGTGACTCCAAAATTTTGTTAATTTTTTTTCATGAACATTGAAAACTTATTTAGCAAGAATTTGCATGTATATGTTTACAGTACCGTTTACAGTCAAACATCTTGATGCACCGTAGACTCAATTTTTGATAAATCAAAAATCTGTGAGGAAAATTTGTGGAGGACAGTCTGAAGATGCTCTGTAGCAAGTTTGGTGTCAATCAAGCAAAAATTGTGGGAGGAGATAGGTTTAAGAAGTTTTGCAGTTTTTGAAAAAAACAGAGTGATGGACTTCATAATTTGCAATAGGTTTAAATATACAAAAGTTTCTTCATTATTGGGGCTACAGTTTGGTGAAAGTTGTGAAGCTGTAGCACATACAGTCGATTTGTTGTGAATTTTCAAAGTTTTGAACTTTAGATGCTTGCTGTAGCGCCAGCATCAGGACTACTGACTTTTGTTTGCAGCTGAGCAAATCTGGTATAGGACTGAACCTTTGTGCAAAGTTTGGTGATTTTTCGCGCATGGGAAGTAGGATTTCCTTGGAGGAAGAAGAACTGTAAATGCACTTTAGACCATGCACTATAGATTGTTTAAATAGGGTCCAGAGGTTGTCAGGTTAGTGTCAAGTGTTCTAGACATAGCATGTCTGCGCCTTCACCAGGTCAAAGGAGGAGTTAGGCACTCAAGTGTGTTTGGACAGAGGAGATTCATTAACATAGCATCTGTACATTGTTGGCTGGGAAGCAGCAATAATACACCATGTTGACCGTGAGTTACACAGGTGTCGTTGGGTAACTTATTGCGTGTCACTGGGAGTATTTGCCCAGCTAAATGTTGCACCTAAAGACAAGGTCATCTTGGACCTTAGAAAGTGCTATTCTGCCTCCACAGTAATGTAAGAATATCAAGCTGGTGGTACACCACTTGAATCATAAGGAGGTTTACAGCTTTGTAGCCAACATTTTCCTTAATGTCGTATTTATTTAAAAAGACAAACTTATTGTCTTCAGGCCGCTGCTCATGAGGACCTCTTGGACATCATGTTAAGTTATCTCTTGAATGATCTCAGGATTTTCTATATGACTTGTTAATTTTTAACAGTTGGTCTGTGTCATTGTTTCATTATTTTTTAGTCTGACTTTTTATGTTAATATACATGATTGTGTGGTTGTCCCTGTTGTCTTATGTATAGTGTGCTGTTTTAAACCCTGGCTGCACAGTTACTTTGAACTTAAAGTGCTGAATGCCTTGATGGCTGTATATCTGTTTGTATCTTGATGGCAGTTTATGCTTTACATGTCTTATTACTGTTATTCTTGCTATTCTTGCTAAATTATCTTTTCTACAGAGGACTTCCTAACTTTATGTTATGCCCTGATGCACCAGGCCGATGTTTGACCTTTGGTCAGTGTTGGGCCGTCGGTGAGCATCTGTCACTTCAGTTTCTGTGGTGTGTCCCCACTGTTGGCACTAGTCGGACCTTGGCTGCTTTATTTTCAACAGATTCAGTGTATTGAATCAGCCTTGAAGACATCAGAGAGGTTGGAGCCTGTCAGTAGCTGTTGGTACCCGCTGGTGAATGCAATCACTCTGACACTCTGATTGGCAGTTCAGCCCACAAGAAGAGAAACGGAGGTCAAGAAGGTGTGAGATCGAAACAAACTTAGAAAAGACTTCTTTCTTAGCCATTGAGGTCTTTCGCAGAAACGTTTTGTAATTGTTTTTGCTGTTGTTCGCCAGTGCTCTGTAAAAGTCCCTTGTTTTTTAACATTGGGTTGTGTTGCTAATGTGCTAAGTGGCTAACTAGTGTCTTGAATCTCTCCTGTTGGTCTTCTGGTTACAGACCACTACTGCCTGCTGCTTTGAAGAGCTATTTCCTCTTATGCATAACATATGTCCTAGTCAGCTGTTGGCTGTAGTCTTTGAGTGCACTGTAAAAGTCCCTTGTTTTTTTTGGTTGTGTTGCTAATATGCTAATTGACTAGGTAGCGTCTTGAATCACCACTGCCTGCTGTCATGAATAATTACTTCCTCTTACACAGGGGCACAACCCATGTCCTAGTCGGCTGTTGGCTGTAGTAGTTGCAGTTTGTTCAAGTGCAACATTTTGGCTGAGACCCACGGGTGCCGTAGCATTGTTCCGACCTCTCATTGTTCCGACCTCCCATTAGTCCGACGGCCCGTTGTTCCGATATGTGATTATACTAGGCTATACTGTATTTGTGTTCCATAGAGGATCAGCAACGCAACAAAAGTAGGCTACTGGTCGAGATACAAGTGTCATAGAGAGGAGAGAATGAAACACCATAACCTCCTGTTATTAACTCTGGGGTCCGGGTTGCGTGGGGAGCTTTCTGCGGTGCTGAACGGCTCCTGGCGGGCGTATTTCTACCTTAATGGTGCGCCGCGACCGGCTCTGGGTCAGCTGGGAAAGGCTTAAGGTGAAGCAGGCTTACAGCTTATGTGTTTGCCACTTTCTTTTTCATTTTAACCCACACCATGATCTTTTCCTAACCCTAACCAAGTGGTTTTTGTGCCTAAACCTAACCAGACCTTAACCACAGGGCATCATCAATGGGATGTCGGACCAAAGGGCTGTCGGACCAATGGGCAGACCCCGAGACACAGGCGACGTGACGCTGTTGTCGGTTTGGTGTATCTGGGCCTTAAATGTTTGTGACTTGTTACCATTGTCACAACAATGAGCAAAGTGAGAATGTCTAACTCCATAAATCAGTAAACTGAATCTGAAATCACACAACATACTCTTGCAAAGAGAAGGATGTCCAGAAAGTCAAAGTTTCTTATGGCCTGTATGCGTTCCAGCTCCTTCTCCTCCTTTAGTTCTTCTTTCCTCTTTCTTATGACCGCCTCTTCAAAAGACAAGATAAAAAATATTTGCATACTAACTCTTAAAATAAAGCAACGTGTAAATGTGCAAAATCATTTAAACTGATAGTAGCAATAGTTTCATATTGTCATTAATCAAAGTATGTGTGAAGATCTTACCTGTATGATCATGAGCCACTCTACATGCTTTTCTGTATCTGAAACCATGTGGGCTGAGGTAGAAAATCAGGTCATTGTGGTATGGAAATATCCTGGACCGCAGGTTAATCAGATCACTGAGCTCATAAACTGCCTTGATGTATGCATTACTTCCACTGAAATGAGAACATAGGCAAACATTGAAAACTCAGTTTCCCAGACATAATTCAGACAGCTGAAGCTTTAAACTACTAAAAAACACAGATCTGGACTTGTGAATGGTAGAAAAAAGTTTGTATGGACTCACCTTTCATTCTGACAGTTGCTGCTGTAGCTGAAAGCACACTTTAAGATGGTGTCCAGTGTCATAAGGCTCACATGTTCGAACAATTCAAAGGACTTGCTGGTGTTTGCATAACTTTCCCATTTGTCCTGAAAACAGAGAGAACAGAAGTTACATCTCTGCAGTAGATGGGCAACACTTCAACACACACATCCAACTTTGGGTCAACATACCGTAAAACTTTAATTTAACACGCATTCTCTTTAACTAGCCAGGTTAAAGGACAATAAAGGCCTGTCTCAATTAAATGCATGGTCTGGTTGCCGAGGTGTTAATTTTTCTATAAGTTCTCTGGATATATAAAACCAGATTGTTGACTTCCCACTTGAGCTAACATTAGTTAGTTGCTCAGATCGCGCAAATAAATATAAATGTTTAAACTTTTGTCAATATGGAGATGCTATACATCGTTAGCTCGGTTGATTTCATTTTACTGGAAGCAGTTGCACCAGAGAAGACCGTAAGTCATTTAGATTTACCTGCATGACGAAAAACAAGTGGTGACTCCCTTCTAAAGCTGTCATAAAGTCACAATATGTGTTCATTCCTCGATTACCCAGTAAGTTACTTATATTTCTTTAGTCCGCAAGGGTCCACTGATCAAAAGAATCAAAAATGTTTTTCATAAAAATGAAGCAGAGTGGGGCATCGGTGGCTTAGTGGTAGAGCAGGTGCCCCATGTACAAGGCTGTTGCCACAGCGGCCTGGGTTCGACTCCAGCCTGTGGCCCTTTGTTGCATGTCACTCCCTCACTCTCTCCCCCTTTCACACTTGTCTGTCTTATCCATTAAAGGCTAAAAAATGCCCCCCAAAATATCTTTAAACGAAGAAAAAAAAAAAAAAGAAGCAGAGTTGCGATATTCCTTTAACAAGAAAAGGTGGTGTTGTGTTGGTATGCCGGGTGCGGTGAAACAAGTGTCATAACATAACACAATTAATATTATTCAAAGCCTATTTTTTTATACAAGTAATATCCATACTGGTTCAAATAAGGAAAATGAATTAAAGAAGCTAATTATAGCCTGGGCTACTAATTGAAGTTTAACAGTATATCATCTAGACGGCCCAAAAGCCTATTTGTTCTTAACATTACTTCACCATTATGGTCTTTGATTACTTATTACAAATTGTTATTTACATGTCTAAACTGTCACATACATACCAACATTGTTTTAACAGAGTCTGCCATCAGGTTAGTGTATGGTTTCAAAACATCATAATGGAAACCTGGGGTCAAGAGCCTTCTGTTCCGAAACCACTTTTGACCATTTGACACCAATAAACCTTCACCTGAAGACAGAGACAGACAGTATGTGTGTCAGTCAGTAAAACATCTCTGTAATAAGACAAAATGTACTCTAGGAAAAGGGCAAATCAGTCTTACCAATCCAAGACTGAATAAACCTATACCCCAAATCACCTTTTGGCTCTGTTAGGAAACAAATAAATAAAAAATCTTTTACATTGATTTGTCATCGTAAAAATGGAGCCAATGTTCCTGCAGGAGATTATAAAAAGCACTGATTTGACTACAATTGACAAGGTAATGGTGAATCATTTCAGTAAAGATTTTAAAAAATGCTCACACACCTGATGTTGCATATACTGTCTTCACATAATCTGGATGTTGAATGTTGAGGAAACAAACAAAGGGACCAAACCACACTGGGAAAGCGTAAGAGTACTGCCTTCCCCATCCCACAATCCTGTCCAGAGCTTTTCCATCTTGTTTAAACTGAAAGAGCAATTAAAAAGGTTAACCACACGTTTCAGTCCTGTAACCTGAGAGGACAATTCGTTACCAACTGAACATATGTTTACTAACTTACTAATAGAATTTTGGTTTATATTTGATCAGCACTCCCAGGTTTTACCGTTTGATTGGATTTCTGCCGCAGCAAGTGAGCACAGCATCTGGGGTCATTTTGACTGACAAGCGGACTTCATGAAACAGGTGACAAGTTTTATGCTCTAAAACCAGTCACCGGAGATTTGATTTCTTTTTTTTTCCGAGATCAGTCAGGTTTTCATCCAGACTGTGGGGCCACTGTGGGGCCACTGTGGGTGCAGCTTATTACATTTTGTCTTTTTTATATGAACATGCATAACATAGATTATTGTGTTTTATGTGGTACACTATGAACCTTTCCTAAATGAAGTCATTATTATTATTATTATTATTATTATTATTATTATTATTATCATTTTTATTAACTTGAAAACATAATGCCTCCATCATCTTCAAAACTGTAGCCTACTTATTAATGTTTCCTTTTACAGAACTTAGATATGCTTTATGACCACCGCTCCACCCGGCGTTAACAGTGTTTAGGTGTGAGAACCATCAGTGATACCCAAACTGCTGGATAGAAAAGATTTGCACACTATTGTCTGCTGTGTTTCACTTGATTGTGAGTTTTCAGTCCATCAAATTTTCATTAGCAGTTACACGATTCAACTATGGCAGGTAAAAATAACCAATCCCATTCTCTTTCAGTTGGGGCAGGAGGACTATTAAGTGTCTTTTAGCAAGCTGCATAGCAACTATGCCATTGCCGTTCACCATGCTCATACTCAGCAACACCCTCTTCATTTTCAGCATCAAAGTGGAGACCGTCTGACTATTTACAGTTTTGAAATCTACAGCATGTGACTACATTTTTAACTCAGAAGCAAAGGATTTTCGTTATTGAACAAGACCCACTGTCAAGTCACTGATTCAATCTAAATCTGTTAAGAGACTTAGATTGTTAAACTGAATCAATAGGCCATGTAAAAAACAAGCATGAACTCCATTTGGTGTACATTCCAAAGTCCACATTGAGCTGATAGGTACCACTGAAATGAAGACTCAGAGGACTTGGAATTCCATATATCAGTAATTTAGGCCTGTGAAAATATAATAATTTTACAAATGTTTTCTTTTTCTCAAAGAAATATATGACCAAGGAACATTTTTTCTCCAGCCCAGAACAAAGTGTCCTAACCGTCCTGGAGGGGCAGAATTTTAGGAAAAATGTACTCATTGTACATTTAACAAAATCACGCCTTTCACGTTTGGGTTGGGCTCTGAAAAACTTGATAAATTTTGAGCAAACATCTCTATATGTTCAGGGATCCACTTGTTATCACTGTTCAAGTCATCTGTGAGAAATGAAAGCTATTTTGTCAGTACAAAAATGTCCCAACCGACCCGCTCTCCCCTACTGAATGGAGTATTATGAGGCATACAAATGGAAACAAAACTTCTTATAAGATACAAAAATGGGGTGAAACACAGTGAATATAGCAAAACATTTGCATACTGCCAGTGATTAGAATGGGATTGCTTATTTAAACCTGCCTGTCCATCGATGAATCCTGTATACTCTGAGAAAAAACAGTGAAAGAGATCTAACATAAAGTGTGCTGAAATATCTTCTATAACTATTTAGCTTTGTAATTCTGTTTTGAAAGATGCTGTTATGTAACAGTTACACAAAGTCGCACGTTACTGAGTGCTCGTGACTGACTTACATCTCTACCATGTCCAAAAAGCCAGTGCGCCGGTGGTCCTGGAAAATCTTCAGTGCCTAGAAGCGCATGTCTTCTTTGAAGGTACAGGATGGTTACTTTATAGACGACAGCAACGAGACAGATTAGCGCAAACAAGTGATGCATTTGAGGCCAGCCAAACTGAGATTTCACGAAAGCTTCAGCTGACTCCATCTCGGGTGAGTCTGTGCGTCGCTGGAGGAAAAACTCTGAACGCAACTGAAAGTGACTTCAGGCTTGTTGAAGATGAACTGCACCTCCTCTGCAAGGTTAGTGAGATAAGGCTGCAGTATCAGGGGGCGGTGACAAAAACAGTCAGTTTCTATGGAGATAATATCCTGGCAAAACCTAACAGATTACGCTTTACAAATGCCCTGTGATTCACTAACAAACACAGTGTGGGTGACAAATACAGAATATAATTAACGAACGCACGCATGTTGTTTTACAAATACAAAACACACCTGTCAAACAAATACATATTTTTCTGATACATCATGTTTCAGAAACAAACACAGTATGTACAAACAAATATATTGTACTAAGACAAAAAATATCACGTGACTTTTGGCACAATCTTAATTCTACCTCCAGCAGGTGGCGCTATGAGTCAATTGAAACGCTAGGAAGGAGCCACTGAGGGTCACAGAGCCAGGCCCCCAGCCACTCAAGGTGACCTCTCTGCTGTGTTTGAGGTGTTGGAGCCTTTTGGAGGTTTTTTGTTCAACTGTCATTTGTACTAACTGACCATCCAAGTCACCGATGGACTGTAACTATTTTGTGTGCAGTTGGGTCCAGGACTGAAATGACTGCTATCTTGTTTTTTCCTTCCTAAAAGTTCCGGGACATAATGTGCACTGAACATCTCCATTCCAGAGTCCTGCATGGGGTCAGGTATCTACGGGTACCTGATGGGTAACCCGCAAAAGCTGTGTAGGGACACGTGGGCAGGCAGTGTGAGAGAACCAAAATATATTTTGTATTTTACAGAATAAAACAAATGAATAGATGTCCAGTAAATGTGTTATATTGTGACATTTACATTGCTATTATCAAGCTGTAATTCCTTTTATTTTAGAAGTAAATGACACATGATGAACCTTTGACCACTTTGGAGGACTCCGGCGATGAGCCTAAATCGAGTTCAAGACACCCAAGGAAGATCCTTTTTAGTTTTCATGGAGGGACTTTAATTAATGGTGTGGGCAGGTACAGCTTTGACGTAGACATAATGATGGGTAATGGTTTGGTTATGGTAGGCTACTAAGCTTTACGGGTACGGACAGTTGTGGATTTTCAAAAAGGGACCTTCTGGGACCCTCTTGATGGTTCAAGGACATCAAGTGTCCTTGAACCTAAGAGCAAACCTGACAGACATGAGGTGTGGCATTCGCTCAGTGCCTTGCTCAGAGAGAGGGAGAGGTCTGCACAGCCGGAACATCCAGAGACGTCTGAGCCACCTATGAAAAGACCAGCTCTCATGCTTGCCCCAGTCTCTTTGTCTGATAAAGAGGAGGACTGTATTGAGAAATACAGGGCAGAGCCCATTATTGGCATGGAGGACTGTCCCCAGCCGGTGTGGTCCAAACATGATGGGGCACACAGCCAGATGGCCTGCCTTGCACACAAGTACCTGGCAACACTTGCCACATCCGTACCATGTGAGGGGTTATTTTTACTGTTTGGGCATGTTGTTCAGAAGAAGCGAGCTGCCCTGTTGTCCAAAAATGTAAACAGGCTTGTCTGTTTGGGCAACTGGCTAAGTGCAAAGACACAGAAGTAATGGGAACAACCCATTTACTGTATGTTGTAGTTCTTTTCATTTGTGGTGTTTCTATGTTCATTTTGTCAGGAAATAAATGAGGAGGAAGGAGGCTGGGCTGCTCAGCCTCTGCTGATTGCAATAGAAGAGCAAAGAGATAGAAGTATAGACTGTTTTATCCAAAGAAATGGAAGTACAAACTATAGCCTAACTGCACTATATACCAGAGTCCTAGCTCTGTTTCATACTCCCCACTGTTACATGCACACTTTATTTTCTGTAATTCCTTCTTTGTATCACCCTGTCTTGATCCCACTCTGTAGAAGGGGATGTTTTTGTGAGCATTTATTTTCCCATGTAACGTTATAGACACAATTACATTGTATGAGATTATTTGCTTTAAGTGTGAATGATCCCAGAAATGATCTTTAAATGATGGAAAATTTAACTGACCAATGTACGTGTTAATGTGATGCATGAGGTTGAGCTGCTTAAAGAAAAAATGGGATATTTATTTACAAGTGACAAGTTGGACACCACACTGTGTTAGTATTATAAAGTAATGTTAGATTCAGTATGTCCATCTGTTGTTGCTTGTCAGACTTGAGTTTTCCATGGTATACTTTCAGCATATTTTTTGAGCATGCAGTACCTTTGAGGTTATTCTAGAGAATATTCTGGGCTGTATTTGTCATTGTTTGGATTGTTTCAATAATAATAAACATACATTTGCATAAAGCAAGCATATTTGTCCACTCCCATGTTGATAAGAACATTAAAAACTTGAAAAATATCCCTTTAAGGTGCATTTAGAACAGATAAAAATTGTGATTAATATGTGATTAATCACAAATTAATTATGGACAGTCATGCAATTAATTGTGATTAAATATTTTAATTGATTGACAGCCCTAAAAAACATGTACCCATAATTACAACTCACACATTTAAGTTATTTTGGCACATTGAAATTTACATTTACTCAGTTGAAATAATGACAACTCATACAGTTAAGTTGAAATTCAATAACTCAGTATGTTAAGTTGGAGTAAATTTAAGACAGAAGTTGTTATGACTTATTGGTCATACATTGATGGTTCATCAGCTCAGTGTGGTTGTACTGACTTGCCGTGTCTATATTTGTTTTTAAATATGTGCAACGTCCTGTTTTTGTTTTTATTTGCATCAGACTTATCATTCTGTACAATAAAAGAAATAAAAAACATTCAAAAAAAGGAATTTCTGTTTCTTACAGTAAAAAAGATTGAATTCCTCCTGTGCTCTGCTGCTGTTTTTATACACTGTAAATGAAATAGAAATAAAGTTTCTTTTTAAAGTACTACAGTACCCATGAGCCTCAGCAGCCACTGCCATGGAGATGGCTCCCTCCAATTAATTAAATTTTGTTTTGACCACTAATATAAGTTTTGTAGATGTTTTTTATTTGAAAAACAGTGAGCCACCTTGTGTCATGATTAACATAGCGCTGCAGTTTTTAACATCAAATTTCTGATGTAAAGTGGTGTTACTCTGTATGTTTAGGACCAGAGGTGCAGAAATAGGTGTCCAGAAGGCAATTAATGTGCCATATTTTCCTCTGCAGACAAGAGCTGCCTCCATATATACCTCACTTGGCACCAGAACAGCACATAGCAAAATTCAATTACAATAGCCAGGTATCAACCTGTAGAGGGCGGCCACTATGCATATTTTAACACAATATGTAGAATACTTTACACTCAAATGTGAAGATTTAGACCTGACTCAGTCAACAACACTACTAAATACCCATATACATTGCTTTTCAACTGGAAAAAAAAGTGGTTAGGGGGTTTAGTTACTTTTTAAGTTTCCACCCCCACACGCACTTTTATACTTTGCCCACCATGTGTCAATGTTTTTCCTTTTGAATGCAGTTTTTCTTGGTTTTGAGGAAATAAAAACAAAAATAAAAACATGTTTCTCCTGCAGTGTAAACACTTGCTACCATTCAGAGTGAAGGGTGAGTTCAGCAGACATCACGTCACAGATGAGATCAAAGTTCTGATTGGTCCTGATTTTGTGCAGTTGTCCTCCTATTCCTTTTTCACATATAAAATATCTCATTAAAAACTGTTACAGTGTGAGAAAATGACTCTAAAATACATATACAACTTCTTTTTCAGCAACTAATTTAATCAAAAACATACTCAGCCACTAAATGAAATACTGTACTACAATTATGTGCTTGTGATTTTACACTGTAAGGGTTTTATTGGAAATATAGGGCTCAAAAGAGCATGTGACTTCGCAATGCATTGTGTGTAACCAGCGCCATTTTTACGGGCAAATTGTTTTGTTTACATTGCGTTGCGCCGGGAGAGAGACGTGAAGCGAGAGATTTAAATGGACTGGGCAAATCTTTAAGGGCTCGTGGGCAAGCAAACTTTGGGTGGGTGCAGGACCTCCGAAATTTACGCCTTAAAGAGAAGACCGTCGTCATTTCAGAGGTATGTAAACTTTACAGGCCTCACTGTGTCCCACCTCCGTGTGGTGCTGCCTGTTTGCTTGCTTAACATATCTTGGTGTCTGCTGGACCAATTTATTTCAAACAAAAAATATTTTGAAGCCTAAATTCCACTCTTCATTTATGTGGTAAATATGTATGGGCTTCTTGGTTATTCCAGAATTAGGGGCATTTTCACACCATAAATCTCTAACTCTCCATCGTCATACATGGGTGGGCACAACACGGTGTTTATCTTTATTTTTTACTTTCACTTCTTAACCACAATTTAGGACAAGTTTACTCCTGTGGAGACAACTGAGAAACAATGTTTTTAGTGACATCAAGATGTGTAGTTTTGTTTTCTTTTTTTAAAAACGGGATTAAAAGTCCTGACTGCACAGCTGTGTTAGATTTGTCCCTAGTTCTATTTCAGCCCATCGATCTTCTTCCTGTAGCGATCGTGAGAACGATTGTGGCAGTTAATGACACAGCAAGTCTGCACCATTTTCAAACGACACAGTTACTTTTAAAATGCTAAAACAACAACAGAACACAAGCGTAGCATCGCGAAACATAAACAACTTTCCAATTGCCCGCAAAGCCCACAATGCATTGCAGTTTTTCCACCTCCGCTACGTTTACCCTTTTGAGCCCTATAAGAAACGAAGAAATGTGAACTCCTGACAAATTACCCTGACTGATCAATGTATTTTCTAGGTTTATATCCTCTCCTACTGTAATTTCCTCTCACTCTTGTGGGTCTACAGGTTTGATCTTGATGTGGATGCCATTGGAGGAGTGGAGTGTAATTTTGTGAATCAGCTTGGGTTTCTGAGTGGGGTCCTCGATCAGGTGGTACCTCCTCAGTGTCAGGGCTGTCATCACTTTCAGCACATTCATGGCAAAGTTCTGCCCGATGCAATTTCTGAGGGAGGAAAAGAGCAAAAGTGTACTTTCAATCAAGAACACAAGAGGGCAGCAGCATGTCAGAGCAGTGATATTTCATCCTTTGCACTAGACGGAAAAAACAAGGGTTGTTCTATGATCAAGGAAATCAGTCGGCACAAGAAATGAAGCTTTGCGTTAGTTCACGCAGGACATGGAAGTCCCACAACAAGGCGGTCCATTTAATAATGGCCTCCTACTCACTGATACCTACTACACTAATGCTGCCACACACCGCTGCTGCTGGCAAAGCTTTGCCTCCTCCACCCAAGCCTCCACCTTTCTGATTCAGAGTCCAAACATGGCTTAACCTTTAAGGGTATTGTATGTCTTGCTTGGGCCCACTCTTGTGCACCCTGGGGGTGGTGGTGGTGGTGGTAGGGGGGTTCTGCATTGCGCTCCCTGTATTGCTTTAGCATGCTGCTTGTCTGATCCAGGGAGCAACTTCAGAGTGGAGCCATCAGCGCCAAGAATAACTGTTTTTCTATTTGTTGCAATAAATTGTTCAATCTATGACGAGGGAGTTCCTGACTGAATTATCATTATTGTTGAATGTCGACTGACATAATATGGACAAAAAGATGTGGTGATAGTTTGAAGCTTCATTCATAACTTTGAGACTCCAACTCTTCCTTACTCTTTTTTGCATGTTTATTCTTAAATTGGTATCTCTTGCAGCGACACTATTATTAGTGCTGTTATATTATTTGTAGAATTAAAATTTCAGTGGTGGCTGGATTGGTTGCTTCTTGCATGATCCGAACATTTCCAGTAACTCCAGCATTAAAAAGTAAAAAAAAAAAAAAAAAAAGTCAAGATTTATTGAAAATATACGTAGATGTAATCATTTCCAAAATGCACAGGATGTTTTTATCTGAAGAAATATTCTGCTTCAGTCAGAATTTGTTGGCATTAAACCCTCAAAAACACTTCCACTGCGGTCAAAAAACTTTGCTTTCCTGCTTGCCACACACAACAGGAGGGTTTTTTTCCCACCGTTGAGTGGGTTTTTTTGAGGAGTTTTTCCTTATTGGCTGTGAGGGTCCAAAGGACAGAGGGATGTCGTATGCTGTTAAGCCCTCTGAGGCAAATTGTGATTTGTGAAATTGGGTTTTATAAATAAAATTGAATTGAACCTGTATTAACAGGGCAGTCTGAAAGCACGCTTGGCAAGTGTGTTGCTGGAGATTCAAGGACATGCAGTGTTGGATTTGGTGCAGGGGACATGCAACTCGTTCACTATTAATAATATTTGAATAAATGGGAAAACAATGCTCTGTGCATCAGCGGGGACGTGGCTTCAAGGCTGAATTGATGCTGGGTATACTAACATCACAACCAAACTCTTGATCACTTCCCTAAAGTCAAGAAGCAGAGGCAGATAGCCTACATGAACAGTGCCTCTCTGCTGTCGCAACTCAAATTGTGAAGGTTTGCCTTTTTTTTTTGGTTTTTCTAAAAAAACACCCTCCCTCTCTAGTTCTTAGGGAATCAGTCACACGATGTCAGGTCAGGACAAACCTTGGCCCAGCAGAGAAGGGAATGAATGCATGAGGCGACCTTTTGGAAGCATTCTCTGGTAGGAAACGCAGTGGGTCAAAGACCTGTGTTAACACAAGACAGAAAAAGCAATGTCAGTAAATTCCACATTTAATTTAATGACTTCGTTTATGACATGTAACCTCAGCGCTGTCTTTTGATGCCCAGGTTAATTACAGTAAGTGGTGCAATCCTGCTTTGCCCCCCCCCCCCCATAAAGTGCGGATATCAGATATTACTATGACTTTGACAGGAACTTTTTATATCCTGTGAGTCTCTGCATGGGAGTTCTACCAACCTAACACTCTGCAACGACATTCAGTGTGCTCACTGTCAGAGCTTGACAAAATGAGCAACAGAAGCAAAAGGACGACAGCCACTGAGGCTTTGGAACATATTTATGATCACAACAGTGAAACAGAGGCAGATGTGTCTGAAGATGAAGACCATCTTGAGATGCATTCTAATAATGACGATTTGGATTCTGAGCCATCAGATGAGGAAACAGATTTTCCTATTGCTCCAACCAAGACAATGATGTCAAAAAATGGCGAGATACAGTGGTCCTCATCTCCCAGTATACCTTAGGTTATTGTCTGCTTAAAACATAATGAAGACAGTGTCAGGGCAACTTTGACTTGTGTCAAAGACATTAAGTCAGCTTTTATGCCAGTCATTCCCAGTTTGATAGAGAAAATGGCTCATTTGGGTTGAATTTAAGTGAACACGACAATGTGACCTTTGACATTGTGGATATAAAATGTCATCACTTCATCTTATTAGACATTTGTGTGAAATTTTGTCATAAATAGCATATAAATTCTTCAGTTATGGCCAAAAACATGTTTTGGGAGGTCACAGTGACCTTTGATCTTCGACAACCAAATTCTAATCAGCTCATTCTTGAGTCCAAATGGACATTTGTGCCAAATTTGAGAAAACTCCCTTAAAGCCTTCTTGAGATACCACATTCATTATCCATCCATTATCCATTATACCACATCCATTACATCTGTAATGGCTGAATGCTGGCTGGTTATAAGTGTAGACACGGATAGGCTGCAAATGAATTGCCTTTCGGGGACCGATAAAGTTGTCTGAATCTGAATCTGAATTCATGAGAATGAAACTGACACAAGGTCACAGTGACCCTGACCTTTTTGTTATTATTTATTTATTTTTTCTTTCCATTTTTCTTCCTTTTAAAAAAAAAAATTACATCAGGATGGGGGGTGAGGGAGGTGAGGGGATCTGTTGGGGATGGGGGGGCTCTGCTTTTAACACGTAAAGCACTTTGTGCTACATTTTATTGTATGAAAAGTGCTCTATAAATAAAGAATGACTGATTGATTGACATTTGCCAACCAAATGCTAATCACTTCATCCTTGAATAAAACTGGACCTTTGTGCCAAATTCTAAAAAAATTCTTCATGGAATTCTTGAGATATTGTGTTCACAATACTACGATGGATGGACAGATGAACGGATGAACGGACAACCCAAAAACATCATGCCTAGTAAAATAAAGTAAAAAAAAAAGACAAAACAAAACAAAAAAACAGAAATGGCGCAACATTTGTGATGCTGTAAACGCCGTGTCAGCACAGGGACGCACAGTATCTGAAATTACAGTAATCGTGTGAAGTCTGATGGCTGGTGGCTGCTTGCTCTGCTGCCATTCAGCGGCTAATAAGCGGAGCTAACTACTAACAGCCAATGCTGCAATTAACAAACTCCACAAATTCATTCAACACTTCCGCCATCCACAGTCAGACACACAGACTATTTACTGGAGTTCACCAGCCTGTCCCTCATGCCGCACTGAAGGTAAGTACAAGCACAGCCAATCTTGGCTTTCAACATCCGGTAGTCCACAACTAACATTTTCATCATATCTAGTGTCATTAACAAAAATGAAACACAGATTTCATATGACTTTGTTTTATCAAGATCTATTCGAAGCTAATCATTGTTTCATTTTTGTCATTAAAAAAGGTTGTTGATGAAAAATTTTCAAAAACGAAAAAGCCATGTGTTTGTTAGAATTTTTTGGTTAGTGAAACATGGATGGTTATACATGTACCAACACTGCAGGAGCATGTTTCCTATACCTGAGGAGGGTTAATCTTTGATTCATGTAGTAAGCGGGTGATAGGTGAGCTTTCATGTCAAAAACATCTGCTTAGAATAAAATCATCTTGACTTACATCAGGGTTTTCCCAGACAGTTTCATTTCTGTGAATCGCATACACATTTATTCCAATGTGACAACCTACAAATAAAAAAAAAAAGGTGTGTTTGGGTTTAGGATTATGCAGTGACTGTACAACAAAGTATATAGATACAAATACACCAATACTTAATCTATGTGAGTATAAGACACAGTGTTTTACCAATCAAAACATGTAGGTTAAAGGATTATTTGTGCTGTGTGTTGCTCAAGGCTGATTTGTAATACAAAACCAAGGCCATGTTGACCTGACCTCTGTTCTGGCAATGAAATAATAAAAAGTTAATATTTTACCAGTGGGGTAGAAGATTTACTCAACAGTAGGCTATTGTATCAATATGAACTTTCCAAAAACATTAAGAACAAACCTTTTGGTAAAGTCCTTTCATCATAAAAGGTCACGGGTTTCGTGGTCTTTCTGGATATCATCGGTACAGGAGGGTAAAGGCGAAGGGACTCTTTGATGCACATTGTGGTGTATGGAATTTTACTGAGATCCTTCCTTGAAATAGGACAGGTGTGCATTAGGTTTAAATATTCTATAAAAAAGTGACTGCCTAAAGCTCACCTAATCCAGCTGTTGTGACACAGAGTGGCACTGACTTGCATTGCACCTTGGGTTTCAACAGGTAAATTACCACTCCATGGTGTCCTTGCCATCCAGGGCTTGAATGATCTCCTCCCTGCACATCTTCTGGTGTTCTGGGTGGCAGGCCAGACAGTAGAGGATGAAAGACATGCCACTGGCTGTGGTGTCATGGCCCTCAAACATGAAGGTGTCCACTTCTGCTCGTATGTCTTCATCTGATAAACCCTGCTGGTTCTCATCCTGAAGATGAGAGAAAAAGACAAATACAAAAGAATACAGTAGGCACAGTCACTCTCTACTCCATTTGTAAAGCTACACTTACATGTACACAACAAGTACTTTATTGTACTTTATTGTACAACAAAACCACAATAAAGGAGCATAATAAAAGAAGGTAAGAGATATTGCAACAAAAAAACTAGTATGAAGTCAGAATGTATCCTAGTATTTTCCTGCGATTTAAATGACACATTATTCAGTCAGTAACATGTGCCTACATAGGTGGGTTCACAACACCCTTACACTCTGCCTTTTACATTCACAAGGACACATGGATGGATTCAGGGTGGGTGAAATAATACATGATTCTTAAGGAAAATATTATTAAATTCACTTACTTATAAACATAACAGAGGGCAGAGCTGCAGAGCCGCAGTCTGACTCCCCATTAAGTGAGGTGCTGTGCAGATTTACGAGGAGCAGGATGACTTCATTGATTATTTCAGAATCTTAAAGTTTAGTTTTGAGTTTTGCTGCTTAAATGTCCCATGACATTTGCTGCAGTAACATTACTGCTCTGACTGCATTGCTCTCAGCAGAAAACCACTCATTTCTCCAGTTGGCCGAATCCACCTTGTAAACAGCAGTGCGGCAGGTGCAGGAACACCTGCTTTTGAAGGGAATCGGAGATGACACTCTGACTGGTTGAATTCACAACACACCTATGATCAATTAAGGGACTAAATACAACCCCTTGGCCAGTTGCACCTTACTTTGTGCCCAGATTATGTGGCTTGGAGTGGAGTTGGACACATTTTCAGGGTGCTTTCAGACCTAGAGTTTGCTTGCTTTGGTCTGAATCAGGGACTAATTTTGTTAAAAAGTTGCATAATTGTCTAGAGTTGGTTCATATTCTCACGGCAGCGGACCGGATAAAATGCCTGTGCGAGAAAGTTGCTCTTAATGTGCAATTGCTGTGCTCACACCTGCCCAAATGAACTGCACTTTGGGGCAAACGAACTTGAGTTCAATTGAAACGAACTAAACAGGGCAGGTGTGAAAGCACCCTGAATGCACTTGCGCCATGTGCTCTAGATTGTTTAACTAGGGTCCAGTCAACCAATTCAATCAATTTTATTTACAAAGCCCAATAGCACAAATCACAATTGCCTCAGAGGGCTTTCCAGGAAATGACATCCCTCTGTCCTTGGACCCTCACAGCAGATAAGGGAAAACTCTCCAAAAAACCTTTTAACAAGGAAAAAAAAATGGTAGAAACCTCAGGAAGAGCAACTGAGGAGGGATCCCTCTTCCAGGAGGGACAGAGGTGCAATAGATGTCGAGTGTACCGAACAGATGAACATAATACACTTGAGTGTGTCTTAAAAAATTAATTCACTGGGGCATCGGTAGTGTAGTGGATAGTGCCGGCGCCCCATGTACAGAGGCAATGCCTCGCTGCAGCGGTCGCAGGTTCATCTCTGGTTTGCAGCCCTTTGCTGCATGTCAACCCCCACTCTCTCTCTCTCAGCCCATTTCAATCCATCCGTCCATTAAAGGCAAAAAGCAAAAAAAAAATCTAAAAAAAAAAAAAAATTCACACAACAGTGTGTATTTTGGAGTTGGAAGCAGCAATGATACACCATGCTGTACCTGAGTTACAGAGGTGTTATTGGGTATTAGGTTATTGTGTCTTACTGAGATTAACTCAAGAGAGCCTGCCTATTGCCTTTGTATCAGTGTTCATTGAAATGCCAAACATACACGTTTCCTATTGCACTGGGATTTTGCCACTTGGATATTACGTCAAATTATCTCTTTTATAGTCTCGTTTTTTTATTTTTTTATTTGATACAACATTGTTTTATTGTCTTTATGGTCTTTGTCCTTTTTTATTATAATACATGTTGGTGTGGTTGTCCCTGTTGTCTTATGTATAGTGTGCTGTTTTAAACCCTGGCTGCACAGTTACTCTGAGCTTAAAGTGCTAAATGCCTTGATGGCTGTACATCTGTTTGCTGTTTGATTGCTGCTACTTGAAGGCTGTTTATGCTTTAAATGTTAAACTGTTATTCTTACCATTTTTAAATTATTTTCACTTTTTCACTTTATGTTTTGACAGTTTGTACACAACTGCATCTTCGACTGAGACATTGGTGAAATCACTCTGACAATCTGATTGGCAGTTCAGCTCACGAGAAGAGAAATGGAAATGAGGATGTAAACAAACAGCTAAAGTCAAGGAAGTGTAAGATTGAGACAAACTTGTTCTTGTTCTTGAGCTCTTCAGCAGAAACGGTTTGTAATTTTTTTTGCTGTCATTCTGCTTAAAGGAACCTTTGCGCGGAGAACAACAAAGATGGCGATTCAGCTCAATGTCCCTTTTTTTTCTTTTTTTTTTTTTTACACTGGGTTGTGTTAATAATATGCTAACTGGCTAGCTAGCGTCATAAATCACCACTGCCCACTGTCATTAAGAATTACTTCCTCTTACGCGGGGGCACAACCCATGTCCTAGTTGGCTGTTGGCTGTTGGCTGTAGTCGTTGCAGTCTGTTCAAGTGCAACATTTTGGCTGAGACACAGGTGACGTGACGCAGCACAGCAGTCAACCTTTGCCATCCCTTCTTTGCTGTCGGTTTGGTGTGTCTGGGCCTTAAATGTTTGTGACTTGTTACCATTGTCACAACAATGAGCAAAGTGAGAATGTCTAACTCCATAAATCAGTAAACTGAATCTGAAATCACACAACATACTCTTGCTAAGAGAAGGATGTCCAGAAAGTCCAAGTTTCTTTTGGCCTGTATGTGTTCCAGCTCCTTCTCCTCCTTTAGTTCTTCTTTCCTCTTTCTTATGACCGCCTCTTCAAAAGACAAGATCAACCATACCCATAGTTTAGTGTATAATGCACACTGATCAAATTCAGTTTAACTGATAGTAGCAATAGTTTCAAATTATCATTAATCTAAGTATGTGTGAAGATCTTACCTGTATGATCATGAGCCACTCTACATGCTTTTCTGTATCTGAAACCATGTGGGCTGAGGTAGAAAATCAGGTCATTGTGGTATGGAAATGTCCTGAACCGCAGGTTAATCAAATAACTGAGCTCATAAACTGCCTTGATGTATGCATTACTTCCACTGAAATGAGAACATAGGCAAACATTAAAAACTGAGTTTCCCAGACAGCTAAAGCTTTACACAACTGAAAGCACAGTTCTGAACTTGTGAATGGCATGAAAAAGTTTGTATTGACTCACCCCTTGGTCTGACAGTTGCTGCTGTAGCTGAAAGCACACTTTAAGATGGTGTCCAGTGACATAAGGCTCACATGTTCGAACAATTCAAAGGACTCGCCAGTGTTTGCATAACTTTCCCATTTGTCCTGGCAACAGTGAGAGAACAGAAGTTACATCTCTGCAGGAGATGGAAAAACTCATTCAACTTTGACACAACATTTGTCATCTAGACGGCCTAAAGGTCTTTTTGTTCTTAACATTACTTCACCATTATGGTTTTTGATAATTCACTGTAATTGTGATTCACACGTCTAAACTGTCATATACATACCAACATCGTTTTAACAGAGTCTGCCATCAGTTTAGTGTATGGTTTCAAAACATCATAATGGAAACCTGGGGTCAAGAGCCTTCTGTTCCGAAACCACCTTTCACCCTTTGAAACCAATAAACCTTTACCTGAAGACAGACAGTATGTGTGTCAGTCAGTAAAACATCTCTGTAATAAGACAAAATATGTTGTAGGAGAAGGACAAATCAGTCTTACCAATCCAAGACTGAATAAACTTATATCCTAATTCATCTTTTGCCTCTGTAAGGAGACAAACAAATCAATAAAAATATTGTTATATTGACTTTTGGTTGTAAAATGGAGCCAATGGTCCTATAGGAGATAATGAAAAGCACTGAGTTGACCATACTGTTATAATCATAGCTCACACACCTGTTGTTGCATATATAGTCTTCACATAATCTGGATGTTGAATGTTGAGGAAACAAACAAAGGGACCACTCCACACTGGGACAGTGTAAGAGTACTGCCTTCCCCATCCCACAATCCTATCCAGAACGTTTCCATCTTTTTTGAACTGAAAAAACAATGAAAAAGGTTAACCACATATTTCATTCCTGTAACCTCGGAGAACAACTTGTTACCGACTGAACTGATGTTTACTAACCACATGTTCTTAATGTGCAAAAGTAGAGAAACAACATAAAAAAAATACTCAGTTACAACCAGTCACGTTGCAGTTACCGTTTACATTCATCGCTCCTGAGATATCATAGTGAATAATGGCCAGCCAAGTGTTTGTTCAGAACGTTTGATGTCACAGTGAAATTGACCTTTGACCGTTTGGATATAAAATGTCATCACTTCATCATTTTATCCTATTAGACATTTGTGTGAAATTTTGTCATAATTAGCGTAAGAATTCTTGACTAATGGCCAAAAACAGGTTTTGTGGGACACGGTGACTTTTGACCACCAAATTCTAATCAGTTCATTACTAAGTGTAGGTGGACGTTTGTGCCAAATTTGAAGAAATTCCCTCCAGGCATTCTTGAGATATTTGAGATATTACGTTCACAAGAATGCAATGGACGAAGTCACAGTGACCTTTTACCACTGAATTCTAATCTGTTAATCCTTGACTCAAAGTCAATGTTTGGGCCAAATTTGAAGAAATTCCCTCAAGCTTAATGTGAGATATCGCAAGAATGAGACAGACAAGGTCACAGTGACCTTGACCTTTCACCTATGACCACCAAAAACTATTTGGTTCATTGTTGAGTCCAAGTGGACATACGTGCTAGATTTGAAGAAATTCTCACAAGCCGTTCATGAGACATCGAGTTCAAGAGAATTAGATGTTGCAAAGTCACAGCAACCTTGACCTCTGACCACCAAATTCTAATCAGTTCATTCTACAGTCCAAGTGTATGTTTGTGCCAAATTTGAAGACATTAACTCCAGGCATTTTTGAGATATTGCGTTCACAAGAATGCAACGGATGAGGTCACAGTGACCGTGACCTTTGACCCACAAATTCTACTCTCTGAATGTTTTATGAACAGCCCCGGGCTTCTCAGACTCTTATAGCGAGTTACCGCAAGTTACCCATCCTACAGGGGGAACTCATTTAGTGACTTCGCTGGCCACAGCACAGCGTTTCTCCCATTCCTTTCTCACCGTGCACGCACAGGTGTCGGTGCCTCAAGTGATTAAACCTTTGGTAATTAAAATCTATGTGATGCTCACAGCTTTACAAAAAAATACATATATGTGAATGTGCAATAGTTTTGGTAACATAATGTCCAGTCACAGGTTACAGCCTGATGATTAGAGGAGAAATGGCAGAGCATAAAGGTCCAGGTGAAAAAAAAAAAACACAATCATTTAGGATTTTGCTAAAAGAAGGAAATCACCTGTTGATTTATACACAGTATATAGATGCCAGGGTACATTTTATTGTACTTTATTGTTGTATTATGTATTTGGGAGCTGTTTACATGTGTAATTTGTGGTAGATTTTGTTTGATTTTTCTACTACTATTGTATACACAATCTGAATGTCACTCTGAGTCACTGTTGTTGTTTACAAACGAAAGAAATGAGAGATAATTTTTGTTTATTTTTTACCGAATATTTAAAGGTGAACTGTTAAAAAAAAAAAAATCTTTTTTACTAATTTGTCATATCGTCAAGAATTTTGTTATCACAAAAATACCCTTAAATATTGTGATATTATTTTAGGGCCATATCACCCATCCCTAATTGAAAGTTATTTTGTGTCAAAACAAAAATGTCCCAACCGACCCCGCTCTCCCTAGGCTACTGAATGGAGTATTGTGAGGCACAGTGAATTAAAAAAATGTGCAATACTGCCAATGATTAGAATGGTATTGGTTATTTTAACCCCTGTCCATTGATGAATCCTGTATACTCTGAGGAAAAACAGTGAAATACTTCATAGATCTGACATTAAGTGTGATGAAATATCTTCTATTACTGTAAAACACTTTGTAATTCTGTTTTGAAAAGTGCAATAAAAATGAAAATATCATCATTGTTATATCAGTTACAGAAAGTTGCACTACTGAGCGCTCGTGACTGAATTACCTCTTTAGCATGTCCAAAAAGCCAGTGTGCTGGTGGTCCTGGAAAAGCTTTGAAGTTGTGGCGCATATCTCTTCTTTGGAGGTACAAGACTGTAACTTTAAAGGCAATGGTAACAAGACAAAGTAGAGCAAACAAGTAATGCATATGAGGCCAGCCCAGCTGATTCCACAAAGCCTTAGCTGACTCCATCTCAGGTGAGTCTGTGCGTCATTGGAGGAAAAACTCTGAACACAACTGAAGGTGACTACAGGCTTGTTGGATATTAACTGTACCTCATCTGAGCAGTGGACGGGATCAGGGGGTGGTGACAAAAACACACAGTCACATCAGATAGCTTCCAGCTGCCTTCAGTGTCTGGTCACAGAAACACTCACATCCTGTTAGATGTGATTCCCATTTATTAAAATGTGATCAGACCCATGTATCAGTTTGTTCCAGGTTTTGTTTTAATTATGACAGAGTAGCCTACTCAAATCCTGTTCATGTTTCAAACTCCATTTTACATGAACTCTCATGGTACATTGCCGTAGGCTCGCTGCGAACAACACTTGACTCTGTAGCTCCTCTTAAAAAGAAGTTAAAAAAGCAAAGAAAGTTCGCTCCTTGGTATAACTCTCAAACCCGTAAGTTAAAACAAATATCACGAAAATCTGAAAGGAATTGGCGATTAACCAAACTGGAAGAATCTCGTTTAATCTGGACAGACAGTCTCAAAACTTATAAGAGGGGCCTCCGCAATGCCAGAGCAAACTATTACTCAGCATTAATAGAAGACAATAAGAACAACCCCAGGTTTCTTTTCAGCACTGTCGCCAGGCTGACTGAGAGTCAGAGCTCTATTGAGCCTTGTATTCCTTTAGCCATTAGCAGTAATGATTTTATGAGCTTTTTTAACGACAAAATTCTAACTATTAGAGGCAAAATTCATGACCTCCTGTCCTCAGATAGTACCTATCTAACCTCAAACACAGCTGTAAAACCTAATATATATTTAGATTGCTTCTCCCCAATTTCTCTTCAAGAATTGACCGCAGTGATTTCTTCATCTAAATCATCAACGTGTCTCTTAGACCCCATCCCAACTAGGCTACTTAAGGAGGTCTTTCCTTTAGTTAACACTCATATATTAGATATGATCAATATATCCCTATTAACAGGCTATGTACCACAGTCTTTTAAGGTAGCTGTAATTAAACCTCTCCTAAAAAAGCCCACCCTGGATCCAGAGGTGTTAGCCAACTATAGACCAATATCTAATCTTCCCTTTATGTCAAAGATCCTTGAGAAAGTAGTCGCAGACCAGCTGTGTGATTTTCTCCAGGATAATAATTTATTTGAGGAATTTCAGTCAGGATTTAGAGTGCATCATAGCACTGAGACAGCTCTAGTTAAAATTACAAATGACCTTCTGATTGCTTCAGACAAAGGACTCGTCTCTGTTCTTGTTTTATTAGATCTTAGTGCGGCGTTTGACACAATTGACCATCAAATTCTACTGCAGAGACTGGATCACTTAATTGGCCTAAAAGGTTCAGCACTAAGCTGGTTTAAATCTTATTTATCTGATCGTTTTCAATTTGTTGACGTTCGTAATGAATCATCCTTACGTACCAAAGTTTGTTTTGGAGTTCCGCAAGGTTCTGTGCTCGGACCAATCCTATTTACTCTATATATGCTTCCTTTAGGTAACATCATTAGAAATCACTCTATAAATTTCCATTGTTATGCGGATGATACACAGTTGTATTTATCGATGAAGCCAGAAGAAAGTAATCAATTAACTAAACTCCATAACTGCCTTAAAGACATAAAAAATTGGATGAGCACCAATTTCCTGATGTTAAATTCAGACAAAACTGAAGTTATTGTTCTTGGCCCCAAACAACTCAGAGACTCTTTATCTGATGACATAGTTTCTCTAGATGGCATTGCTCTGGCCTCTAGCACTACCGTAAGAAACCTCGGAGTAATATTTGATCAAGATTTGTCTTTTAATTCTCATTTAAAGCAAACCTCACGGACTGCATTTTTTCATCTGCGTAATATTGCGAAAATTAGGCCTATCCTGACCCGAAAAGATGCAGAAAAATTGGTCCACGCTTTTGTTACCTCAAGGCTGGATTACTGTAACTCTCTATTATCAGGTAGCTCTAGTAAGTCCTTAAAAACTCTCCAGCTAATTCAGAATGCAGCAGCACGTGTACTAACAGGAACTAAGAAACGAGATCATATTTCTCCTGTTTTAGCTTCTCTGCACTGGCTCCCTGTAAAATCCAGAATTGAATTTAAAATCCTACTGTTAACTTATAAAGCTCTAAATGGTCAAGCTCCGTCATATCTTAGAGAGCTCATAGTGCCATATTATCCCACCAGAACACTGCGCTCTGAGAACGCAGGGTTACTCGTGGTCCCTAAAGTCTCCAAAAGTAGATCAGGAGCCAGAGCCTTCAGCTATCAGGCTCCTCTCCTGTGGAATCATCTTCCTGTTACGGTCCGGGAGGCAGACACCGTCTCCACATTTAAGACTAGACTTAAGACTTTCCTCTTTGATAAAGCTTATAGTTAGGGCTGGCTCAGGCTTGCCCTGTACCAGCCCCTAGTTAGGCTGACTTAGGCCTAGTCTGCCGGAGGACCCCCTATAATACACCGGGCTCCCTCTCTCTCCCTCTCTCTCTCTCTCTCTCTCTCTCTCTCTCTCTCGTATTCTATTACTGCATCTTGCTAACTCGGCCATTCTGGATGTCACTAACTCGGCTTCTTCTCCGGAGCCTTTGTGCTCCACTGTCTCTCAGATTAACTCATATCGCAGCGGTGCCTGGACAGCGTGACGTGTGTGGTTGTGCTGCTGCCGTGGTCCTGCCAGATGCCTCCTGCTGCTGCTGCCATCATTAGTCATTAGTCATACTTCTACTGTTATTATACACATATGACTATTGTCACACATGTATACTGCCAGATATTAATACATACTTTCAACATATTGTACCACAGTAGCCAGAACTATAACTATAATATTATTACTTTCAATAATGTTGTTGTAAGCTACTGTCATTACCTGCATCTCTCTCTCTCTCTCTCTCTCTCTCTCTCTCTGTCTCTCTCTCTGTCTCATTGTGTCATACGGATTACTGCTAATTTATTATGCTGATCTGTTCTGTATGACATCTATTGCACGTCTGTCCGTCCTGGAAGAGGGATCCCTCCTCAGTTGCTCTTCCTGAGGTTTCTACCGTTTTTTTTTCCCCGTTAAAGGGTTTTTTTGGGGGAGTTTTTCCTTATCCGCTGCGAGGGTCATAAGGACAGAGGGATGTCGTATGCTGTAAAGCCCTGTGAGGCAAATTGTGATTTGTGATATTGGGCTTTATAAATAAAATTGATTGATTGAACTGACTGACATCAGTTTCATATCAGTTTGCTGTTGTACATAAATCAGCTAAGCAGACCAGTCACCCTCAAATAGACCACATAAATACATTAAAAATATTAAACTAACAGTCAAACACAGAGGAAAGATAGATAAATATAGTCAGATATAATCAGGGCTTCACATCTGCACACATCCCAATACCAAGTCTTTGTGTTGCTTAATACTTAACCCTCCATGATGCCATGTTGACTCTAAGTAATAAACCCATTTTTGGCCGTTTGCAGTCACTCAGTACATCCTCAATTATGTTACAGTATCTTAAGTCTTGGGCTGCTGTGAAACTGTGCCTACTTAGGGCAACAAACAAGTCTAATTTTGGGGTGTTTTCATTCACTTTTTTTAAAATTGTCTTTTTGCACTTTGAGCACCGTTTGTTTTTAACTGTTTAACTGTTAATAATGTAACTTTACTCTCTGGAGCCAATGTTCAGTCCCTTTTTGGGGCCCTCCTCACATGGTTCAGCCCCATCAACTCCCCACAAGAACTGTCTGAAAAATGTCTTATTCTGTCATTTTATAATCTGGAAAAATGGATTTACAGTAACAGATGAGTAAAGTTTAATTTTTTAAATTGTGTGATGTACTTTATTTGATAATTAGGACATTGAATTTTTTAAAATTGCAAATGCCAAATTGAGACGTACCGTCTGCAGCCTGCAGTTAGGGGCGGGCTTAGGGGTGGAGTTAAACGTCGATTGTGATTGGTTGAAAGTCGAATCTGGGTGGGGTGAAATGTGATTGGTCGCTAGCAGTATCTCGCCATTTACCGCCGTTTACTTCCATTCACTTGTTTGAAGGTGAAAGAGAGGAGGAAATGTAAAACGTCTCTGCAGGTGTGGACTCAGCAGGCTGTTCATCTTGCTGATTGGATTCAGTAACGTACAGCTGCAGCCTATTTAAAATCACCTGTGCAATGGACAGTGTAACAAACCTGATAAAGCCATGGGTGAAACGTGTTGTTTTGAAGGCTGTTTGGAAGATTTAAGAAGATAAGAAGCAATTCAGCCTCCTTGTGTGCGGTGAATCAACTTTTCTGATCTACTTGATGTCTCCTGCCATCACCTGCACCAAGGACTGAGAGTGCTGTGCACGGGGCATTTACTTTGGAATACATTTAGCCTACTTGTAAGTATTTTGTTAAAGAAACTGTTTAGTTCAGCTGCTTGAAAACTTCAACTGCAAGTTACGGCTAACGTTAACTTAGCTAGTTTGTTTGTTGCTAAGCCACCAGCCTTCAAGGCTGATTGTAGAGGTTAGTGCCTTGCAGGCTGGTTAGAGGATTCATATTCTATAATTTTCATTATTCAGTTAGCTGCCTTCAAGGCTGATTGTAGAGACTAGCCTGCAAGGCACTAATCTCTATGATCAGCCTTGAAGGCTGGTGCCTTATCAACAAACTAGCTAAGCTAATGTTAGCAGTAACTTGCAGTTGAAGTTTTCAAGCAGCTGAACTAAACAGTTTCTTTAACAAAAAACTCACAAGTAGGCTAAATGTATGTTTCAAACAAGGAGTTATTAGGTTTAGAATCTTTAAAGTATTCTAGGATTTAGGATTTCAAGGATTCTGGGATATAGGATTTGTCTTTTTGTCTGTTTCTTGGCCAGCCAGCAACTAAATCCAGCTTATGTAGAATAAATGTTTTTTTCCTTTCAGATTTGTTAAAACATATATTCTATCACAGTATTAGATATGTAATCTTGTATATTTGTAACCTGCTGTAGGAGCGTGGTGGAGGAGCAGTGATGCTGCAGGACCACTGTGTGAGAGAGGACACTGCAGATAAGTGCTGAGTTGACCTTGGTGAGACTTAAAACTTAAC